TCTGTCTGTCAAATTAAAAAAAAAACAAAAACAAAACAAAACAAAAAAACAGTTTCATCATCTCAAAAAGAAATTCCATGCCTCGCGGTTATTGCTCCATTTTCTCAATTCCCCAAGACCAACTCCTCCCAACCCCAAGCATCTTCTTATCTACAGTATGTCATCTTTCTTTTTTCATCAGTTAATGTGGCTAGAGGCTTATCAATTTTATTGATATTTTTAAAGAATGAGCTTTTGGTCTCATCCATTTTCTCTTATTGATTTTCTGTTCTCAATGTCTTTGATTTCTGTCGATTTTTGTTTCTTCTTACTTTGCATTTAATATTCTCTTCCTTTTTAAGTTTCCTAAAGTGGAAGTTTGGTGATTGTTTATAGGTCTTTCTTCTTTTCTAATGCATGCACTCAATGCTATAAATATCCCTCTAACCACTGCTTTCACTGCACCCAACAATTTTTGATAAATTTTCATTTTCATTTACTTCAAATATTTTTAAAATTCTCTTGAGATTTCTTCTTTGGATGTGTGTTGTTTAAGGGGTGACTGGTGGCTCAGTCGGTTAAGTATCTGCCTTTGGCTCTGGTCATGGTCTTGGGGTCCTGGGATCAAGTGCTGTGTCCAGCTCCCTGTTCAGTGGGGAGTCTGCTTCTCCCTCTCCCTCTGCTCCTACTGCTTATTCATGCACACATTCTCTCTCTCAAATAAATGTAAAAAAAAAAAATCTTAAGAAGTATGTTGTTAAAGTTGAAAATTTGGGGATTTGCCAGCTACTTTTCTGTTATTTATACCTAGTTTAATTCTATTGTCGTCTGAGAGCAGACACCATATGATTTCTGTCTTCTTAAATATTAAAGGTGTGTTTTACAGCCCAGAACATGTTCTGTGTTGGTGAATGTCCCATGTTCCATGTGCTTTGAGCTTATTTATATGACACTAACAAAAATCTTTTATTTCCATATCTTTATTTGAACAATTTTCTATAATAGCTAGGAGAATACAGCATTAATGACGCACATTTACTAAGGACAACATTAGACAACTACAAATTTAGAGCGTAAATGTCAATCTGATATTGTTTGGTTTTCATCTTAGTACTAGATGATAACTGGTGAAAACCCATGTTTCAAAGGCTTTTGTTGATATGAGGTGAATTATTAACTTAATTTTTAAAAATTCCATGTGAGATATGCTGGGACAGTTTCAGTTTAAAACCAGAGTTATTTGATAATGCGTTTCACTTCTTAGTATTTCTGCTTCTTTCCTAATGGACGTATATTTTCAAGGATTAATTGTATCATGTTTTTCGACATAGATCAAAATGGAATCCCTTTTCCGATCCAACAAGGAAAAATACTTGAAAAACTGCAATGTTCAGTTTCATTGTAGTTAAACAACACATCCATTTCACAGTAAATTAATAATTAGAATTAGCAATTCAAATACAATATGTTAAATGTCATGATGAGCTCATTTCTGTGTAACATTGGTAGAGCAATTTAAATTTTCCAAGGACGCAAAAAAAGTGAACATTACTCCAGGAGTTCACAAAAATACATAACCAGCAATCATAAATTACAACACACATATCCACATTTGAAGGAAAAAGTCACCATTTGTTGGAAAATATTAAATGGCTCAAGTGATTCAGAGAGCCTGAAATGTAGGCTAAAGTTTTATAACATATGGTAACAATAAGATATTTGAAACTATTGACTGAAAAATGCATGAAAATGTACTGACCTACCAAGCATTGAATTATACATACCAGTTTCCACTCGAAAAACATGTTTCTTTCAAAGATTTCAAGATGTATCACAATATTGAGGAAACGTTAGTCATTTTCAGTCATTTTAGGAAGCTAATGACACTCATGAAGTTAAGCTAATGGACATTTTTCGCCAGACCAAATTAGAAAATTTAAAAAATGTATAAAATGCATCTTGCAGCTATTTCACAGAGTACCTTCAGTTCCTGATTTAATGAGAAATCTACTGTATATAACTCCGGGTTGATTTAATTTGGGGTAATACAATGGATTAGAACTTAACAGAACTCTTTTCTGTTTTCATTCAAACCTTTATATATAGTACAGGGCTCCTAAAAATTTTTTTTAAAGCATGTCCATGGAAGGTTTTACAGTTGTACCCTTTAATCTGTATTAAGAAAAGATCAGGGAGAAAACATGCCATTAAAGCATTACCAAGAAACTAACTTAGCTATTTCTTCCATATGTTCATTTGCTTCCTTCTGACACAAAGCCCCCCAAACTCAGGACCACTCTCTCAGCCCACATTCACCGGCTCTGAGACTGGTGCTGAGTTGTAGTACCTGTTTGGAAAGAACAGAAAAGACAGGAAGGCAAAGTCCCAGGAGGGAGAGTCATGCAGGAAGGAGAAAGGAATTCAGGGTTGGAGGCCCCGCCCAACCCAAACCCTCACAAAACCTTGAGAAACATGGCCAGATGTCCTCTCCAGGTAAGTCCATCCCTTATAGAGGAGAAGTTCCAGAGAACTTAAGGCAGCTCTCGAGGGAAGGGAGCAGGGGTTAAGGCGGTCCTCACAGCACAGCCTGAGAAGAAATCACGACACACTTCTCCGTGAGCAGAGGCCACAGCCATATACGGAGCCTCTCTAACACACATGCAGGGAGCACACCTCCTAGCTCTGGAGTCAACGCTGGCAGCATGCACACACGGGAACGTTCAGACACATGGACTTGCATATGGCTTGCCTGGGGACAGGCCTCTGAAGGTGCCCTGGGGGCTTGGCTGCAGGCCGCACAGCTCCCCTGGGGGCTCTAATGCGGCTCTGAGTGGTCTTGGAGAGTGACCTACCTGACTTCGGGGAGGCTTGCTCAGCTTCCTGGCAGGTTGAGACAGCCTGCTGTGAATTAAAGACCTAAAGGCAGGGTGTTGCACCCTCCAAGGGAGCCCTGACTCATCAGAAAAATCAAACCTAGGTGTAGGGGGGAACGGCAGAGAAGAAAGCTGCCAGGCTCTGGGCACTTCATCTTGTTAGCAAAGAGAACCTAGCACATGGCATTTGCTCAGTTCCCAATTCTGCCAGTTGCCAATTCTGATAAGAGAAGAAGGAAAAAGAACACCTCTCGCTGACTCAGGGCACCCCATGGGTACCAGGAGGAACAGACGGTCCCCTGGAGACTTTTCAGTCTCCTGCCTCCACCTGCTCACTGCACAGCCTCGGCTGCAGGCAGGCAAGGGGCACTGCTGGAGGGTGGTGTGTCCTCAGCAAGTCTCTGACCTTTTCTTTCTCCAATTATCGTCAGCAAGTGACGGTCGGTTGGTGGGTCATAGCTACCCTTCCGACCTTCCAGCGCTGCTGTGAGGATACAATGAGGTAACAGGACGTGCACCTAAGAAAAGCACAGCCCGATGCAAGGTTTGGCTCTGCACTAGAATGTCAGGGTCACACACGCATTTTTGCTTTCTGTTTCATCCTAAACAGTGGAAGCTCCACAGAGGACCCTTGATGATGGCTCTTGGGGAACTCTACATTCTAGTGACTCTGTGTGTGTGTGCGTGTGTGTGTGAGAGAGAGAGAGAGAGAGAGAGAGAGAGAGAGAAAGAGAGAGAGAGACAGGCAGAGATGGAGGGAGCAGGGGAGAGAGAGAGGAGGGCAGGTGGGTATATGAATATTGTGTAAGGATTTCTTAGGATGGGACAGGTGCCCTTTTACCTAAGGTACCAGGAGAGTATTTTCTTAAAACAATCACTACACTGAAATTCCCATATTTTCAGAGCCGCCCTCACATGTTACTAGAAGATCTGATCTCTATAACACAAAATTACTCACCCAGAAAGAGCCAACTCAACTCTCAATTATCCACTAAAACAAAGGCAATAAAGCAAATCGTACAAACTGACTGGAATCCCCAAATTTCCTTTCGGTAGGCTTTGGAATAGATCTTTTTTGTACTTTTGGACTTGATGATAGAAATGTCAGGTACATGGAAATTTTTCAAAACTTCCAAAGCAATCGCTTTGTGGACCTTACCTTCCCCCTTCTCTGGTTAACGCTCAGGTCAGGCAGACCAAAGTCTTAACCTAAGAAAAGCTACAAGGCAATGGTTCGTTTTTCAGCCTTGCATTCCAAGATGTGAGTGGAGTCTGTATGTAGGGTGAGTGGGGAGACTGTTGAGAAGGAGCTATTAAGACAGAACCGTGTTCTTTCAAGATCTTTCTCTGAATTCCCACTGTGTGTCACAGGGGAAATATGAAAAAGCAAATTAGAGATGATGTTAAGGAATGTGCTGCCAGGAAGTGAGAACAACAACTCTCAGCCTGAAGGGAGGCCAGGGGGGCAACTGAGGACTGACGCCATTCACTGCCTTCCACATAGAGTCGGTGAGCAGGCGGGTGATGTGACACATGGCTCAGCTGAGAGAAGGGAAAGAGTGAACAGTAGAATGGGCGGGTGGAGGGCTGGAGAAGGTAGGTTTGAAGCTGGGTGAGAAAGCTGATTGGAGAGAGGGTGAGCTGTCCTCAGAGGCGCTAAAGGAAACCCCTAGTCAGCAGATTACTGTTGTGTCCTCCAGAAAGTAACGGAGTAAACGGAGACGTTTACCAGGTCTTGCGGTTCCCTGGTTGTAAGGTATTCTTGTTATGACTAAAGATATTTAGGCTGCCAAGAGAAGTTAATTCAGATCCCCGTCTGGGGTCCTGGGTAGGCCTCAGAGGAAGGTGGAGCCTGGAACAGTAGAATCTTCGTGTGACCATCACTGAACAGGAGAGATTCTGGCCCAGGTGTGGAACAGAGGTTCCAGCACTTTCCAGCAGCAAGGCAGGAGATAAGAGAGAGATGTTTCAGGCTATGAGCTGTCGGGGTAGGATATAAAGACTGCGATGGCAGCAGAAGCTACCGTGTGCTGTTGAAGACCTGACAAGATGCAGGTTGTGCACAAGACATGTTACACAGGGACTAAGCTGGGAAAGGACCTGGGAGGATTTCCTGGTCTAAGGTAGACCGCCTACACCATGGTGGCATTTTTTTTTTTTTTTTTAAGCATCTCCCCTATGCAATGAGTCAGTGTTCTGGCACATTTAATACTAACCAAAAGATTATAAGAGCTCATTGTTCATTGAAAACCACATTGACAACTGGTGAAAACTAAGAGAACCTGAAGGAATCAGTAGTGTTTTTGGTTGATTTTGCAAATAAATAAATGTATCCAACCTGAATACAGCAGTACATTAGTAAAAATTACCCAAACTAATTCACTTTCGAAAAGCATGTAAAAATCATGTACATTTGAGAAAGGTTATATCTACACCAACTTGTGATTTTACATTTAATTAATCCCCCAGGATGAAGAGGCACCAAACACTGATCTTTCTATTCAAGGGTGAATTCACTGAGTAACTGCACCTCGTTTCTCTATGATCCGAGTGCTGAGAGGAGAGAAACTTCAGATGTGGGAGGGTCCAACCTTCTTACTGTATAAATGAGGAATGTGAGGCCCAAGTAAGTTAACAGTGTTAATCTTTTAATGACAATCTTTATCATGATTTGAAACTGACTTCCATTAATATTGCACATGTTTTAATAAGACGTCATTTTTCATAGACCACCTAACAGTTAAGTTATATAAATCTATGTTTATAATTCAGAACCAGAATTTCTAATGAAAGCTAAGAACTTGTTCTTGCACAACCTGAAAGACCCACTGTCTAGGATTTCCAGGAAAAACTGAGAAGATGCTTAGTTAGGATTTCAGAATGAAACTTACAGGATCTGGGTCTTATTGAAACATATCCTCTGTAAAATTTAACAATCTTCAGATATTTCTTATATAAGTCTTAAAGTATTCCTAATATGATGCTCCTTAAAGTATCTAGTGGTACTGAGAACATTTATAGAAGTTGCAAAGCCTAAAAAAAAAGGAATCATAGTTATTTATTACACACCTTCTTTTGCATAATTGCATAATAGGATAATCAAGGTTTCAAGACCTGAATCTTCTCTAGATAGTGACTGAGATTAATTCTTAATAAATTAAGAAGAAGAAAGAAAACCTGTCAGTACTGAAAATATGCAGTGCAGGAATCTGGCCTGGGAACTAAAAATAAGTCACCTCACAGAACACTGTACCCTGATGTGATATCCACCCAGGGAAAATTAATGAGCACATCAATGTAATACATTCTGAATAAATAATGACATCAACAACAGCCACTTTGTCTAATCCTATCCCTAAATGTCAAACATTTTGTCATATTTCTACATGACTTGCCAGGGTCTGCTACTTATGCAGATGAATCTGTATATATTTGCACATAATCCAGTTAAAACTGATCTGATTGAATTGTAAACAGAGTTGATAAAAGAGAAGCTTATTGTTGTAGTGCCTAATGAGAATATCGCTTATATATTAAAGAACACAGTATGTAGCAGCACTTTAAAATGCTCAGTAAACTACAGTACAAATGCACTTCTATGCTATATGGCAAACCAATATTCTCTTAAGATCTCTATAGCATAGGGACACATAGAAGGAAGTTACTTGACAAGTACTTTACATATTGCCAGTTTATTTCTTTGATCCACTTTGACAACATCAACATAACTGATTCCTGAACTGATATGATATGTACTCAATGGCAATTTTTCTTTCAATTCTTCTGGTCTGCGCAGGGGAGGCTCCCTGGTAGGTGCTTTCCTAACAACACTCATACCTGGAATTTACATGTTTACCGTACCACTCAGATGCAGTGCTAAGGACTAAAGTAAATGCTGGCAGCTGGAGACCTTTTCTCCCCCTTCCTTCTGTCATTCACCTGCATGTACCTTGGGATACCTAACTGATCCAGGGTGAGTGTTGCTATTAAGGTAACACGGCACAAAGAAGCCTATTGTTCTTCCCAGGTGATAAAAGTGTTTAGGGAGATTTCCAGTTAATAACTTCTCATTGGAAAGATAAGTAGTGCTGTCTCTTTAAAAATGTCTGTTCAGTAGCTCACGGGAAATAATGGGTTCTTACTGTCCCTGTTTGCCTTGGCATCACGTCACTTTCAGACCCGTGATATGAATCCCAGGCCCAGGCTGGCTGGAATCTGGATGGTTTCCAGGGCGAGGGAGGATGGGTTGAAAGGAAAGGTGACAGGAAAGATGTGTTTAGCATCCATGAGCAGCTGAGGCGAGTCTTTCCTGTCTCGTAAACGCATCTGAGATTAAAAAAACAACAAACAGAGCGTGTCAGTTCTTTAAATCTATAAAGATTTCTCCCCCACCAAAAATATACCAAGAAGTTCTCAACTAATAAAGAATGTTTTTAAAACACTTCCTTTCTCTAATAAGCTGTTATCAAAAAGGTAATGCACTGTTAAAATGAGATAACACAATAAAACACATTTCCTCTCAATAAACTGTAAAATTTTCATTCAGAAAACTGTGTTTGTGAATCACAGAAAAAGAAAGCTTGGGAGATCTTACCTGTATAGTACGAATAAACGATACAGAGACTCTTTCTTCAAACTCATTAACTGGAGTATACAAATTCAACACTTTGACAATCTGTGAGAATGAAATGATCAAAGTTTTTAGCATATTATTAAACACACACTGGGTGCTTATAACCTGGAAAAGTAAAAGAATCTATGAATAAGTTTGTAATTCTGCTCAGGGCTGGGTTGGGATAAGGGGAGAGAGAGAGCTGGTCTAAGAGCATATTTAACTTTACTATGTGAATTTTTAAAATAGAATGTATTAATGTAATATTTGTATATTTTAAGAAGCAATATAAATTTGGAAAAACAACCAAAGTACAAAAAAGAACACAACACGAAAAGGAAAAGGGTCCCGCTCAATCTTCTCAGTCTACCCAAGTGGCAACCGTTACTAGTGTCCCTTGTTTCTATCCAGCTGCTTTCTATACAAAGTTTATGTATAATCTAGGTAAGATGCCTATATTCCGAGACACGTAAAGAACATTAAGAAAGTGCAGGAGTCAACACAGAAATAACTGGCAAAAGAAAAATGGGCTTGTTTATGCCTTTGCCTTGCCTCGTGCTGTTGCCACTGTCCTCAAATGCCTTGTCCAACACACGTGAAGCCAGCTCAGAGATGAGAGCGATGGCTGGGGGGTTCCTCACTTCCCTAAGTGTCACCCTTGCTGACTGCTACAGTGTCTCTCAGCAGGGGGAGGTGCTTCACCTGGGCAGTAGTTAGAGCACTGCACATGGAACAAATGGCTTCTGCATCATCATCTGTCTTCTTTTTCACTTGCAAGAGCTGAGCAGCCTGAATGAGCGGTTCCAGGGTTTCCTTAGCCCCGCTATTCATCAGGTTCTTGTCACGCAGCCATTCTTCCAGCTGACTGACATTGTACCTATGCCAAATAGAGAGAGAGGGAGAGAATGCAAATTTACTGAATGTTGTCATAAATGTCTTAATTTTTTATGTACAGCTTTGTCAGGGATCTCAGTTAAAATGACAGGCAGTATTTTTGTTCAATTTTCTTAAATCTTACCAGCTGTGCTTAAAATTTTATTATAGCCATGAGGTTTATAATCATAATTATGTAAGAGTAAATGACTAGAGGATATAATTAACTTCAATGGAAGGTAGAAATGGAGCCTTACAGCAAAAATTATGAAATAAAACTTGCTGAAAGTCAAAATAGAACATCCCACATGGCCGTGTCCTTATTAAACAGCTGACCAAAAAAGGCTTTCTAGCTTCTTTTACAAGTCAGAGGAGAGAAATGATAACCTTTGAGTACCCTTTCCTCCTTCAGTCAAATTCCAGGGTAGTCACAAAAAACAAGATGTTCCCACATAGAGCTTGTGCCGCAGCCCTCTTTAGGGAAGAGCCTGGGTGATGGAGTAGTGGCCTACAGAAGCCCAGGGATAGAAGGAGAAAAGGTAAGTGCGGGCAGCGGGGGAGCACTGGAAGAGACAGAGACCCCAGATGTGGCAAGAGATGTAGAAATCACACAGATGCTGAGATTTCAAGAAGTGGTCAACCAGGTGACAATGGTTCTCATGCTAAAATGCTACATGGACACACGGTCAGAACTTTGCAGTCAGGCAAATAGGAGGCAGTATGATATTACGACAGTGCCTCACATGTATGGAGAAATACATAAACAAAGCTTAAAGACAAGTAAATTCTACAACCTGAATGAAGGCATTATCTTCTTAACATTAACTCCAATGGATATATGTCAGAATGGAAAATTTGAAAAGAATGCCAAGGTTTCCTGAGATTAACTAAAGACTTATGTAGGAGAGATCCTATTTTCCTCTCTTGGTGACTATTCTGTTTTAAAACAAATGATTTGCTGGGGCACCTGACTGGCTCAGTCAGTTAAGCATTTGTCTTTGGCTCAGGTCATGATCCCAGGATTCTGGGATCAAGCCCCAAGTTGGGCACCCTGCTCAGCAGGGAGCCTGCTTCTCCCTCTGCTGCTCCCCTACTCATACTCTATCTCTCACTAGCTCTCAAATAAATAAATAAAATCTTCAAAAAAATTATTTGCAAAGAAATCAATTCTATTATGATAATGGCTTATGCTGAGGGGTAGCTGGTCATAAAGCTGAGTTCACACTTTCTTAAAACACAGAGGGGCACATTTCCAGTTAGAGATCTATTAGACATGCTCTTACTGCCATGGTACAGAAAGGTATTTTGTCAAAAAAAATTTCTAAGAGAAATCAAACATTAGAAATCTTCCTTATAAAAAATTTGATATTTTGTTATGTACAATTAAAACACATGCAAAAGATGAAGAAGCAGCTATCTCAACTCAAAGTATTTTTTATCATCTCTCCATTCCCTCTAACAAGTCAGTGTCCTGGGGGAGCAAGGTTCCCCAGTAGTGGAGGGGAGGACCTGCTGAAAGGCACAGTCTGAAGCAGTCACTCATGAAAGTGGAGCGGTCCAGCCAGGCCAGAGAAAACAGCTCCTTGTGTGTCGTCCCTGGCTGTGTGGCTGGTGGCAGCAGACCCCGGCACCCTGTCTGGACACAGGGCAGGGGCCGGCCTCCGCTCACCTGATCTGCATGCCTTTACTCCAGGAGCACATGTCCTTGCGCAGCAGGAGGTTGTTCAGGGTGACGGCCCCCACGATGTAGAACATTTGCTTGACCACCTGCTTGATCAGTTCAGGGTCCATGCCGTGCTGACACAGGACTGAGTGGAAGGAGTTGAGCTGCCGGAGGATGGAGTCCAGTGTGTAGGTGCCCTCGTCCGCAATGCTGGAGGTTCGCTTTCTAAGCCCTGTGGGCTTCACCCCAGACACGCCCTGAATGGTTTCATGCTCCAGCATGCCGGAGACTGCAGGAGGAGTTCGAGTGTTAGAGGACGCCTGGTCCGTGTGCACACACACTGGCTCATACAGGCACGCACGCACTCTCACACATTCAATTTAGGAAAATGCTCTGAGTATCAAGAGAGGGGAAAAGAACTTTCAAAAAAAGAGCTTCCAGATTTTAAATTTTAATGAAAGAATAATTCTTAAATGCAAAAAATTACCCATGAAATTAAGAAACCTTAATGGCGCATTTTCTAAAATACAAAGCAGCCCAGCTTGTACTAGCAAAAGCTTGTGATTTTTTTTTTTTTTTTAAGATTTAATTTATTTGGGGCACCTGGGTGGCTCAGATTTTAGGCAACTGCCTTCAGCTCTGGTCATAATCCCAGGGTCCTGGGATCAAGCCCCACATTGAGCTCCCTGCTCAGCGGGAAGACCGCTTCTCCCTCTCCCACCACACCCTTCTTGTGTTCTTTCTCTCGCTGTGTCTCTCTCTGTCAAATAAACATATACAGTCTTTCTAAAAAATTTATTTATTTGACGGAGAGAAAGAGAGCCAGATAACACAAGCCGGGGGAATGGCAGAGGGAGAGGCAGGCTCCCCACTGAGCAAGGAGCCTGATGTGGGACTTGATCCGAGGCCCCTGGGATCATAACCTGAGCTGAAGGCAGACGTTTAACCAATTGAGCCATCCAGGTGCTCCAAGCTTGTGATACCTTGGAAGGGTTTTTGAGAAAGGCACAGAGATTAGAGAGAGGAGAAGAGATTCCCCAAGGATGTCTGAGCCCCACAGTCAAACCAAGTAGCAAGAACAGCAGGAGCCTGGGCAGTGGTCGTGGAGAAGCTTTGGGAGGGCATGGTTGTGTAGGGCTGGAAACCTGGGCCCTTCCCTGTCCGGAGCTTCCCGCAGTAGCAGGGAAGACTCGGGTTAGTGTCAGCCTCCCCCGACTTGGTCTTCTCAAATCTGGGTCATTGCTGCTCCCTCCACTGCGGCCTCACAGTGTTTGGCTTATGCCTCCTTTAGGATGGTTGTGGGAGTATCACCCCTGGCCTGGTAGCCCCTTGAGAGCAGGGCCACTCCTGGTTCATCTTTATATGTCTTACTCATTTTATAGCTCACAGAGCTAACCACAGTTTCCACAGAACCTCACACTGACACAAAACTCTGGTGGTTGCTATCAGATCCCTGGGAGATGGGCGTGGTGGCTTAAAGTGGGACATCTCAGAGGTAAGCTTCCTGTTTAGCCAAAAAAAATAGTCAAAAGTAGAAGAAACACTGGCTGAAATTGACCTTCTGTGCATCTGTGTCGCCTCTTACATTTGAGCTAACCGACATTGCTTTGAATACACAACTGTGAGGGGACAACTGAAGAACTCACCCCAGATGTCACCTCCTGAGGAACTCACTGCCATCTCCCATGGCTTCCTCAGCCTTTCATGTTTCTGCTTGGTTAACTGTGGGTGTGCGATGGAAGACAGAATACTAAGGGCAATGACGAGGTTGTAGAAATGTGGAAAACATGTGTGGGAAAAGAAAGCGTAGCTGGGAGTGGTCTTAAAAAGCTGCTGATAGGGGTGCCTGGGTGGCTTGGTCAGTTAAGCGTCTGCCTTCGGCTCAGGTCATGATCCCAGGGTCCTGGGATCGAGTCCCGCGTGGGGCTCCATGCTCACTGGGGAACTTGTTTCTCCCTCTCCCTCTGCATCTCCCCTCTGCTTGTGTTCTCTCACTCTGTCTCCCTCTCACCGTCAAATAAGTGAAATATTAAAATAAATAAATTTAAAAAAAAGCTGCTGGTAATTTGCCCAAAGATAACAGTTTGATAACTTAAAACAAACTTAATTCAGTTCATTCAAAATTAACAGCCTGCAGGGGCGCCTGGGTGGCTCAGTGGGTTAAGCCGCTGCCTTCAGCTCAGGTCATGATCTCAGGGTCCTGGGATCGAGTCCCACATCGGGCTCTCTGCTTGGCAGGGAGCCTGCTTCCCTCTCTCTCTCTCTCTGCCTGCCTCTCTGCCTACTTGTGGTCTCTCTCTCTCAAATAAATAAATAAAATCTAAAAAATAAATAAATAAAATAAAATAAAATAAAATTGACAGCTTGCAATTTATATATGCCTCCCAATTCCTACTTCATATATGCTACACATTCTAAGGGAATATGTATGTAGTACACCCAGACTGAGTACACGCATATAAAGAGAGGTACATGGACTCACACACCTAGTTAAGTACCCATATACAGAAACACCACTGTGCACACCCTAGTCACTTATCAGTGAGAGACCACTACTTTAAACAAAACTGCCTTTGACAATTCCACAGGGGCCTTGAGATGTGTAACTCACCATTGAGCATCTGAGACCTATTCTTATTGCCCGAGCCCTTTGACTGGAGCATAATAGCCAAAGTGCAAACTCTCCCCGGCCTCCTCTGTTTTAAGTGGACCCCGAGGAGGCCCTGGGTAGCAGTTTCTTAGATAAAACTTTAAAGTGCTTTTGAAAAGTGGACAAGGTATGTGTATATCACTGGGTCTAGAGCAGAGCCCAGTCTCAAGGGACAGGCACCACCCAGTGGGGAGATTCACTAGATCCTAACGCCTCAGTCACGTGGAAGCAGTGATTTTTGACATATCCCAGTTAGTCACGGCTGAGGTTCCGGCATGACTCAGCTAAGTTCAGGATTGAGTCTTACTGCTTTATGCTCTTTGTGTGAAGACAGGCCTCCAAACAAGTGTGGCCACTGGGCCAGACAGACCTCGACATCAACCCTGCCCTCGCCTTACCGATCATGGGCTGAAGGATATTCTCTAACACCCGCACGAGTTGCTGGTAGATCTGAATAGCCAAGTCACTTAGCACCTGCCGGTACTCAGCCAGGTCAAAATTGGTGAGGCAGTGTTCATTCTGGCGAGATGTGTTGTGTTTCATAAAGCCCTAGAATCAGAAAGCAAAGTTACTGACACCAATGAAAGAAAATGCCTCTTCTAACACCTCAGTTTGATCAGATTCCCCTGCTGTCCTCTCTGAAGAGTTTCCACCTGTTCCACTCTTGAAGGCCACATAGTCATTCTCAAATGCTCTGTGTGTTTGTTTCCATCGTATCCTCCCTCCACTTATTAGCTTTTGAGTAATATCTACACTTGGCAAGCTAGAGGTTAACCCTTTCCAAGAACCATGTCAGTGAAACAAAATGGGGGAACTTAATTAGAAAAAAATTAATGAGTGTTTTTACTTATGATGCAACACATTTACTGCCAAACACTGAATTATCTAAAGTACTAACCTCTTAACTTCAGTTCTGTTAAACAGAGTCTTGTTTGAAAATACTGCACCTGAAGGGCATACATCATCTTTTTAAAACAGACCAATTTCTACCGAGATCGGTGAATAAATAAAAAATTTCCCTTTATTATATTTCATGGTAACCATATATGATTTCCAGTCCAAGCATAGAATGGAATTTTTTGGTGGTATTAGTTAAAATGGAAAACCAACTGTACAGGCAGGTATTGTGTCAGACATTGCCTGCTTGATGGACTCCACCTGAAGTCGAGCCTCCCTACAGACTACCGGACAACACAGTCTAGAAGTGGGGACTGACAGGACAGCTGATGGCACCTCAGAGGAATTCTAGTCTATCTGTTCCACCTTCCCAGGGGCTGCATCTTACTCGTATTTATGTTTTCCATCATTTTCCAGGACAACCCTCTGCCCTAGACTCTGGGTGCCCAGAAAATACTACTGGTCAGCTTCTCCGCCTGCACTCCAGGCAAAAAATGGAAGGCATGGACAGAAGTGGGTAGGGGCACAGGCTGCAGAGGCTGGCGGCCCCAGAACCCCAGTTCTGCTCCTTCTGAAGAAGAGGATCTGGGCAAGTTGATGAATATCACCAAACTTCAGTCTTCTCATCTGTAAAACTGGGTTGTAATTCCTACCTCACAGAGATACTGTAAGAATTAAGTAACAGAGTGTACAGAAGTGCTGTCTGATATATACTCAGTAGACCTTAATAAAGAATAATTATTAATATATCACATAGTTTTTAAGTCTATCAAACACCTGATGAACATATCACTGCAAATAAAAACAGAATATGTTTTTGGACCAATCTAAAGAAATATGCCTCAGTTTGATCACCTTTTCTGTATTATGGAAAGCCAAAATTGATGAATTTCTTTAAATTGTTTACTATTTCTCCTATCAGTCCTTGAAAAGTCCACTTTCCACATACTGACAAGAGGTTTCACTGCTCATAACAATTCATTAACTAATGCTCATTTTATTTCTGCTATGCTTTCTCATAATACAAACTCTCATAGGAAGAAACTATGTTGCTCTCCAATTCACTGTTTCATAAACAATGAACATCAAACAAAACTATGAGCTTCCAACCTACCTCTGAATTCAGGTTTCTAAATTAACAACTGGGGGGCGCCTGGCTGGCTCAGTAGGTTAAGCATTTGCCTTCAGCTTGGGTCATGATCTCAAGGTCCAAGGATGGAGTCTTATGTCGGGCTCTCTGGTCAGCAGGAAGACTGCTTCTCCCTCTCTCTCTGCCCCTTCCCCTGCTCATGCTTTCTCTTTCTCACTTGCTCTCTTTCTCTCAAATAAATAAAATCTTTAAATTTTAAAAACAAATGGTTGAATGTTCATGCTTTTAAGTTTTTCCTTAAAGAGGGTAGATGAAAGTACATCATGCGGGTTTTATAATCAAGATTTCCTCACCTCTTCTCCACTGTACTGCTTCAAACAGTGCAAAAATCGGCATGTGTTAGAGAGCCAGAAGGAGACAGTTTCGAAATCATCACCTCTTTTCTGAAAGAGAAAAAAAGGCTAAATTCACTTTTCCTTATGGAAATAGCAACCTGAAAGTAACTGAACAGACACCAGAAGGCCCACTTTTTTCAGTTACATGATAATTACAAAAATAAATCACACTGCAATTGTAAATCTTACATCATTGCTAGAAAATTTCAACCCTGTGTTTGTTGTTTGGTTGTTATTTTGCTTGGCATCTATTTTCTTGCCGTTAGAAAAGGATGCCCACTTAGGTGATGTTAGTTTAGCAGTCCCTTTCAGCAGTTACATGGAGTTAAAAAATTCATCATACCACAGCTTACCCCAACTCACTTCCCTCAGGATTACTCAGGGTATCAGAAAGGTCTGAAAGCACAAAGGGATGTCCCAGACTATGAAGTGCTGAAACCCAGACTAGGTTACAAATTTGGTCAACAATAAGATACAACTCCTGGGGGCACCTGGGTGGCTCAGTGGGTTAAGCCGCTGCCTTGGGCTCAGGTCATGATCTCAGAGTCCTGGGATCGAGCCCCGTATCGGGCTCTCTGCTCAGCAGGGAGCCTGCTTCCTCCTCTCTCTCTGCCTGCCTCTCTGCCTGCTTGTGATCTCTCTCTGTCAAATAAATAAATAAAATATTAAAAAAAAAAAAAAAGATACAACTCCTGAGCAGAGACTGAGAAATGGGGTAGAGGGAGCCCTGTGCAGAACAGGAGAGAGGGGAAGTTGAAAGGCTCTACATCAGGACTGGGTCTAACAACCGGCTGCTAAATCAGAACAGGAACTCGAGGCAAATACACTTCAGTTCAAAACTGGGACGGGAGACAAACTCACATCAATTTTTGAATGGCATCAAAAGGGTGCTATATGTGAGTACTCACTCTTTTTAAATTTTTAAACAATTTGGTATAATAAATAGTTAAACTAGATAAATGTCTTTATGCAATTAGGATGAGAGGGCAAAAATATGATTCGGTTTTGCTGTGTTTGTAGGAGCTGACTTAGAAATTAGTAACACTTGCAGGCTAAATGCGCTATAGCAACGATACACCAAAAATGAAGTGAGTTATATCAGAAGACATTCATCAATTTTTAAATGTTAAATCTTCAGAAGCTCCATGCTTCAGTAACAAGCTAACTCCATCCAAACCTGCCCAGGAGGGACGGGGAACCCGTGTTTGTCAAAGGCTCGCTTCCAGGGACTGCAGGGAGGCTTGTGTTTCATGAGGACAGAGCTTCAGGTGGGGAAGAAGGAAAAGTTCTGGAGGTGGGCAGTGATAGCGGCTGCACAACAATGTGAACACACTTAATGCCACAGAACAGTGCACTGAAAAATGGCTAAGTGGTAAATTTTATGTCTCGTATATTTTACCACAATTAAAACAGTGCATGAAAGACACCTTAGATGTGAGAGCATCCAATGGCTATGTTAACCAGCCACTTATCTCCATTCTGAAGGTTCTCATCCAACTTCAGTTAGATAATCAGAAAGCAAAGTACTTGGAGCACAGTCTCTTAGCTCCTCACAGAAACACGTGAGTTAAAGTTAAGTATCATGTTCACTGTTTTTCTAGAGAGGCAAGAGGAGGATTATGCAAGGTGACTCGGTGATTACTGAGTTAGGCAGGGCTTTCTGCTCTATTACATAATTCTACTGCCTTTCCCAAGTCTTTCCTCTCTGCTTAGTATCTGTGTGTTGCTTCTCACGTGGAACCAGGCATTTCAGGGAACAAGGAAATTATAGGGTGAGTCGGAGAGTAACAGGAAGAAAAGTTGGAAGAAAAATTTTAATGTTTTATCAGACATCTTCTTTATGAATGACCCATGTCGTATTGAACTTCTTTAATACCTTTTTAACTAGAGCATCATACTCCCTATATATAAGGACCACACTAAATATTTTTAATTTACTTGTAAGATCTCAAAACAGACTATTTCTGTTTACAAAGACACTTAATTTACTGTGCAACTTAATGCAATTACATCAAATTAATTTTGATTACTCAAATTTGATTACTCAAATTGCTCCATTGTACAAGAAGGCATATAGACATGTTGCAAAGAAAGACTGTTTCCTACAGTGGAAGTTACCAGTGAAGACTGGAAAGTGTTCATATCGGGCAACTTATCCCCAATTGAAGGAAGGAAAAGACGTTGGTGCAGATTCTGTCATCATTAATGTTCATTAGGAGAATTTTGTTGAACATGAACTGACCTTTAATACTTTTTTGATGCTGTTAATTGTTGATGTTAGCAACGACCTTACTTTCTGATCATCATTCAGATAGTCAGCATGTCGGACACACATGAACAGGATATATGCTGGTAACCCTGGAATCAAGTTGACTGCCACACCACGTGGCTTCAGTTCTGAAAGGAAATGATGAAAAATAATCTTATATAACATTGAAAGTCTTTGTGAGGAATGCTTTGTGAGATATAAAAGCACAGTTCTCGTGAAAGAATTCAATCATTCAGGGTTAAGAGATCATATTAAAAAAGTATATTTTAATGGTTCATCAAGTAGAGAAATTGTTAAGGGTGGGGACATGCGAATCTTAGAACTTCCAAATTTTATCTCTCGCCTTGGTTTCTCCCTTGAACTCCAGTTCCGTGTATCAACTGCCTTCTTGACACCTCTGCTTACGCACATCAAACGGAGTTCATCCCAAATGAAACCAGTGATTCCCTGTGGAACCTGCCCTTCTGGGAGTTGTGCCCCTCTCAGGAAATAGGCTGTTCCAGACTTCTGGTTTCTCAGGTTATATGCTTTGTCAATATTTTGAATCCTTTGTTTTCTCACACCACACATCTAATCCAACAATAAATCCTATCGGCTCTACCTATAAAACACATCCAGAAACTTACTTACTCTACTAACTACCTTACAATAGGCCACCATCATCTTCTCTTGGGCTGTGGTGATGGCTTCCAGACTTGCCTCCCTGATTCATCCCGTTCTCCAGTAGTACCTTTTTCACACAATGATCAGAGTAACTCTATACACAAATGCCACTCTTATTCTGAAAATCTTCCAAGTAGCTTTTCTTTTCAGTCATTTATAAAATAAAAAATCTTCACTATGATCTGTGTGGTCTGGCCCTGTTCCCCTTCCCCAGCTCACTGTGCTCTAGTAACATTTCTCCCTCTCATCCTAATTGCAAGAAGACATTCATCTAATTGAACTCAACATGAGTCTCCTTGCTGTTGGCTGAACATGTCAGGCACGCTCCCACCCCAGGGCCTATGTACTTACCGTTTTCTGCCTGAAATGTTCTTTCCTCAGATATCAGTATGACTTGTTTCCTTACTTCCTTTGATCTCTGTCCAAAGATTACCTTATGGAAGAGAACTTTCCTGACAACTTCATATAAACTAGTATACTTGCCTTTACTCTTTATCCTTTGACCCCATAATATATATATTTTTTCTCTATTCTTCCCAAGTCCCCAATGTAAGACCTTTGAGAATAGGGATTATGAATTACTTTATTCATTACCCAGTACCTAGAAAATGCTTAGCATTTGGTAGAAGCTCACTAAATGTTTATTGAATTAAGGAATCTTTGTTAACTCTATGCTTAAAAACCACTGGCTTCTTAACATTTTTATTAAATGAAGATCATGTTAAAACTTCAGTGCCTTTGCACCCATATATAATACTGGGCTTAATGCCATGAACCCCGGGAACATTAAATCAGGCATAACTGCCAATCACATTGCTGTCAGCCCACACCTGCCAGGAGGAATGCTATGCAAAGGCTGAACAGAGAGGTTTTCCCCTTTTTTGGTTCACAGCTTTCAGGCTGTGTGCACTCCTAACTCCCACCTTCCCTCAAAGAGTCTTCTGGCAGAATCAACAAGCTTATACCCCATCTTAACCCAAAACTGCTCTAAAATGTTTCTTCCATGTCCATTTCATTAGCCCAGTCTTCTCCTTCCATGGCTGGAATCTTTCCCTTAATTCTTTTGTTTCTTTCCTATTACCAAAATGCTGTACTTAATATAGTTAGTTGTGAAAGGAAGCAAGGGAAAAAATGAAACTCAGGAAGTTAAATGGCCCAGAACTGTGGCGTTCAACTGTGGCTACACTTCAGAATCCTCTGAAAGACGTTTCTTTTTTTAATTGTGTTATGTTAGTCACCATAAAATACACCATTAGTTTTTGATGCAGTGTTCCAAGATAAAAAAAATATATTTGGGGGCACCTGGGTGGCTCAGTTGTTAAGTGTTTGCCTTCAGCTTAGGTCATGATCTCAGGGTCCTGGGATTGAGCCCTGCATTGGGTTCCCTGCTCAAGGTGAAGCCTGCTTCTCCCTCTCTCACTCCCCCTGCTTGTGTTCCCTTGTGTGTGTGTGTGTGTGTGTGTGTGTGTGTGTGTGTGTATATATATATATATATATTTTTTTTTTTTTTTTGACGTGGCCAGGCTCTTCCCTCTAGAGATTCTGAGGTAACGAGTCTATGATAGGGATGATACATGAATACTTCTCAAAAGCTTCTCCAGATATTCTAATCTGTAGCCAGAGCTAAGAAGGCCTGGACTCAAAGGACCTTATAGGTAGATCCTAGGCAAGTCTCCCCGAAGTTTGACTGATAATGCAGACACAGTCAGGATGTTACTCCAACAGGATAATGCACAGTCTGCAATGATGATGCAATTAACCAGTGTTGAATATTTAAAAAATTAGTGACTAGTTTTTTCCATTAATGACAAATGTACCAGAAAGACATTCTATCCCATGCAGAAAATACTTGCCCAAAATCAGGTTCTTAACAAGCTTTTGCTCATCCTCCTTCTTGTATTCCAGCATTCCTTGGAAATCCTTTTCTTTCCTGGGAATGTTGACTGGACGGATGGGTTCATCAATGATCTGTCCTGGTGATATGTTCTCCATCTGGCCCACTTAATGAGAAACAAAAAGAAGAAAATGTTTTCTAGGCAGAAAAGATACAAGGATTCTACATTCCAGTAATTTTAAATGAATTCTTTAACAACAGAAACTTGCCATATTTGCCACTTAATTATTTCCTCTTTAAATACTCTTTTCTGCTAAAATTAGGTGGGTAGATGGCAAAATTATATGGTAATGTCACTCCAACAGCCACTAGCACTTGGTTATTATCAACATCAAAGAACCTTACTTGATTCAAAAACTTTTTTTTTTTTTTTGTAATAAAGTTTACTTTGTAGTAAGATTAAATGTCCTAAAGAAAGCGGTTTAACTTTTTGGTTAACTCATCAGTACCATCATAATGGTTAAAGATATTAAGACTTTAAGTCAAAGAAGGGGGAAAAAAACCAGTATTCTACAAAGAGGCAGCAAGAGCATCAAAGATTCCCTCTCACATTTAGCTCTATGAATCCAGTCATTAAAGAAAAAGAACATTTACTTCAAATGCATCATTGCAATCAGTTCAAACCACATCAAGAGAGCTGGCAGAATGGTATTTCTTTGCACTAGTTGATGTGAACTGCATCATTTTTCACACAGGCCTCATGAGGCAAAAACCTAGCTTTCCTCTGCTACCCTTTATTCCCAAAGAAATCTCGAGCAGATAAAACACTTCTATTTAATATGATTCCCTAAATATTATTCTGTTTTTTGCTTGTTTGTTTTTAGTCAAATGCTAGACATCTTACCATGAAGTTGTAACCATTAAAGTACAACCACTGGTTAATGGCCCTTTCAGATGATAAAAATGGTCACTATTGTTAATGGTTAAGTGCTAGAGAAGAGTTACGCTAAGGAGTAAAAGAAAAAGGTCTCAAATTTCATGGCAAAATTGAGAAGTAAATGGGAAATGCAAGGGGAGGGAAAGGAACACAGAGTTATTTTGGTGTTTGTGGAAATATATGCTAATAAGCAGGGTTTTTTATTCTTTCATCTACAGGGAGGGGCAGTTAAGAAATCTACTTAGGGATAGACTGAGTTGAATCTGTTGTCAAACAAACACAATGCAGATCAGAAGCATTAGAATGTTTAACTCCTTGTTGATTCTCCAAGGTATCAGTAGTACTTCCCTTCACTCTGGGCGATTTCCTGTGTTAGTTGTGGGAAGCCGGTTCCACAGGACAAGGTTATCACAGAGAACACCAATACCTGCCAGTGTTCTTGCTTATGTGGCCGAGAGACAGCCTAGTGACACCCTCGTCCACCTCAGGCTGCAGCATCACACACCAGGATTATCAGCGCGGAAAATCACCACCGTCCGTCAACAGTATTATCTAAAGAGTGACCATATTGTGACTGGACAAGTCAGGGCTGTGGCATCTAGTGCTTCATGTGCATGGTAAAATGTATGTCTCTATACAGGAGACAGGAGATTCAAGCCACTTAGTGTTATACTGATTACTTCTGGAGTCGGTTTATACATAACAGCATGGGGGTCTCAGAATCAGCCCATGGTGGCATCTGCCACTTGTCAAGTACAAGAGAGTAAAGTCCCTGCCCTCTGTGGTACTAGTCGTTCTGAGCCACAGAAACGATTCTGTGAGGGGAAACAGATTCAATATATTACGTTTAACAATAAAGGTATGTATTTGGGCTCTATCTAACCCCAAGAGAATGTTTTAAGCCTACTGATTTCATCCACTGATAGTGAGAGATACCATTATTTTACAGAACACTAAAGAAGGAAAAACACTGCCAGTTAAACTGCACCTCGTCAACAGTCTTTGAAAGATGCAACCTAATTTAAGATGTTAAAATGTAAAAATTTGAGTACCTCAGAATTTATGAAATATGGTAATTATTTTTACTAGGAGATTTCCCTTATTAAAAGAAAGCTTCAGGGGCACCTGGGTGGCTCAGTGGATTAAGCCTCTGCCTTCAGCTCAGGTCATGATCTCAGGATCCTGGGATCGAGCCCCACATCGGGCTCTCTGCTCAGCGGGGAGCCTGCTTCCCTCTCTCTCTCTGCCTGCCTCTGTCTACTTGTGATCTCCCTCTCTCTGTCAAATAAATAAATAAAATCTTTAAAATAAATAGATAAATAAGTAAATAAAAGAAAGCTTCACTTTCTTTTTGCAAAATCTCTAATCTAGATATTTTTGGTTCTGTACAAAAACGTCAGAGACAAAAATTGCCCTACTTGCATTAAAATTTTCTCTTGCCTTTGATTCTCCTCAGAGATGTGAGTCTTTACAAAAATTCATAAACAAAATATGGATGTCAGCTCAACACGACCTTGATTTATGTAGCAAGCCATCTACTAATGAAAATAAAATGTCAACCTTCATGTATGCAGGATCAGGAAAATATAAGGCCTAAAAGAAAGAACCCAGGACCACATTCCAGTTTTCAAAGACTAGTAAGACCTTGGGGATCATTTGGTCCAATGTTACATCTAATACATGCTTTCTTCTAGAAAGACCTGAAGCAATCCCTATTTTCATTTTCTGGATTCTTTATACTTGAGGGGAAAATATTCCTGAATTTTTTTTGTCCTGGAAAAGGAAGGGAAATTGGACAACTTTTAAAATTTATTTTTCCTCACTTTGGAACCAGAAAGTTCTTGATTCCAGGTTTAATAGAGACAGTAGACTAAATTCCTGTAAGTCAAGAGGTTATGTTGGAAACTATGACACAGAAGAGAAAAGTCGGTGATCCTTGAAGGCATGGGCTCTAGTTCCAGCTTGGCTACTTACGAACTGAGACTTTGGCAGTCACTGACGGTTTCTGGGCCTCTGTTTTTTACTCCCACGAAATAATTAACTGATTTCTAGAATTCTTTTAGGTCTAAATTCCCTGACTCTTTGAAAGTTGAGATGCAACACCCACTCCTGGGTTAAAATATAGCACAAAGCAGATCAAATTTTGAAATACTCTCCATTTCACTTTATAACTTCTGCTAAAAATGATGTATGTTGGCGTTTTAAAAACAGGCTTCATTGGTTTCTTTTTTAAAAAAGTCTCCTTAAGTAAGGGTAGCCCATAGGAGGAGGCAAGAATCTTGCTATTTTAAACCAGAAGAATGTAAAGTATGTTATATTTAGAGAAAGATATAAGAAAACTTTTAGTTCTTAAAAGGTGCTTTTGTTGTGGAAAGTTCCCTGTTTTTTCTGTATAATGGAGGATATAGAAATAATAAGAGAAAATATTAGAAGAGCTTGTTTTTACTTTATTTATTTCATTTTATTTAAATATTTTATTTATTTGACAGAGAGAGCACAAGCAGGCTCCCCCCTGAGCAAGGAGCCTGGTGCTGGGCTCCATCCCTGGACTTTGGGATCATGACCCAACAAAGGCAGACGCCAAACAGACTGTGCCACCCAGGCGCCCCGAGCTTGTTACCTTTAGTCTCTAATTTGGAGGAGGAGGACTCAGCATGAGCCCAAGTCATATACATCTATTTCATTTTATTCTTTAGATACATATAATTTAATTTGAAATATAACTTTTCTTAAGAATATAGTGTCTTTTTGTTTAACCTATGAAGGGCCTTCTCAAATGCTACTTATAGGTTTGAGAATACAGCTGGCAGCGTAGTTTAACTAATGAGATAGATTTCTGATTGATAATGGCTTAAAATTGCTGACATTTTGAAATATTGTAACCTATCTCAATTAAAATATACATATTGAAGAAAGCTGAATAAAAACTTAAAATAATAAGTGGCTTTGCTATTAGCCAAATTTTACTAATATATTAGAAAAAATCATTAGAATTAAAAAAAATAATCTACTAATTAATATCCTTAAAATCAGTTCGTTCAGGCACTCTGTTGTCTAATTATCCTCTCATGACATAATTAAAGCAGGGTTAAGAGCAGAAATGTTTTCCAAATAAAATTTTTTTTAAAGTTTTGTTGATAGACATTATAGTCCATGCGTGCGTGATTTGGAGGTTCAAAATTTTAGTGTAATGTATGAGTCATGTAATATTAAAGGTTTATAAATAAATTATGACTGCAAAGTAAACTGTCTGACTTCTAAACAAATATTTCAGCATTTGTACATCCAAAAGGGTATTATCCTCTTCAAAGTAAACATCTATGTTGTCATTCTAAATATTTTTGGAACTTACTTATTCATTCAACAAACATTTAAGGAATGATTATGATAGATCAGACACTATACTAGGTGCTCATAGGTGCTATAAAAATAAGGGGAAATAAAAGGCAGTCCCCTATGCTCAGGAAGCTCATGTCCATAGAGAAAGCCAGTGATTCAAACAGAAAAATTACTGCAAGTGTGACAGTGAAAACCACAAAAAAAGTGAGCCACTGTGGTACACAGAGGCCAGAGCCATCAAGCCTGCCTGGGTGATCAGGAGAGGCTGCTCTTGAGAATGTGACATATGGCTTTGGTCCCAAAGGATGAGAAGGACTTCACCAAAAGAAGCAGGAAGACCAAACAGCAAGGACAGTTATGAGAGACCTGGCATGTTGGAAGAATGAAAACCACACAGAGTTAACATGGGAGACCCTTCTGAACATTCCAGACTACTCTGAGTAACACTGAGAGAACAGGGGGGTAGTCGGACTGCACAGTGTCCCTTTTGATCAAAACTGCACAGGTTGAAGGCAATTCCAAAGAGGGTTTCTAAGTCTCTTGAACAAAGAATATTGTTGGACTAACTTAAAAGCTGGCTTTATCTCCATTCACTGCTATACCCCTAGCATGTAGGTATATAGGGAAGGAACACACTAATCTAAAAGACAAGATTCATTTGTATACAATAACAATTGATATTTTTATCATTTTTTTCAAGGTGTTTTCCCATCATCATATATAAATCATGAAATGTTAAAAAAATCTTATTTCTTTATAATCGTAATTCATTTTTTCTTTCTCTTTTTTCTCCATTAGATTCTTTGAGGATACAGACTTTGTCTTGCTCATGATAGTATCCTTAATACTAACTTTAATTATAATAATAGTTAAGTTGTATATAGTATTTACTATGTGTCAGGAAATACACTAAACACATTACACACATTCATTCATTTCCTCCTTACAAACTGTCAGGTAAACGCCATTTAACATTGATCATTCCCATTTAACAAGTGGGGAAACGGAACCATAGAGAGGTTCAGTAACTTGACCAATATCAGATGACTAACATAAGAGCTGGTAGTTGAAGACAAGAACCTTGGTTCCAGAATCCATGTGCTTAACCTCTGTGTTATACTGCCAAGCACAGCATCTAGCACATAGAATATAGTCATTAGAATCTTGTTGAGTAAATTCTCTCTCTTCTCAAAGAACATTTTTCCTTCCTTAACAATAGAAATTTCCACTCCATAGAGGTCAGGTTTGCCGTTATCATCATAATATTTGCATGCAAACCTGTCAGACCACTGGTATAAACAACAAAATCAAGATTTGGCAATTGTTACAAAAACATGTTGAAATACCTTCTAGTTCACCAATTTTTTTGGCAAATACTTTCAGTTGTTTTTTCAGTTTCCGAACAGTCTTATCTTGTTTTTCAAGTTGTTCCATCAGATCCTAAAGATTAAAATGAGAAATAAAACAGAAAGATCAAAATGGGCCTTCTAAAATGCACAGAGGGAAAGCAGACACAAAATCACAAGCACAACGCTGTTAGTTTTACATAAAAGCTCCAGAAATGCTCGCTGGTGGAGCCACCACCTGGCTAAAATTGGCAGGCACGGAAACGCAGCTACAATAAAAGCCAAATGTTAAAATACACACTACAGTAAATCTTTTACAGCATGATGGATAGCGGGCTCATTGGGGAGTCTTTTCCAGTAGACTCCTATGTGGGTAAAACAATTAAATGCTCATAAAATGTACTGATCTTTAGTGGAATGCTTTCTCTCAAGGGGGAGGAGGCAAAATAAATTTTGATAGATGCTCAAAAAGTTCCGTGGGAAGTTTTAAGGATGGCTGAACTTAGGTTGGGCGTTTTGACTGACACCCATGTGAGAGACCCACCCTTTGGAGAGGCTGACATGAGTCCTATAACTTAAGAGCCTTGGGGAATTAAAAGGTAACTTGAAAAAATATCCACCGAGAAAGGATAAAGAGTGATCTGCTGACCTACAAGTGGCAGGTAGCATAACACACCCATAAAAATTCGCAGGCGACATAATTTTGCTTATAGAGGAAAAGGAGGGCAATTCCAAATGCTATATATGCAAAAAACAGAAAGAAAGAACCCAGTACATTCAAGGGGAGAGGGTTAAAAAAAAAAGTCTGTAATGACTGGCTATTTAATCAAGAATTCTCAAATCACAGGCAATGTTAAGAGATCAATAAATAAGAAGAGAGTGGGTAACAGCAGACTCAAGCTCAGGAGAGAAGTCAGTCAGTGCTGCCTGTATGTGGTTGTTATCTGCGCTGCGGTGAAGGAGAGCATCTGCAAACACAAATACTCATTAACTTTCCAGTCCAGACAGCGCAGATTTAGATACTGGACCACGGATCCAAAGGGAAGAGCTGCTAACATTTCAGAGGGTTCAGTAGAGCTTCTGGGATTTGACTTTGTTTTTCAAATCCCATTTTGCTTCCATCACACTGTAAGCCTCGTGTTAATAACAAACCCGACGCGACAGTGGACGCAGGACACTGACAGAGGTGACACCACCGGCTAAAAGACTGCTATGGGGAGAAACAGGTCTCGTGAAAGTGTTTGAAGAGATTCCTGAGGAGGGGCGGGCAGCAGTGTGCTCTTGAGTAAGAGAGGCTACAGGTAGCGAGGGAGACAACAGAAATGCACTCTTGAGTTTACATACAATCATCCGTTTGTAAAGTGAAATCCGATAGGACTGATACTTCTTAGGGTCATCTGCATATAATTCCTCAAAATACTGAAAAAACAGGCACAACGGATATTTCTTTTTCTCTGTGTCTCTGAGGGGAATGTGACCTTTCAGCAAAATCAATTTAAAAATATTTCACAACACAAATAATGACAGTAGATGTACTCAAAAGGCTGATTTGTCATCGGCCAGAGGACAGAGGATTTGAATTCTATATGGATACACACATACACATATATTTTCATGTGCTCAGAGGCTGTGGCTCAGGCGCCATCAGTTAGCCAGTTAAACAGAGCAACGGCCCATATTCCTCCAAGAAATCTGGTTATTTCACTCCTTGGATCTGCTCACAAGTTGCTGTACTTTTTTTTCTGCAGCTAGCAGCAGTGGCAAGGGTGAGAAAAGCAAATAAAATGGAAGTGAGAATCAGGGCAATGTTGGCGCTCTTGCCTGAAGTTGGCAAGGCTGGTGAGAAGCTGTGTGTCTTCCTTCCCTCAAGGCAGCATGGGGGAGGCCTGTGGAGCATGTTCACAGGTGGAGGCAGAAAGGCCATCTTCATGTTTATGTCAGGAAGTAGGTGGGTATGTGGGTTATGCAGGGTAGAGTTTCCAAAAATACTAAGCGTCGGTCCATTGGGCTTTACTATTCTGCTCAAGTGTTTCCTAAAGAGATGCACAATTAAGACTGAGAAACTATATAATGGTTTTGAAAATTGGATTATTCCCTATACTTAATTTTGAAACCACTCTCCAGAATTAGTAGTCAGGGAGGTACGGGAAGCAGCTGACCTGCAGAGGGTTTTCTAAAACTCAGAGAAACTCATGAACGACACTCTACCCCACAGAATCTAAGAGCTTAATTTACTGTCGTATTAGCTATGAAAAACTGCCAAGAAAATTAATACTGCAGACAAGGTTGCAAAAGAAATGATTAATTGACTTAGTGAAACAATTGGGAATTTGCCATCCAAAAGCATCTCGATTTCACAGTTTCGCCTTGTATTTTAGAACAGTCATTTATAAGCACAGAATTTATACACTGATCAATTGTTATAATTCAGTATATTTATCAATTCTTAGGCAGTAAAGCACTGTTAGTTTAACTTAAGCAACAATATACTTGAGAGTAATAAAATGACGTTTCAAAATTATTCCATGACATTTTCCCCCACAAATTAGTGGTATTTCAGTCACTTTGGAAAGAATCTAACACCCCTCACGTGCTTCTCCCACTTCCACAATGGAGCCCCACATAGCAAGCTGCCTTCAGAGGGACAGACGGTGAAAAAGAAAACTTTTGGGCTTTGCATCTAATTGATACAAAAGGTGGTTGAAGAGATGACACTAGTAAATGATCACTAATGGAGTTAATTATAGTAACTCAGACTGTTAAATCTTCCGAGAAAATCCAAACTGCTTTATTAAAGTTCATTAAAACCCTGAATTAAAAAAAACAAAACAAGGGGTGCCTGGGTGGCTCAGTGGGTTAAAGCCTCTGCCTTCGGCTCAGGTCATGATCCCAGGGTCCTGGGATCGAGCCCCACATCGGGCTCTCTGCTCAGCGGGGAGCCTGCTTCCTCCTCTCTCTCTGCCTGCCTCTCCGCCTACTTGTGATCTCTGTCAAATAAATAAATAAAATCTTTAAAACAAAACAAAACAAAACAACTCAATACCACTTCTAAATAGCTTTTCTCAAAACCAGGCTGACACTACAATATAGATTTTATATAGGAATGTGGAATTATAACTTTTCAATGACTTTTAATGTAATAAATGTATCTATCAAACTTAAGTAGATTTACAAATCTGTAATAAAAGTTATTTTATTTTAGAATAAAATTTATTTAGAATAAAATTTAGAATAAAAGTTATTTTAATTTAGAAATATTTTAGAAAATACTTCCTGTAAAAGAAAGGAAAAAAGGGAAGAAGAAATAACTTGCACTCTGGGCCAGCATTCAGAATCTGGCAAGGGGGAAAAAAATCTCATTCACTGAACTTCTGTTAGAATAAAAAATGTATAAACTTAAATCCTAATGTCCGTCCACCCTGCCCTGGGAGCTCTGGCTAACGTCAAGCAAAAGCCCTGCATGGTTCTGCCATCTACCTTCCCTGACTGTAACTGCAACCCCTGCCTGCCTGCTGGAGACAGAGCAGGAAGGGCCTCGGTGGCTGCCTGGAAACCAAAGGTCCACAAAGCTTGTCCCTGGTCTCTACTGTGACCATCACAGAGCAAACCCCCTCGCAATGGCAGAGAATCTGCCGCCAACGTGGAGGAAGCAGGTCACCTGAGTTCTCGAGGATGACAAAGCCCAGCACACAGTGCAGGGAGATCTCCGGAGCCCTCCCAGACGTGCCAGAACCTTCTGTCAGAAACATGACCTGTGCACAACCTGTGCTTTTTTCGTTTCTACCCACATAATCACATCTTCCTTACTCTGTCTCTGCTGGAGAAGAAGGGTATCAAGTGTCGGGCAGCGAGTTTTTCCCAGCCCAAACAGATGTGTTTGATCAAAAAGAAACTGGGACGGTCCCGCAGGGCCAGGCACCGCTGGTGGCAGGATGTGTGGCCCTGGCACCTCTGCTTACCAAGTTCTCGTTGGTCAGCCTGGTGATCTCGTGCTGCAGGCTGGCCTCGATGCGGGCCTCCGGGGGCAGCTGCAGGTTCTGGGCCAGCAGCTGCTGCTGCCGGTTGTTCTCCTCCTTCAGGCTCTGGATCTCCCCGCGAAGGGCTTCTGCCTCATTCTCATGGCTCCTCTTCTGGGACTGCAGCTGGGATTCCAGGAGCCTGAGGAGAAGCCACACAGGTAGGAAAGGGAGATGACATGCAAGGCTCTGCTGGCTGGGTGTGAGGCATTAGGCTCACTCTCACGGGCGGGAAAAGCGGGGAATTTTTAGCGTTTGTGCAACTTCGGACTTCGTTTAAGTCAAGAAGCTCAAACAAGGGCCAGCAATGGAAAGAAGTGAATCGCCCTCCTCTATCTTTCTGAATTGTGGACCATGCTACAAATACAACAATTCTCAAAAGCCCTAAGAGACAGTCAAGTTTAGGTTCTTTTGAAAAGTTTATAAGGAACGATGACAAACTAGCATTTAAGTTGGCAAAGACAGTACATTTGCCACAGAATAACTCTGCACGGTAGAGGACAAGCAAGATTACAAAGTCCCGATCTGATTAAATATGTCTTTAAGAATTTCAGTGTTACTTATTTCAGGCAGAGGGTATGACCAGGGTCCCATTTCTACTTTCTACTCTTATCTCTGGGGGACAGAAAGGCTGGAGTGGGACTCTGAAATATATACAGATTTACCCAGATCCAGACAGATCATTCTGAAATTTCACATACATGTATTTTAAATTTGTCATTTTCTCTCTCCCCCATAAGCTTCCATATCAATAACAGAATCCTAACATGATGCGGTTTAAAACACAGATGTTCATAGGACAAACAAAGCGGTTATGGCTTCTCTCAGCAAGCACACAAGTCAGCCGTGCCTGTAAGCAGACCAGAGCGCCGGCCGCGAGAATACCAGGGAGAAACAGCATCCTGCCTTCACTGTGCATCCCACTTCTATATTCACCCCCTTTCCAAACACAAAACAAAGTTATGGTTAGGAATTAACTAACAAGAAGAAAAGAAAGACGATCTTTTATCCTTATCTCGTCTGTTATCAACTGCTGGGCAAAAGCTACTGACGCCATGGCAAGTAAACAGTTAACAGCAGACTAAAAATATTTCAGCGATTATAAAATTCCAAGGGCACGTGAAATGAAAACACCACTGAGTTAATGACAATGGCTTGTGATTAGAACAAACAAAGCAGAATGAGGAGTCCCTTGAACAAACAGTTAAGTATTTTTAAAATTTAATCACTAACATGGTATTTTAATGAGATCTGAAAGATACAAATATCCTGAGAGCAGATGAGTGTCTGTGTTAGAAAGCTGTTGCTGTTCCAATTTTATTTGCTTTCCCCTAAACACATTTAACGTGTTGAGTTTGGGTAATTATTTTGAACTTCAGCAATGTAGGAGACCCTCCTGATTTGTGGTTTCACACATCTGAGTTTCACAGTAATCACAGAGAATGCCAAATTGGGCGTGCAACAACTACTGCTGGGCAGCGCGGTGCTGTGCATAAGGATGCAGGCTCACTGCCAAGGGTGCTCATGTCCTTGAGATTGGTCATTATTCCAAACAGGAAACCACTAAGTAATCGGTGTTAATCTCTCACATTGTAGTTTGGGCTCTCCTTGAAAGGTTTTGTTTTGTTTTGTTTTCCAACTCCTAGTGAGATATGCAGAAATTACTGCATGTGAAGGGAAAACCCTACACTCATGGGCAGCAACTCTTATATTCACTATCCATCCATTTCAGCTCTAATTGCATCCCTTAGTGGAGAAAGTTTTTAAGAAGGTGTTGGACTGACTGAAATTCCCCCAGGAAGACAATTAAAGCAGAAGAAACATAGAAGTTAAAGTCAGAAGGCCACTGTTAGTAAGAAAAACAACAAGTTAATAACATTCCATTTTGAAGAGACAAATATAACCTGTTGGCTTGTTTTAAGCCTTCATAAACCAGCCACAGCTCTCCATCCTCATTCAACTCATGGCAGTCCATAGCAGGGAGTCTTCCACACAAAAGGAACAACAATGCAAAACACAAGGGTACAGGATGGTCATGAGATGATGATGGTCAGGAGCAGCACATGGTATTCCAACTGAGTCAGCAAGACTGGTTTATTAATTACACATGGGTGTAAGACATTATCACAAAAATTACTTTTGGTTAATTTTTTAAAAAATGGGTAACATGTAACGTCGCATGTCAATGGATAGAAAGTAAAACAATAATCATGGAGCCAGAGCTACTTTTCCTGCAGAATAAGAAATGACTGAAAAGGTGAGAAAGAGATTCCGTTTTTAACACTTTATTCAGCTAGCAAAGTGATCTTATACATCACATATTATCTTATTAGAGACCGAGATCAACTACGACAGTCATACACACATAGAATGAAAACTTCAGTGACTGTCCTCACATGGTACTCTTCACAATCCATGTCAAAATTAAGTTCTAAGTCTTCTGAGTAGGAACTTGTTTTTGCTTAATAAAATCTGCTTTCTTGCTTTTAAAATTGTCTTAAGAAATTCTTAAAGGAGTAACTTATAATTAAGAATATGTCCAAAGTTCTCAGCTTTTTGACACAACTGTTAAAAAGATTTTTTCACGTCAAAAATTAATGTTAAAATCTGGGGAAACTGCTTTTACACTATTATTTTTTTTTTTTAAGATTTTATTTATTTATTTGACAGAGAGAGAAATTACAAGTAGGCAGAGAGGCGAGGGAAACAGGCTCCCCGCTGAGCAGAGAGCCAGATGCGGGGCTTGATCGCAGGACCCTGAGATCATGACCTGAGCTGAAGGCAGTGGCTTAACCCACTGAGCCACCAAGGCGCCCCTACACTATTATTTTTTTAAGATTATTTATTTATTTGAGAGAGAGAGATAGTATGCTAGAGAGAAAGAGAGCACAAGCGAGGAGAGGGGTGGAAGGAGAGGGAGAAATAGACTCCCCACTGAGCAGGGAGCCTGAAACAGGACTCAATCCCAGGACCCTGGAAACATGACCTGAGCTGAAGGCAGACGCTTAACCAACTGAGCCACCCAGGTGCCTCTGCTTTAATATTAAAGATGTGATACTTTTTATTAGAAGCATGTGTAGCGGCCCCTGGGTGGCTCAGTTGGCTAAGCACCTGACTCTTGATTTCAGCTCAGGTCATGATCTCAAGGTCTTGAGATCAAGCACCGTGTCAGACTCCACGTTCTGTACTGGGCATGGATCCTGCTTAAGATTCTCTCTCTCCTTCTGCCCCCTACCCCTACCCCACTCACTCTCACTCTCTTGTGCATACTCTCTCTTTAAAAAGTATGTATAAATAATAAATAATAATGACAAAGTTGATTACAGGTTTTTTTACCTGGGGTATAAAAATATTTTTAAGTATCTACCATCAGACACGTTCCACACCCTTCCACATGTATTACTTCATTTAGTTCTCCTAGTAACCCATTGTGTATTATTTGCCACACTGCAGAGGAAGACACTGAGGCTTAGAAATAAGATACTTAGAGGCTATACACTGGTGAGTAGGAGAGACCAGGCCTATCTGACTCCAGAGCCCAGGCTTTTACTCTTCCTACTAGACTTTTGTTAATATGATGTGTACAGAAAGCGCATTCCAGAGAATGTTCTCCTATTTACCGTCTCCTCCTGGAGAGTTGATCTATTTTTATGGTCTCAATTGTATTATTATACACTGATGACTTCAAAATTTATATCTCAACCCACATACCTCTCCAATTCCAGATCTAGATGTTCAACTGCCTAATGGGTTTCTCTCCTTAGATGTCTTCCTAGCTCCTTGAATTCATTATTTATAAATCTACTGATCATCTCCACCCTGTGCCTCCCCACACTGCAGACCTAGGATCATGAAACGGTATTACCACATCCAACCAAGTATTCACCACAGACCATCTAGGATTCTCTATCCCTCACTCACAAATCCAAGCCACAAGGCTTACTGATCTCATCTTAGGTATCTTACGTATCTTTCAAAGTGTCCCATTTCTCTCAATCTCAACAGCCACCAACCAAGTCAAGTCACTGTAATTAGTCATTCAATTACAGTAAGAGCTTCCTAACTGGTCTTTATGCCTTCAACCTTGTTCTACTATAATCTATTCTCTAACATAAAAACCAGGGCCAGCTCTAAAATTCCAATACCATATTTTTCTCCTACTTAAAACATTTCAACAACTTTGACTGTCACTGGAGTGAAGTCCAAATTGTCTTGGTTACCTCCCCAACAGTCTACAAACTCTGTGAAGGTAGGAACTGCATTTACCTTCCTTACTGCTATATTCCCAGTGTGTGACATAGGGCTGAGCATGAAACAGGTATGCGATCCATTATCTGGTGACTAAAGAGTAGAGTGCATGGATAGACAGGGTAATAGAGCTCTTCCTATACTAACACACTCTTAGATAGAAGATATGCTTATAATTTATATCATAAATTAAAATTTAAGGTTAATCAAATACTTTTTAAGCATTCTCCATTCTCACCCATAAAACAAGGTAATAAGTACCTTACATGTTGCTTTGGCAACATGTATTTCTGTACACCAGTCCTGACACTACACATCAGGAGACTTAGACCGCACACTAACTACACAAATCCCAGAACTGTCCTTCTCTGTGCTCATCATTGGCCATGTTTTCTTAAGCATGTAGCCTGTAAGTTCAGAGTCCGAAGCACGGAGGCTCGGTTGGGAAGTGGTTTGATAGGAAGACTGAGGGAATTCCAGAGATGAGCCATCACTTGGTGATCATCTCAGCTACAGAGAAAGTCTTCGATAAAGTTTCATCATTTAGGTGCAAATCCTGCACCCTCAGTCAGCCTACCGAAGCTCTTAGGTGTACAGTGACTGAGCTAAGTGCCGTCTGTAACTTCACTTGTGTTTACAGTAAATAGGATAAAACTAGGGTTAGGATTTTTCTCAGAACACCTTAGAAGGGACGCCTGGGTGGCTCAGTTGGTTAAGCAGCTGCCTTCGGCTCAGGTCATGATCCCAGCGTCCTGGGATCGAGTCCCGCATCGGGCTCCTTGCTCGGCAGGGAGCCTGCTTCTCCCTCTGCCTCTGCCTGCCACTCTGTCTGCCTGTGCTTGCTCTCTCTCTCTCTCTGACAAATAAATAAACAAAATCTTTAAAAAAAAAAAAAAAAAAGAACACCTTAGGAAATGTGACAAATACTTGATCTTAAATGTCAGGGTCCCATCCTAGAAGTCATGGTACACTTGTAGAATGATATGGCCAACAGTGAGTTGATTTCAGATACTTCATTACTTCTTTCCTCACCAGATTTCATTACTGAAAGCTAAAGTTGTCCCTACCAACTGGGATTCACAAATAACCCACCATCCTAAACAAAAAGTGGAAGTGACTACCCAAGACAGTTCGACAGTGAGCAACTGGTTTTCTTCTCAAGACGGAGACTCTAAATATACAGAAATATAATTCTTTGATGTAAACAACATCCCCCCTGACAACTCTCATCAATAATGCTACCTCATATTAAAAATGACATTTTAACTGGGAACATGTAGGAAACCTTGAATTCCATCTCAAGGTCAGCGGATCTCTAATAAAGCAATACATAAACACTTTGACTTACTATACAAGAGGCTGGCTTAAAGTCCAAAGATATACATGATTATGATTAAACTAAAATGAATAAAAAGAGAATGGACTTACCTGTTCGTTTCTTTCAAACCAATGTATGCTTGGGCTATTTCACCCTTATCTTTCATTTTTTGTACATCTTCCAAAAGTATTGTGGAATCTGTCATTGTGTTCTGAAGAGGAAAACAACACATTTCCACATTAACACAGTCAGCTCAAAATCTGGACCACAGACAATAATTTTTTTCCTCCAGAATAGGGGATTTATGCATTCCTCCACATCTCTGTCCCACCAGAGCACCGGCCTAGCCCTGTGCAACTCCATGGAAGGGGCGGGCATAGGCAGTTAAGAGAAAGAGACACCTTCAGTTCCTCCCTTGAAAATCCCTCTAGCTCTGCTATAAAGGTGGTGAGATTCTAGAGTACTACTGTCCTGTAAATAAAATCACTGATGGGCAGTGTGTGTTTTACATTATGTGAAATATATATCTATTTCAAATATGTATATATTCCATTAAGTAGTCCCTTGGTGTCCTTGTCTGATAATTGGTCTATGCTATTATAATTTATATACTTCAATGTGTGTGCGTGTGTGTGTGCATCTATGTGTGTGTGTATACACACACACAATATATGTATATATACTTCATATATGAAAATATAGATATATTTCCAAGTATACACAAAGCATTAGAACAATAACCGGCTAAACCAAGCAACTATTGAATGAACAAAGAACAGAAGCTCTTCTTTCCACTACTTCCCATCTAGTTATAATAAAACAAATGCCCCAGTAAAACAATGTAAAGTTTGACATAAAGCTCATTATTCAATTAAAAACTCAGTACAAAAAGGTAGATGATATGCTTTAGCAAAATTAGAAGTTTTTTCTCACGTATTTAGATATATATAAACGGGAAGGATTTAGCTCCTTGTAAATATCTACCATCTGCCATTATTCAACTCTTTCTTCTCTGTTAAGTTATAGCATGGCACATAAGTTTTTGAAATACATTTCTGGCAGGTCAGCATTACCAATGATTTTATATAAAAAGCACTTTTCTGCTAACATCTTTACTTCCTTTTTTAATTTTTCCTTTTTGGTCTAATCTGACAACCAACATAATTTCCAAATCTTGCTTCTACTCAGCTACTCTCTGTATCTCCTAAACCAGGGCAAGAATAGACTAAGCAGTACTGCTCGATAGCCTCTAGAGAATAATACATGTTAGAACCCAAGAGTCCATTCTATTTGTCTGAACAGTATATGTCTGATCTGGTAGTCAATGTTTACTCCAAAGGCAGATCTCACAATGAACTTAATAGAATGTACTTCAAAAAACATGATCTTACAGACCAGTTCTGAGATAAGTTCAAGACCAGTTCTTGATAAGAAATATAAAAAAAAAAAAATCTCACTTTTCTCCTTATAGCGTCTTTTTGTGAGCTTATAAATGCATCCTCAGAGAAGACCAAATATAATCTGATAAAAGCTATTAACAAGAGCTTATATTTTACTGAATTTTAAACATCTTTCCCTAGGCACCACATGAAGCATTTCTTTAGCTACGATTTATATATATTTTAGTATATCTTTCATAGAAAATTTTTTTCTTTCTGTGAAAGAAAATTTTTCTATTCTACAAAGGACCATACTCAGATTTTTAACATCTAAATAGCAACTCTCAAAGACCCAGTCCCTATATTAAATAATGCTGTATTTTCTGATATCTGAAGACCTACATGATGTACTTTTGAACTTTCAATAAATTAGGTAATTTGATCCTATATTAACTAATCTAAAGGAAAGATGAGCTTCTTGATATGCTGTTTTCCTGATGGTAAGCAGCCAGCTGTTTCCCCATTTTGCCTACCTTACCTAAGAACTGGTGGTTGGGGCATGGGATAAGACATGGACCACCAGCACTAGGACATTCCTAACTCACAGCTGAAAGTCTGTCTCCCCCAAGCCAGTGATCAGAAGTTTAGAAACGATTGCACCATGTAGGAAAATCCTACCCTTCCCAGGAAGTGTGTTCTCTACTGAGGCTCCTTCTCACCCTTGGCCAACAAATCCACAGTTGCTCAACAAAAGTGTGGGACAGCTATGCTTTTTGGTGTGCTCCAAGTTAAGGGACTCTTATCCTGGGCCCCCATGTTTGTGGATGGCCTACCATTACTGCTAGAGTGGGTCAGAGAACTGACTATGAATTAGAAATCATGGAGATCTCCTTGTGATCCAAACTGAAACCTACTACACCCATTATTTTTCCACTGCCACAGAGAGGGCTCAAATAGGAAATCAACTTGTAAATATCAAAATAGATTTGGTGGCCAGAAGCATCAATTGCATATTTTGGGTGAATACTTATAAACTAAAATTTAGTATTCAATAGAAGTATTTACTAAATTTTTTTTGAAAATTTTATAATTACCTTGTCATCCTGAAAATCACAAGTCAGCAAGCACAAAAAAACAAATGGAGAAAATAATAAACCTTTAGTTCCATAAATAACCCATCAATGAAAGAGAAAAGCAAACCATAAGAACCCCAAAATTAGCATTCATGGAACCAGCATATGGTAGACATTAATATAAATATTTATGTGATAATTCTTAATTTTCAAGAACAAGTGCTTGAAATTCTTTTTGAGTTGTTTTGGTTTTTCCAATTTGTGAGTATGTGAGAAAATGACCCTCCTGCTAACGTATATGGGTAAAATTCTTATCCTAGGTGTGTGAGAGTTACAATAAAGCTCTGATAGGAGGTCATTTGTCCAAGTGAAGCCTTCCAGAATACTCAGAGAGGCAGGGTAGATGAACTAGATTGGCTGGGCTGGATTACCACCTACCTCACTGGGCGTCACTCACTACTGCCCTGCAAAGGAGTTGTGCAAGGATGAGTGTCTTGGACTGGAAGCTGAGTAGGAAAGACAGCCATGGGTTTGAAAGGTCTCCATCTGTGTCATGGGCCTTTTTCTTAGCAAAGAACAAGTTGGAGAGCAGGGGTGTTGGTGAGACAGGACCAGTCCATTTTAGGGGCTAGAGACCAGCTAGCTGTGAGCTGGGTGAGTGAGAACATGTGATACCAGAGTTATGTGCTCTGTTAGCTGGATTGTTTTTATGCCCCTTGGTTCATTTTTCTTTTCCTTTCCCTTAACTTTAACTCAAGTTTCTTTTTTTTTTTAATTAATTAATTAATTTATTTTTAACTCAAGTTTCTTGTGAGAATACCACTTTGTCACAAGGGAACCGGAGAACGGAATGGTGAGTTTTGGACTCTGCTCCAGCTGGTATGCAGACAGAGTCTTCGATCTCAAGGCCCAACCACAGTGGTAGTCATGGGAACCAAACTGAGACAGCCTTGGGGAAGGAGACACGTACAGGGCCAGGCCAAGGAGAGATTCCCCTTTCAGAATCTTCTCATTTCAGACTGAATGGGTTTGAGATTTGTTTTAAAATAAGAAAGTCCCTTCCTTTATGTTACTCCACTAATTCCTGGGATGCTTTTTCCCTTCCAAGCTTAGTCACAAATATCTTGTTTTCAGAATTTGATATTTTCTGGATCAGTGTTGATCTCAGATATGAGCTGCTGTTCTCAAATCCAAATGTTGCACGCAGTTTCAGCATTTTAACCACAGGCAGAACTACCATTTCTAAGAGAAGTACTCTCAGATCTTCTAGTTCATTAGGTATCATAGTAATTTCTTATATGGTATGTCATGCAGCTGGGATACTTGATTGTCTAATTCTTGGTAACACTTTATTTGCTGCATGAACATGGGCAGGGACACACGCCAGGCTTTAAGATGATTACCCAGAGTCCCTCTGATGCCAAATGACAAAAAAGCCCATTTTTTACTAATACATGACAGTGCTGGGTCTCATACCTGAGTGCAGGAAGGACTTTGGAGGGCCATCTCTACCTTCTGGCATGGGTTCCTTTCTGTTGAATCACTACACACAGCCCCTCCCCAATTGGGTTAGCTTCCCCTTTTAGGCAGAACTCCCTAGAGTCAGCAGAAATCATCTCCATGAAACTTCTACTCATTGATCTCATTTCTAACCCTTTTATATGTTATCTTTCTAGTTAAATGGGCTATTTTCAACAAGTAATTTTAAAGTCATATTTAATGCCTTCCCACAGCAAGACAATTTATGGATATTTGTACTTAACAGTATTTTGCTTTTTTAAAAAAGTTTATGTATTTGATTTATTCATTTAAGTAATCTGTACACCTAACGTGGGGCTTGAACTCATGAACCCAAGATCAAGAATCACATGCTCTTCTGACTGAGCCGGCCAGGAACCCCGAATTTTACTTTCTTTAAAAAAAGATTTATTTATTTATTTGTTTGTTTGTTTGACAGAGAGAGAGACACACACAGTGAGAGAAGGAACAGAAGTAGGGGGAGTGGGAGAGGGAGAAGCAGGCTTCCTGCCTAGCAGGGAGTCCGATTCGGGGCTCAATTCCAGGACCCTGGGATCATGACCTGAGCCAAAGGCAGATGCTTAACAACTGAGCCACAGGCGCCCCCGAATTTTACGTCTGATGAAAATTTATCATGGCCAGAGTACTACTTAAAGATTAATTTTAAAAGCCCTTTGCTCATGAGTGAGATATGACACTTGGAAGATCATCTGGGATTTCATTTATTTTTTGCTCACTGTAATTGGCATTTTCAACAGTTTTAAAGCAACATTGAGTTTTTTTTTTAATGACAATATCCTTTAGACTAAATGCTAATTAGACTAAAAATGCTCGCATTTGCTTCATTATAAATTGGAGGGAAAGGATAAAAAGAAAGAGGGCAGTTCCCAGACACTCACTTTGGTCACTTGCTCGTGCTTACCTTGGGTTGGATGGCCTCCTTCTGGCTCACCAGCTGAGACCTCAAGATGAGGACTTCCTCCTTGCGGACATCAAGCTCCTCACTCACGGAGGTCAGCTGCTCCATGAGGACACGGTAGGCTGGTGCGCCTGGAGCAGTCACCTCTGGGGCACTTTTCTCACTAAGGGCCTTGCGTAGCTCATTTAGCTCATTTTTCAGTTTTTTATTTTCTGATTCCAGCTCTTGACGCTGTATGAAGAGACAAAGAATAGTTCACTGCTGTTATCCTCAACTTTACATTGGAATACTCATGTGCCCTCAAGATGGTGGAGTTGTGCTGGAAAAGACTGTCAGAGGTACCGTGGTAAACGGCTTACCAGGCTGTAATGGGAACTCTGTTCTACAAATTAAGAAAGCTGACATCAGGTGCCATTGAGCAAGGTGAATGGCAGTTTGCACATCAACCCAAATTCCAGAGTCACATTTATTCTGGGCTTGCCTTGGGTGTGGTCACAGGCCTGGAGAGATTGCTGAGTCCCAAGGGGAGAGTTCAGCCCAGTCCTCAGAAGCCCAGGTTTTGTTTGCAGGTAAATATAAGGGCAAGTATGAGAGTTCAGCTGGTCAGGTGGTTTCTACTGAATGGCTCAAATGAGCAGAACCCTGAAATGTTGAGTAGCATCCTTTTATTTCCTTTGTAAAACAGAATGGAAAGACCACTGAAACCTTGGACTTGTAATTTTGAATTTAAAAATTACCATATCACTAAACTAATACAATTCCATTTAGTGTTTTGATGACAACCAGTGTATTTTTCAAACTACTCTGACATGTGTATGACAGGCTTGTGAAGTTGCTGGCAGAAGTCATCTTGGGAGGTGGGTGGGAGGAAAGGATGGGCTCCTTGTGTCACCCAGATGGCCATACTTACCCTTACCCCTCCATACTTTCACATTCTACCAGCCATCCTCCTGTCACCAGTTCGCACTGCCCTCTGTACACTCTGCTCAAGCAGCGGCAATGGGAACCCAGAATAGAGTTCTGACACCAAAATACAAATATCTCGGGGTACTGGCTGGGGAAGGGTGAAGCAGACAGGCGTTTGAAAGCTCCATGCCGCCTTATTTAGCACATTCCACAAGGCCTTATGGTAGTAGAAGTGAGACACTTCTACATATAAAAGATAAAATATTTTATTGTTTCTTAACAGAGAAGCCACCTTGGGTTTAGAGTACCATACCAGAACTCTCAACAGTTTACATAAAACTATCTGTAGTTTCTTTTTCTAGTGTAAGAATATATAATCTTTTCTTTCATGAAGTAATCTATTCTTATGTGAAAATAAAGGATCCTTCCTTTCGCCAGTCTCCCACCAACTAGTAATCCAATTTGTATCGCTCACTTCTGCAACAGAAAACATGAACGTATTTACTTGGACACTGAGCTCCGATGCAGGGATCCCCAAACTTTAAAGTGCAGCAGAGTCACCTGGAGGGCAGAATGTATGGCCCAACCCCCAGAGTTTCTGATTCAAGAAGTCTGGTATGAGGCCCAAAAATGTGCATTTCCAATAAGTTACCAGGTGATATTGATGCTGCTGGCCCAGGGACCACATTTTGAGAAATACTGAGCTAATACTTGGGAACTCTGACTTGACCCCCACCCGCCAATCTGGGCTTCAATTTTTAACATACTACAAAGAATGTCTTTATTTGTCCATTTTTGTGTGAGACAGGCAGATGGAAAAGTGCTGGAGATGACAATACTACTCCCATTCTGTTGGCCTGTGCCATCCCATTCCATCTGATCCTTGTCTTGTATGACCCACAGCATGAGCCGCTCCTCTAGACAAAGGGTACAAAAGGCAACAGAGAGACAGAATATAAGAGATGACTCTTTGCTGCTACCCTTTTCTTTCTCTGCAAGCATAATCACTACCTAAGCAGTACTTTTATTGAAGGAACAACAAATTTATTCATGTTATAATTTAGAGAGGGTGAAGGGCACATCAGGGTATTTTAAAATAGTATTTGGGGGGTAAAAATTGATTTTCAAACAAATGACGATAGGAACTTAGGGTGTTTAGAAAGTTTTCTTCTGTCTGGAGACCTAGATTCAAGACCAGACTCTACAAGTTGATAGTAAATCTCTTAACTGTTCTAAGCCTCGGTTTAATAATCTTTAAAAAGGAAATAACTTATCTCACAAGTCGTGACAATGACTAAGTAAGATAAGGTGTAGGAAAAACTTTTCAAACTGTAAAGTAAATATGACGTATTATTAGTCAAGTGTTTATTAAATTTATTAAATGAAGAGTTCTAACTATCTTCAAGGGAAGGGGTTGATAAAGGAACTGTGGGTTGGAGAGCATGGAGGACAGGCATTCTCTATACCAATGTTACTTGGCCTCAAAAGGAAGCCATAATCAGCAGTTCCAGACCATGGAAGTGGCAAATCCACAGACGACAGGCTCCTATTAATGTAAATTATGTTCCATGTCACACTATTAGGAAACAATGTATCAGGACTAGACTTGAAGTAATACTGAAAAAAAAAAAAAAAAAACCACAAACATCCTCATGACAGTTCAGCGGGACCGTAGGAATTCTTAAATACACATAAGTGCTTAAAATAATGAGTTTCCTTACACTATTTTGTGGCTTTTCTAACTCTTAGACTTGGCTATAATCATAAACCTCACTGTAGTTTTCTAGCTGTTCTAGACTATAGTTTGCAAAAGGAGAAAACAGTAAAAAATAAACACAAGCAGAAAATGTCTGAGAAAGATAAATTTAAAACTAATAATTTAATTAACAACCTAGAAAACTTTTAAAACTGGAGGTATCTTGCTAGCTGATAACCTGATAGCTCAAACTTCACAGGGCTCAAAAAGTTCTAATTCTGGGGAGCAAAGGAAGAAGCCTAGTGAAGAACAATCTATCCTGATTTTATTTTTATTTATTTTATTTATTTATATTTTAAAGTAAACTCTACGCCCACTGTGAGGCTTGAACTTACGACCCTAAGATCAAGAGTCACATGCCTTACCAACTGAGCCCGCCAGGTGCCCACAACCTATTCTATACCCAGGAATGGGCTCTTGTTTGTTTGTTTGATACCTCAACTCTTGGGTTACCCAAGATGCTTTGTATTCCAGGAACTCCTGTTCCTTCCTAATCAGAGTCTTTCCCATGTTCAGCTGCTCTGGGACACATATTACCAGCTAGATAGCCTTTGCCTTCAACCATTAAGGAGACAATTCTCTACCTTCATCTTTCTCCTCCCAACAGTTGCTAAAAAATAAGTTAGAATACATCTCACTCTAATACCTAGCAAACTAATACCTAGCTATCTTTCTCTATAAGTACATAGTTTCAGTGGGGTTTGGTGGTTAGAGTGTGCTCTAAACATACGTGCCAAAGATATGTATGTTCACATCCTGTTCCTGTCAGTTCCTAGTGGAGTGATCTTAGGGAAGTTACTTGTATCTCTTAACCTCAATTTCCTTATCTGTAAAATGAGAACTAAAATACTGACTTGCAGGATTACTGTAAGAATTAGAGCTAGGTTGCCGGGGGGAGGGATGTAGGGAGAGAGTGGCTGGGTTATGGACACTGGGGATAGTATGTGCTATGGTGAGTGCTGTGAAGTGTGTAAGCCTGACAATTCACAGACCTGTATCCCTGGGGCTAATAATACATTATATGTTAATAAAAAAAAAGAATTAGAGCTGATCTGTACAGTAAAGGCATTTAAAAATGATGAGCATAATGATCGCAGCCAACATTTGCTGGGTACTTACTACATGCTGGGCATTATTCTAAGTAGTTTATATGAAATACTTTATATAATCCTTATGACAGTCTTATAAACAGTATCATTATCCCCATTTCATAGATGAGAAAACTGGGGCACAGAAAAGATACATAACTTGCTTACAGCCATATAATGGCAGATCTAGCATCTGAACCCAGGCAGTCTGTCACTAGAAGCAATGTACTTTACTACGTTCTATAGCCTCAAATGGTGGCCACTGCTTCCGTTTCTGCTTAGACTGAACTCAAGCTTATATGGAAGAGATTCTACAAAAAGAAACAACACAAGACTAGAAGTAATGCCTGAATAAGGGTGAAGCTAGAACCTTGGGTGCCCTTAAGGATGTTCTCTGTGAAAAAGAGAAACTCTGAGCAGGTCGCTTGCTAAAACAAGATATTCGAAGCCTTGGGCAGAAACTTCCATTACCTTGAGTGACTCATATTCCAGTTCTGCACCTCTAATTTGTGGTCTTTCTTCTTCCTAGGGAAAGCGTAGAGTTAAAAACTTTATAAGTAAGTAGTTATACTTCAATTGTTACTTTTTTAAAAAAGATTTTACTTATTTATTTATTTATTTATTTAACAGAGAGAGAGAGAGAGAGAGAGAGAGAGAGAGATATCACAAGTAGGCAGAGAGGCAGGCAGAGAGAGGAGGAAGCAGGCTCCCTGCTGAGCAGAGAGCCAGATGTGGGGCTCGATTCCAGGACCCTGAGATCATGACATGAGCCAAAGGCAGAGGCTTAACCCACTGAGCCACCCAGGCACCCCTAACTGTCGCATTTTCACTCAGAGTATTTCTTTGCTCTGCAGAAAACAGTGAGGAGAATTTAGCCCTGGCAACACGAATCAAACGCTGCAGGGATAAAGTACTTATGGGCTGAGCTGCAGGACAAGCCACGCCCAGAGCTGAGTCTGCAGGTGGCCTTAGGGTGGGGCTTCGCGAACCTTGGCTTTGCTGCGCAGCACCTGCTCCTCCTTGCGGTCCAGCTCATCCTGCATCACCTGCTTCTCCTGCTCCAGCTCTGTGACCCTCTTCTGAAGCTTGAGGAACAGTGACATGTCCAGAGGCACCTTCTTCTCACTTGGCTCCTAAACCCCAGAATCAGAAGATGATCAAGCCAATGCGGAAATAATGACCAGTGCAATAGAAAGTCAGGCTAGCTTACGGAAGAAATATACATGGCCAAAGAATGACATGTCCACACACACAGCTAATGAGTAGAGGTATGCAAATTAAACAGTGAGGTGCTACTTTTCCCCTGTCAAACTGGCAAAGATCAATAGTGCCATGTGTAAGTAACAGTGTCTTAGATAATATGTGTGGAAGCATAAGTAGGCCTTTTATTTTATTTTATTTTTTAAAGATTTTATTTATTTATTGACAGAGAGAGAAAGAGAGACAGATCACAAGTAGGCAGAGAGGCAGGCAGAGAGAGGGGGAAGCAGGCTCCCCGCCGAGCAGAGAGCCCGATGCAGGGCTCGATCTCAGGACCCTGAGATCCTGACCTGAGCCGAAGACAGAGGCTTTAACCCACTAAGCCACCCAAGCGCCCCATAAGTAGGCTTTTAAAAGGGCAAGTTAGCTGTATTTATTAAAATTTAAAAGGGTATACCCTTTAACCTAACAATATACATTTAAGAACTATCCTACAAAAATTCGTACATAAGTACACAACAATGTATGGAAAAAGATGTTCATTGCAGCATTTTTTATAATTGTAAAAAACTGGAAAAACCCCACATGTCAGTCAATAGAAGAGTGCTTAAACTATAGTGTAATCAAACTAAAATATTTTATAGCTGTTAAAAATGTAAATAGATATATGAGTGGATAAATATGTCCTAGATAAAATTATTAAGTGGAATATACAAGTTGCTAGCCACTACTTATATTATGATCTTATTTTTGTTAAAAAATCAAATGCACATGACTTTTTAAAAAAATTTTTTAAAGACCTTATTTATTATTTGACAAAGAGAGAGCACAAGCAGGGGAGCAGCAGGCAGAGGGAGATGGAGAAGCAGACTTCCCACTGAGCAGGGAGCCCAACCCGGGGCTTGATCCCAGCACCCTGGGATCATGACCTGAGCCAAAGGCAGTGACTTAACCAACTGAGCCACCCAAATGTCCCTGCACATGACAGTTAAATATACCTAGAACATGGCATACAGAAATCTAGAAGGCCATCAGTGGTTATCTTGGGGAATGGGAGGTACTATGGGAAAGTTTCATTTTCTCCTTTACACATTCTATATTTGAATTGTTTACAATGAGCATGACTACTTTTCTATTCAGGCAAAATGATTTTTGAAATGGTGAAGTGCCAGCATAAATATATTGAGATCATACAGAGGAAACTGGAAAACTAAAACATTAATAAATGTTAATAAAGTGAAAGATTACCTAGGAGCACCTGAAAAGTATGTCAGTTGCTTCTAGAACAGAATCACAGTGAGAGCTACTAGTGTAAATAAAGATGGACTAATCAAAGCTGAACAAATGGAAAGAGTAACCACCATCATGGAAGTTCTGAGACTGCTAAAAGTCTTCTACCTTGTTGACTTCGGGTTTGAACTTTCTTGAGGTAAGAAGAGAAAGAATTGTGTCATTAGATTTAATGGAGATGATAAAGAGTCTCTTTGCCTCTTTTTTGTTAGAAAGAGAGAGAACAGTAACAATAACTTAATTAGATGGACAAAGTATAATTTTTTTTAACATGTTACTTATTTTTCAGAGAAAGAGAGAGAGAATGAGAGTACAAGCAGGGGGACCCGCAGGCAGAGGGAGAAGCAGGTTCACCACTGAGCAAGGAGCTGGATGCAGGACTCAATCCCAGGACCCTGGGATCATGACCTAGGTGGAAGGCAGACACTTAACCAAATGAACCACCCAGGTGTCCCAGTCAAAGTATAATTCTTAACTGATTAGTGTGTCTTATACGTCAAATTGTCAATTTTTTAAAAGATTTTTTTTAGATACAAAAGCAAAATAAACTTTTTTTTTTCTTTTTAAGAGAGGGGAGGAGGAACGGCAGAGGGGGAGGGAGAAAGGGAATCTTAAGCAGGCTCCATACCCAATGTGGAGCCCAATGTGGGACCTGATCTCACAACTCTGATATCATGACCTGAGCTGAAATCAAGAGTTGGACACTTAACCAACTGAGCCACCCAGTAGCCCCCCAAATAAACTTTTATAGAAAGTTTAGGAAATAAGTACAAAGAAGAAAAATAAAGCCATAATCACATCTCCAGAGAAAACCTATAATTTTTGTCAAGTCTTTTTTCTATAGATTTAAGTAATTGGAATATTTTCATTATAATTTTATATTGTCTTTTAAATTTGGCATTGTACCACCAATGTTTTCCAAATTTATGATGTATTTGAAGCCATAATTTTTAACAGCTATACTCACATGCGTACCATCATTTGCTTAGCTATTACCTATCTTACGGATGGACACTGAAGTTGTTTCTAATTTTTTGCTATTGAAATATATTAAAATAAATATCCTAGTGATAAATACCTAAATATTAATGTTTTTAAGTCTGCTAAATTAGTTTACACTTCCATCAAGCAACCACCACCTTGCCTACAACAATGACTGTTATGAATTTTTTTAAATGGCTTAATTGATAGACCAAAAGTATATTTATTATAGTTTTAATTTACATTTCTTTGCCTTTTATTGAGGCTGAATTCTTTTTTCATATTTATTAGCTATTTTCAGGGTTTTTTTTTTAAGATTTTTATTTATTTATTTGACAGAGAGAGAGCAAGAGAGGGAACACAAGCAGGGGGAGTGGGAAAGGGTGAAGCAGGCTTCCTGCTGAGCATCGAGCCTGATGCAGGGCTCAATCCCCGAACTCTGGGATCATGACCTGAGCTGAAGGCAGAAGCTTAGTGACTGAGCCACCCAGGAGACTAGCTATCTTTCGTGAATTCTTAGGAGTGCCAAATTAAATGTTACTCTAGTTTTAAGACATCGAAGAAGAATCAGTTAAACTAAGAAGTGGGGCATTTATCTGTAGGATATCAGGTCATTTACCCACAGACTAGTTAGACCTTGACTTTTTCTAACTATCCAGTCCTATAATGTTCAAGAATAAGAAAAAGTTTAAATATATGATCTTCTACATAGAGTCTGTCCTGACTACCATATAGTAACTAATATGACATTTAAAAAAAGAAAGTCTGTCCTGACTGACAGAACAGACATAATACCCTGCCTGAACGTGAAATTACTATAGATTTTCATTCCTATAAAAACTCATTTCTATACATCCCCCAAATACTTGTATTTTAGCTTATTTACAATGTAAACATTCCATTCATCTGTTTTTAATGTTTGTTCATCCATTAATGATGAATATGTCCTTGAAAATTTTAATTACTTTATCTTTCTTTACACTGTAATATAAGACTTCACCTCCTAACTTCCTTCTTTGTACTTAAGATATCATCATTTGGGAATCATCCCTATCAATCTTGAATGGGCATTTTTGTTTAAAAGGAATCTTCTCATTTAAATGGATCAGGGTGGGGCGCCTGCATGGCTCGGTCATTTAAATGTCCAACTCTTGATTTTGGCCTAGATCATGAGATCTCAGGGTTGTGAAATTGAGCTGGGGTGTTGGGCTCCATGTTGGGTGTGGAGCCTGCTTATGATTCTTTCTCTCTCTCCCTCTTCCCCCAACCCTGCCCAGACTGGTGCTCACTCATTCTCTCTCTAAAAAAGAAAAAAAAATTTTTTAAATTTAAAAATGGGATGGGGTAACTTTTTAGATATTAACAAATACTGCATAAAGAATTAGTTGACTACTAGATAAAAACAAAATTCTACAGAGATGGAAGAATAAAAAAAATATTATCTGACAACTGCAAAATTGCTTAGGCATAAGGACTGGTAACAATTTAAGAGTGCTCTGCATGGTGTCCATTCTTATCTGTAATGATGTATCTAGTCAGAGAGATAGCATTGGTCTTCTCAGAGCCACATGAGCAAGAAGGAAGATAGGGCCATCTGGCTCAGAGAAGTTTCTGGGGTTTTGCTTTCCTTTCCTTCCTTAGAAGGGACTTTATCGGGGCACCTGGGTGGTAGTAGGTTAAGCCTCTGCCTTTAGCCCAGGTCATGATCTCAGGGTTCTGGGATCAAGCCCCACATTGGGCTCTCTGCTCAGCAGGGAGCCTGATTCCCCCCTAACCCGCCCCCCACTGTCTGCCTCTCTGCCTACTTGTGATCTCTCTGTCAAATAAATTAATTAAATCTTTAAAAAAAAAAAAGGAGAAAAGAAGAAGGGACTTTATCATCCAGTCCTTTTCTAAGAGAGTGAAGCTTTGAAACTGACCTAAAAAATCCTGGTCTCTCATCTGAGGAAAATCCAGAAGACAAGAGAATGTATTCACAAAATTACCAGCAAAGGTCTTCAGTCTTTCTGGAATTACTGTTAACAGCTGAGAAGGTTGTGGTGACCCTTTCCCTGGCTTTCATGGGTGTGAGGAAGCTCAGAGGCACAAGCAGAGCTGGGATAATGAGCTGATGGCTACTAAGAAAGGTGCATAACAGAGCAGAGAGAAGCAAAGCTTCCAAAAGAATGCTTGGACCCTGAGGTGCTGTGGGCATGGGAGGGATGCACAGCAGGTGGAGCTGGCAGGTGACTTCTCCAGAGGGAAACAGCCATGCAGGTGCCAGTCTGACTTGTGAACAACAAATCACAGGTCTGGCAAAGCTAGAAAGACATCAGTTCTTTTTTATATCCAATTTTGCTATTATTACATGTCTGAGGTTGGAATTCTGTGTTCCAAAACAGTCTGAAAAACTCCTATTTTAAATTAAAAAAAAAAAAAAAAAAGTCAACTCATAACCAAGAGGAAGCCCATTATTTTCCTGGCACCAGATTCTGAACGAGCTACTTGGGAATACTACACAAAGTAGGAGGTGCTCCTTTACTTTGTTAGGGGCAATCCGTAAACCTGGCTGTTGCAGAAATACTTGCAGGGAGAAACACAAACCTGGAAGTCAAAAGGAATCAGAAGTGCAAGTTCACAGCCATAGTCTTAGTCTGATACTCCTCTCCCACCCAACTTCCCTTCTGATAATCAATTTCTCTTTTTCTATTACCAGTTTTACAGATTTTTATCTTTCTGGTCCTGACCACACCCAATCAAAATTATAGGACAATCTCTGGAAACCTGTTTATTAGAACAAAAACATGGATTTATTGGACACTTACAAACTTGAAAAGAGTAGAGACACTGACAAATACACTTACTAGTAAAAATTAGGTAAAGCACAGAAGAGTTTTTGATATTAAAAACATAATGTCCTCAATCAAATCTATCAATAAGTCTCTTTGTCCTGATTTTAATACAAAATAACCTGCAGTGGACATAGCCGTTCTGTCACAGCTTTCCGGGCCCTAGTAGGAGCTGCTCAAGCTGTGTTACACTGGCACCGACAGTTCGTAGACATACTTCCCCTCGGACTGCTGGGAGTGAGTTTTCCATGAAGACCCACTGGACGCAATCCTAAAACTGTCAGATCCACTGGAAGCTCTAAATCCACTAGAGGTTGTAATTCTGAAACCTTCAAAGTCTAACTTTGTGGTGGTCTCCAAAGATGGTTACCAGGGATTGGTCTCAATGCAAATGTCTTTTCTCCTATCAAGAAATGAGGTCTACTCCCTTTCCACGGAGTCTGCACTGGCCTGGTAATTTGCTATGACCTAGAATGTGGCAGAACTGACACAGAGCTGGTTCTGGGCCTGGCCCCACAAGACCTGGCATTTTTTGCTCTTACACTGTCTGAGCGCATTCACCATGCCACTGAACAGAGAAGTTGCTTGCAGAGGCCCAAGGTCCTCTTCCTTGGGCTGGGATGCAGGGAGGTGCATCCCATGTGCAGCAGGAGAACCTCCCAGTCAGAATTCAGAGTGTGAACATGAATAAATTGCTGTGGTTTGAAACCACTGAAGTTTGGGATGGTTTGTTACACAGCAGTGAATGACTGGCACCACCTCTATCCCACTGTATAGTGGCCATCCTGCTCCATCAGTGGTCTGCAAGCTAACGTTAGCTACAGAGAGAAACGGACTGGAGAATCACAGTGTAAAATGACCGGATGCAAGGAAGCAGACAGGGCATGAGGCTTCAAACAGCCTCGGTTAGAATACTGGCTCAGCTACTTACACGCTGTGACCTTGGATAAGTTAACTTAGGGTTCTTGTATGTATGATTCCAGCTATGTGATACTTTTCCTAAAAATGAACAGAACGAGATGGCAGAAACTCTTCATTCCTGAGTAAAACTAAGACAAGAAAGGAAAGAATCATTCAGTTTTCTTCAGCTGTTCTGCCAGAAGCAGTCTATTTCTGACTTGGCCATTTTCTCAGAATATGATATAAAAATAGAAGAGTAGTGCCTGAATTATGCGTTAGTGAAACTAATAGCATGTTTGAAAAGAAGATCTGAGAATTGGTTTGGGAACAATCTAACTTAAAGTCACTGTACTCTTGGAGTTACAGTAATGTGATATTTTGGTTTCATACCACATAACACAAACACTAAGGCAGATTTATGAGATATTTTCTTACATTTTTGTGGACAAATATTACATTGGTAAAAACTGTCATCAAACGGAGGCAGCAGTCTTGCTAAACTCTTGGGCATTGGTTATTTATAATATTCAAGGACAAAAGACTTATTATTAAAATAATCAGTCTGAAATTCATGACAGGCTGTGTTTTTTTGTAATGGGGTATGTTAAAACTACAAAAGTGAAAATCTGGTTTTCAGAATTACATTAAAAATTAAAATGTCTATTGATCAAAAAACATCTATAAGTATATATGTACATATAAGAAAATATAAGTAATAATTAATAAGCTAATTAAGCACCCATTGATCACTTACGAAATATAAAGAGTTTGAAACAACTATTACATTTATAGGCAAATGAGCTCTGTTCTGCAGTAGAAATGTTCTCTCTGAACGGCATGGTCACATCCTACTTGTAGTGACAGGTATCTAAAATGTACCTCTGTCCTCAATGGCAGATCTTCGGTTTCTGCAATTTCAGAGCTAAAGGTGTATTCGGACTCATTGCTGCTATGGGTGGAGTCTGTTCTCTTGTGTCCAGGCTTGGGCACATTCTGCAAGGCAGATAAACCACGTATAGTTAACATAATATAATTAAACCAGTTATAGTAAAACAGCACTCACTTCAACTTGGTTCTAATCCCCACTCACTGACTTGCTGTTCTCACACCCAGTGTGTTCCATGTTGTCCTTAACAAACCCTCACAAAAGGGTCACTTTCTGAGCTCCTCAGAGAGAAAGATGCACCAGCAGGGCATGACAAGAAAAGTCACAAAACCAAATGCTCAAACAAAAATTATCTATGATTATTAGCAGAGTCCCCTTTGAGTTGTTTTGTTTTAAAATTTCATTTATTTATTTATTTGAGAGAGAGAGAGAGGAGACACATGAGCAGGATTAGGGTAAGAGGGAGAAGGGGAAGCAGACTCCTTGCTGAGCAGAGAGCCTGACACAGGGCCCAATCCCAGGACCCTGAGATCATGACCTGAACCAAAGTCAGATGCTTAACCCAATGAGCCACCCAGGAGCCGCTGCTTTGTATTTCTCAAGTTGTGAGTGGCCAGTCACACTGGGTGAAGTGTAGGTATATAATGCCTCAGCAATCAAACATTGACTTCAGTGTTGCAATTAAATAAAACTTAGTAAAAAGTTCATGAAATATGTTTAATGATAGCATCATCATTCTTACTCCATTGTATTTGAGCACAAATGGAAAAAAGGAGAGGGGTTCTACATAGGTGACTATAATTTCTGTCACTTTTGTGTATGAACTTGAATCTCAGGATTCGGCAGTGGGAAGGATGAGCCATGCAGGAGAGGTAAGAAAGCTGCTCCAGGAACCCTCTGACATCCTGGGGTTATTAATTCAGGAGTTCAGGTGACATTTCTATGACATGTGGTACCTATGAGATTAGCATTCAGAATGCTTATGGAAAACAGAGAAATTAAACAATTGCAGGGGTTAGAGAATGACTTGAAGAGAGAATGAATGAAAAGCAATGAAAAGGCTGGAATGAATGAAAAGAGAATGAAAAGAGAATGAAAAGAGAAATGAAAAAGAGAATGAAAAGAGAATGAAAAGAGAATGAATGAAAAGCAATGAAAAGGCTGGATTTTGTGCCCCTCACTCCTAGGGTCCCCCCTGCAGAAGACGTGGAAAGTTTTAGTGACCTGCATCTCACAGGGTTACTGGCTCTGGGAGCTTCAGAAGGACCTCTGGAAGCTTTTCTGACCTGTCCAATTTCCTTTACTCTTCCCCCCAGCCACAGGAAGAGCCAGAGTCCCAAAGAGCTTCTCTGCCTCTTTCTCTCCCATGTCCAGCTTACAGAGCAGAGCAATCCGTATGACCAAAGAAAAGCCAGCATCCAGGGCCAGATGAAAGCCTGCCACCCCAACCTGTACTCCAGTACATAAGGAAGACCCAAGAACCCTGGAACTTCTGAAACTACCTAGAAGCTAGGGTACACACTAAAAGGAACAGTCACCCCACATAAAGTCAAAGGCACTTGGATTTACTGTGTATGTACACAAACAACCTCACACAAATTTCCTAGCCAACAGTTGTATGGGAAGGTGAATATTAACAAATTAGTTGTACCATTAAGAGAAACAGATAGGTCCTCAGAAATACCTGGACAAAGGTTTTTTAATAAGCTTATTAAAGATGAGTGAGACCTCTATTTTCCCTCAGGTGTGTGTCACTAAACAACAAATACCTTAAGGTTTGAATAGAGGCAACACTGTATATTTGCTATTTAATGTAACTTCTGGATACAAGGCAGTGGTTAAATGCTCTGGGTCTGAAGTAAGAGGGAGCTGGGTAGGAATTCCAGGTCTGCCATTTATGTGCCCCTTGCCCAGCTTCTCCAGGCCTCACTTTCATCATCAGGAAAAGGTGATTAATAGTATTATCTGCCTAATAGGGTTTATGTGAAGATTAAATAGGATAGTGCAAGTAAAGAGTTAGCATACTGCTTGGCATATAACAAGGATTCAACTCATGTTGCAGTCTGCAATTGTTTAATTTCTCTGTTTTCCATAAGCACTCTGAACGCTAATCTCATAGGTACCCCATGTCATAGAAATGTCACCTGAAAAGATGCTCCATCACTGTTAGGACCCTGCAGTAAGGTGACAGTAAGGTGACAACTCCCTTATGCCTGGCCTTGTTCCCCACGTTTTTAACCCATATGCTGTTCAATTACAAGAACAAACATCCTACTTGATCATCAAGTGCTCCTTCAAGATCTGTATCTCATACGTCCTCTTTTAATCTGTCATGTCTCCAACAATTCCTTCTTTTCTTGAATCTGTTTTACTCCATCTGTCAAGGTTAATGACCCCATTGTTGACACGCTGGACTCCCTCCTTACTGGGGATGAATCGTGCAACACTTTACAAGCCTGCATTCCATTGCCTCATTGCCCTTTCAGTGTCTGCTTGAATCTCCTTGGCCCTGGATTTAGTATCTTCTTCCTTGCCTCTACTCTACAACTGAATGTCCCTGGAGGAAAATCCTACAGCACTTCCTGGTATCAGGGCCAACAAATCTAGACCCTGGTAATCGGCGGCGTGAACTTTGGCCCCTGTGTTACTACACAGATCCCCAGAGGTCCTGCGGCAGTCTATCATTCCCCTCCCACAGTCTCCTGCCATCCATTTGAGGACTCCATTTACCACTAAGGCTTCCTAAGCACTGTGGACGTGAGTGCTCCATCTGCAGAACAGCGTCAATGAAATATGAGCCAAGTACCCATCTGTCAGTTGTGAAGCTTCTACCTACACATTAAAATAAGATATTGCTATTATTTAATTAATCTTAAATTATAAAGTCCATTTTTTAATTCTCTGCAATTCTTGGCAAACATCTTAAAGACTGCAATCTTGGCTGCGTCTGGAGCTGGGAAAGGAGACCTACTGAAGAGTAGGTCTCAAGCAGTAGGAAGCAAGCAGACTCTGATCTTCCTTCCTCTGCTATTTTCCTTTTCCCTCCCTCTGCCCATTTTGTCAACCAAGGGGAATGACAATGAGTCACAGGCACACTGGGGAGAAGAACTTGATTACGTCTTTTTTCTACAACATTGCTGGGAACAGAATGGCTAGCAGGCAGAGACTTGCCCAGCGGGAAAGAACATCCCTGCTAAGTTGCTGGAGGATGGCCATTACTGCTGGAGGGTCTTTTCTAGACACGGCTACCTCTCTAAGGAGGAGACCCATTAACCTCACAGATATTTCCCAGAATGTGCTCAGAAAGTGATGACTACATGGCACATGTTTCTCTCATTTTATTTTCTGAGGTTCCCAAGGAATGCAGTATTTTTTTTTTTTAACCAGGCATGCAGTACTAAAGAATCCAGGAAATTCTGTAGGAAAAACAATCTCTTTGTTTCAACTAGTGATTCCTACATTTATATGATCCTGATCATTTCTTTTCCCAATGCCACTTAATATCCCAAGTAACTAGTGGCTCTCGAAACACCTTATAGGACACGAAACTTAGCTCTAACTATAATCAAAGCATAGATTCACCACAAATATTGGCATAGTTATTCAGTAAATAGAATTAAAATACTTCCGAGAATGGAACTCTGGGGAGCATGATATTCCAATACAGAAGAAAAGGACTCTAACAAAGAAAGCTAAAAATGGGAGAATGTGAAGGAGGAAAGATTTCAACAAGGCCAAGTGCAGCAAGGAGATCAAGGAAGACAAGACATACTGATTTGTCCTTCTGGTTCGTCAGTAAGAGTAACGGTGACCTACTCTTATTTCTAATTTCGTTTTGTCACATATAAATCATTGCTACCGATAGAGTAGCAAGGTTTGAAATAACAGTCCAATTGTGGAATGTAAATTAGCTTTTTAACCTCTTTGAGACCAGGTTTTCTCTCTTCCAAGTGACAAATTGATTTCATTTGTGTTACATAATCTCCTTCATTTTGACTTTTTAAATGTTACATTTTTAAAAACGTTGTCAAAGGATCCAGATAGAAGCAAAATTTGAAGCAAATATTCTATGCCACAGATCTCAAATTATCTTGTTTTTATAAGAGATATTTCAGAGCATTTCTAGCTATTTGTACCATGAGGTTACCCTCAAGGCTGATACAGGGAACAAGAGAGCTAGGGAACACTTTGTCTCCTGACAGTAGGATAAGTAGAACAGAGAGACTGTGTAGAACTATTAAAAGTACAAAAGGTATGTTGGTAGATGGAGAGAGTTCTTGAAATAGATAAGATAGTTTGTAAAAATAGACTGAATTTTCTTTTTGTAGGAATCTATCTTTGCAATCACAACAAAAACCAGTAAATACTCAATTATATAAATATTTGTTTTATATGAAAATTTTACATGAAGTCACCCAGTATATATGACAAAGTGTATGGCCCAGTCTTTAAAGTGTTTGACTTTACAAAGTATTCACAAATAAAGTTAGATGATTTGCAGGATTTGCTTTACAACAACTCAAACCATTGGACAATGTGCAAAGGAGGGTAGAGTAGGGGTAGAAATGTGTTGACCATTTTGGAATTGGATCATGAGTACATGAAGTACATGGGATTCATTCCACTGTTCTATCTGCTTTTGTATGTGCTTAAATATTTTCATTTTCAAAAAAGCAAGTGTTTGACTCACCACCATCAGAGTCATCTCTTCCTTGAGGTCATCATATCGTTCTTCTAAGCGACTGAACTCATTCAGAAGGTTCTGGTACCTCAGCCTTTCATCATTAAGATCGAGTTCCAGTTGTTTCGTTTCTTCTACTAACTTCTTCTCCATAGTCTCTGAAAGAAAGAAGATGGGAAAGCATAACAAAGATGGCTCTCCAGAATTCAACAGAACAAACATGTTCACTGACTTCCAGTTTCTCTGCAAAGTGTTTTACTTCTAGCGCCACAAACTATGAAGAGAATCTTACTGAATATAGGGAAAGAGCAAATATGACCAAAAAAAAAAAAAAAATAGTTTGTGAATAACAACAATCATCTACTGAGTTCTTCCATGTACTAAGGATTCAGTGCCACTATATCATTCACTGGTTATAGCATATCCTTGATAAACTTTCACCAGGCATTGTTTAGTAACTAAAGTATTCTTTATTTCAATATTCTGTTTCAGGCTATCATAAAATTCTTTTGTCCAAATTAGTGTACTCTGTCAAAAAGTCAGAGATACTCCTCAGATCTCTGAGGCAGCAGTGACTTCTTAGCGAACCCAGCTGTCCATGTCCTATGTCAACGCTCTGCTCACCTTACTCTCTAGCCTGAGATCTTACAGTATTTCCAGCATGTTGACCCTCCACAGTCCTATCACTCCCCCATTTCTAACCAGATAAGACCCCCATGCCTGGCCATCTGTGTCACATCTCTTGTGTGTTGCCGGGGGTACCTCGACCTTTCCATTTACCACCCCGCTCTACTGTCTCTGTTGCTAATGGCTCACATTTGCCTGGAACATCATCTGGAGATAGGAGATGAGCTCCTGACTGCAGATAAAGCAAAGTAAACAGCCTCAGATCTCAGCTGTATGTTTTACCTAAATAAGCCAACCAGTCACATTTATAAATATTAAGCTTCCTAACATTTACATGGCCCATTTTATTCTCATGTATCATGGACCAGTCACATTTATAAATATTAAGCTTCCTAACATTTACATGGCCCATTTTATTCTCATGTATCATGGCTAAATCTTAGCCTGCCCTGCCTGCTCTAACTGCTTCACCATTTCTTTCTCTTGTAGTTCTGTAAGGGTGAGGGCTGCAAGTGTCTTGTCACAACTGCTTCCCTGGTGCCTACCACAGTGCTTCCCTAGTGTAGGGCTTTAATAATGTGTGAGTGAAGGAATGAAAGAATTTCTCCTCCCTATCACATTCCATAAATTTCCTTTTATTCTTACCAATTTGCAGAATTGGTCTTACCAATTTGCAGAAGCTGCCTAAGGCTACCAAGAAATCTTCCCTAGGCAAATCTCATGTTAGTTGTTTGTTCTTCTCATACAGTTTCAAGTATTCTTGTCATTCTGGATCTTTCCATCACATTCTGCATCCTAGCAGCCTTCTTTCCATGTCTTTAGTGACTGTTTTTAATATCCCCTATCAACTTTTTTTTCTAGTTTCTTTTCTTCACCTTATCCTTTACTTGTGGTCATCCTATAAGGCTTAATTCCAGAATTCTTCTCTTTCCTTTACAATATGCCCTTTAACTGGGAGGGAAGACAGAGTAGGGGAAAAAGCACAAGGGGTTCTCTTATCATCATAACTTTAATGGATACCTTAAGGCCTATTTCTTCCTGTCTCTAATCTTTTTTTTTTAAGATTTTATTTATTTATTTGACAGAGAGAGATCACAAGTAGACAGAGAGGCAGGCAGAGAGAGAGAGGGAAGCAGGCTCCCTGCTGAGCAGAGAGCCCGATGCGGGACTCGATCCCAGGACCCTGAGATCACGACCTGAGATGAAGGCAGTGGCTTAACCACTGAGCCACCCAGGCACCCCCTGTCTCTAATCTTTAACCTCAATTTGTTTTCAGCACATCCTACCTGAGATCTAAAATTTAACACTCTAACAACTGATCTCATTAATTTTACTCATAAATAGGTACTTTTCTCCCTCAGTTTTCTCATCAGTAATTATACACCATTATTGTCATAATACATCATCTCAATACTTTAGAAAATTGTTATTCCTTTTTTGAATACCACATCAAAAAGGATAACATTCTGGTGATTCTCTTCATTTACTATATCCTCACTCTAATCCATCTCTTTCACTCTGTCTCCCCCACCAATTTCTATAGCTTCAACCCATATCTTCTTAGCCCACATTTATATACATGTAGACTCCTTGTAAATTACCATCATTCTTACCTATCTCACAAATAGCTAATAGAATAAATGTTCACATCTAGTTAGTTCTCTATTCAAAAAATTAGACTTGTCCTTTTTTTTAGGTGGAAAAGAGTAACTGATCTTGGGAGAATAATATCCATTGGTTTAGGAAAAAATAAATAAATACATATAGACACATACACATGTTAGCTCACGATTTCTTCCTAATTCAATAGAATCCTATAAGTCATAACCAATAAATCATACATGCAGAACAAAATTAATTTTTAAAAAAATTACATAGGATACTGACCATACATGAATTCACATTTGTGCATAGAAAGACCAAATTTACAAGTTCACCAACTAAATCAACCAAAATATTTACAGTGCTTGCCTCTTGGAACTTCTTAAATTTACTGATAACAATCTCAACTTTTTAAAACATTGCTGTTGTAGGGGCGCCTGGGTGGCTCAGTGGGTTAAGCCTCTGCCTTCAGCTCAGGTCATGATCCCAGGGTCCTGGGATCGAGCCCCGCATCGGGCTCTCTGCTCGGCGGGGAGCCTGCTTCCCTCTCTCTCTGCCTGCCTCTCTGCCTACTGTGATCTCTGTCAAAAACAAAAACAAAAACAAAAACAAAAACAAAAAAACATTGCTGTTGTAACAAAGTTGTAACATATAAAACTTTGCTCTGAACTTGGCTGGAGTACAGCAAGTTATACCCACGTGAGTCTTACCTGTCATCTCCTTAGCCTGCTCCACGATAAGATGATTGAGGGCCTCTTTTTCCTGCTTCAGCAAAGTATTTTCTTCCTTTAGACTTGATACCAGCTATAAAATAAAACAATCAACTCAGATGGCTGCAGTAGACAGAGGACGCCCCATACTGAACATAAAGACCACACCACAGGCCCTCTTTACTGCCATTTCTTTGCCTAGGTCCGTCTAGTCATTTTTTTGAACTTGGCTCAAGCATTAACCCCTCCAGAGAGCCTTCCTGGAAACTCCTTGCAATTAGGTGTCTCTCCTACAGGATCCTGATGTGCCTTGGATGTGCCTCGTTATAACCCTTAGAAATGATTTACTTTTACTTCCCTAATAGACCAGCAATTCCTGGAGAGTGGAGAAAATTGCTGTTGTTTTACTCTTTGTACCTTGAGCATTTAGCAACTGTCTGGCACCTAGTAAGCATTTGCTCTTGAAAGAATGAAAATGCCTTCTCACCTCAAAAGCCTAACAAAAGCTTAGGTGTACTCATGATTCAGGTATTAAGAGAGATTAAGAAGGTTAAGAAAGATATGAAGGGCATTTTGGTTCTGGAATTCACTGGATTCCTTCTGAAGCTCCCTGCTGTCTGTCTTGCATAAGAGAATTTCCCTTTCATCTCCTCTTAAGAGTTTTATAGGGTTGCAAACTAGTCCTTTTATTCCATGTTTAAGCATTGACCTTACAACAGTGTGAAAGTACTTAAATGTCACAAAACTGTACACTTAAAAATGGTTAAAGTGCTAAATTTTATGTGACGTGTATGTATATTTTGCCCCCCAACAGACACACACACACACACACACACCCTACACACAAAACACATTGACCTTTCACTTTCTAGTTCCCAGTTTGATGAGGATTCCCAGGAAGCAAAAATTAAAACCAAAGGTAAACTTCGCAAAGTTTATAGTTTACTTAGTTCATCTTTGACATAAATGTGTGCTTGTGTGGAGTAAAATTTGAATTCCTTTCTCTAAGCATAAATTCAAGGAACTCTTTAAGTAATAGCTTGCTTTTTTCCTCCCTCCGTCCCTTCCTCCCTCCCTTCCTTCCTCTCTTTTTAAAGTAAAATCTATGCCCAATGTGGGGTTCAAACTGTGACCCTGAGATCAAGAGTCACATGTTAAAGCAATAGCTTTAATTATAAAGAGAAAGTTTTCAGGAGGTCAGAGAGAGAGAAAGAGAGCCCTATTAAAATTCAGAAGGCAGTACGGGGAGCCTGGGTGGTGTAGTAGGTGCAGAGTCGGACTCTCAGTTTGGTCTCAGGTTGTGATCTCAGTGTTATGAGATTGAGCCCTGAGTCAAGCTCCATGCTCAGCGGGGAGTCTGTTTCTCTCTTTCTCTCCCTCTGTCCCTTACCCCATCCCATGCATGCACTCTCTCAAACAAATAAAATCTTAAAAACAAATCTATTCAGAAGTCAGTACAGAAAAAGCACAGGAAATTGAGAGTCTTGCCAATAGTTTTAGCCAACAGTCAACTCTGTTTTAATTTAAAGATGGTAATTCTAGTGGAATTTATGAAAATCTATCACTTTTTTCAAGTAAGCTTTATGTTGAGGTACTTTGATTTTGTTTAAACAATACATTGCAGTGCTGCTTGAGAATTGTAATGTTTTCTGTATTTAATGAAGCTTTGATATAAACTTGTAAGTAAAAGCACCAGTCCACAAGCACTGTTGTTGCTATTCTATCTGCATCACGGTTCCTGGCTACAGTCAGTGTGCAGACATTTGGACTTCTCCCACTCGGACCTCTCACACAGCCTTACAGGTTTCCAGAAAGATCTCTACTATCAGCTAGCAACATTTCACTGCTTGATTGGCTTCTTAATCATGTTAATCCTTTTGGAGAAAAAGGAGCCTACACTTCACCCAGACCTTTGTATTTAAAAAAGAAGAGTGTGGAGTACGTTCTTGGCCATTAATTCTCTTCTTAGAACACTGCTTTGCCTCTGTTCTTACTAGAGTCAAAAGGTTCTACTAAAAGACCTACAACTACTCATCCACTGAGTGGGAGACATGCTTGGAGAACACTAATAATGAACAGTAAACAAACTGACATTTTTACTTCACCTTCAACTGAAATCAACCTTGGGCCACATGGCCAGGTCATGACGACAGCACATTTCCTTTGTGAAAAGAGTATATGGGGATATGAAAACTAGTTCCCACCTGCTCGGTTTCCTGTTTGTATCTATCTGCATGCTCCTCAATGGATTTTTTCTCTGACTGAGTTTGTTCCAGGTCTTTCCGGAGCTTGGCAATTTCCTCCTGCAGACTGAGGACCCGTCCAGTAGCAATCTTGGCTTCCTCCTCACTTAGCTGGAGACGCTCTAAGTCACTTCGTAGTTTCTCAGTCTCAGAGGTGTATATTCCCTCCAGATTGGTCAGTTTCTCCATTAGGCATTTGTAGTCTTTGTTCTTTTTATACACACGTATAAGTAACAATAAGTAAGTATATATATCATCAAGTGTATTTTAAGAAAACCATATTTATTCATCATATTCATGCTATATCACCCTAGCATTGATAACGTACCTAACCAAAATACTAACCACAACCTTTATAATCAATACCTCTTGAAGTGATACAAAGAGAGAACAGGCAGAATTAATTCTGTTTTACATCATGAGCAACATAGATGTGATTTTCTCATGATCACAAGGTGAATTACCATAGTAAATTCTTAATTTCCTGATTCTTAAACCAGAAATAGAAAAATCTATACTTGCTTTTGAATATAAATCAGTGTTCTGCTGAAAGCCATACACTAGGCAGGTGATTCAGAAAAATGATAAAATGGGCTCAAAATCACAAGTTATTTACAAATCTCTTTATTACCTTAAAACACTTCCCATTCAGGTGAATTCCTCCTTCTCCCTGATGAATCTCATTTTATTCTGTTTGCTGGGTTTTCTTTGTTTTTGGTTTTGTTTTGTTTTTTTTGCCCTCCTCGGTATGTATGTATTACTAATTACTATTATATCATTTGTATGTGCTAAAATATTACTTGGTAACTATCTCTAGGAAATCAAATTTTATCCCTGCAAATAGACTGTACATTACTCAGGAGAATGGACATTTTTCTGCCTCTTGCACCATATCTCAATGCTAAACAACTCATCTGTAAAAGGAACCTTAAAATTTATGCAGATGAACGATAATGATGGAAGAGATTTATAAAGTACAAAGTACAATATGACTCTTGGTCATAAAGGCTTGGAATGTTGTATATCTGGCTGTGTTCTCAGAATAATTTCCTCCCTTCGTCCTTGCAGGTATAGTCTTACCTATGAGCTTGTCACTCTTTCCATAACAACATTTCTGTCATTATTATTTTATCGTTTTTGCTTCAACTGAAAAGTGAAGCCAAGGGGAGACACTGCTGACCACATTCCACGGCCCCCCTCAGGCAGCCCCCCGCCCCAAGGTCCCGAGGAAGACACACCTGCTCATCCACTTTGCGCTGCAGCTGCATGATCTTGTTCTCCATGCCTATGTGCAGCTTCTTGTAGCGCTCCACAGAGCGGGCCTCGATCTTGAGCTTCTTCAGCTCGCGCTTGGCCATCATCCGCCGGAAGCAGCACTGGAGGTAGATGATGGCTTGCGTGCTCCTCCTATAGTGCCTGCGAGCCAGCCAGCCCCGCACCCACTTCTGAATGATAACTGCTTTGTGCTCACGGAGCATCTGCGGAGAAAGGGAAATCCAGGTAATGTCCGACCCTGGACCAGACTAGAGGTTCAACGTCATCAACCCAGCTACGTCAGGCTGAGAAGCCAGATGCCACCCAAAGGGAAGGATACAAACACTGTATTGTACGGTCTGGATTTTATGTATCACAAACCTATGCTTGAAGACATGAGGTATGACCAGTAATCTCACCACAGAAGCTGACACAAGGGGTACTACAAAGTTTATTACTGATTTATTCACCTTTCCCCCCAGAAACAAACAAACAAAAAATGACACTCTTGTTTGCCTCATTTGAGGAAAGCTATTTTAGTGAGGATTTCCCATTGCTATTTCAAATGTAGCAGGAATCCACTTATGAAATTCAAAAGCGGTAGGGATGGAGCTTTAAAAGGAAAATAAAAGATGAAGTGAACTAATCTTAATTTTGATTTTCTATTGTATTTTCTAAAAAAAAAAAAAAAAAAAAAAAAGATATTCCCCTAAACTTATAAACAACTTATAGCAACAAGGTTGCCTTATGAGATGAATTTGTCACTAAAGACCATCAAGAAGGGATTGTATAAAGAATTTCCAGAAATGATAAACAATTCTTGAATTTAAAAAAATTTCTTGAACTTTAAGAAATGTTAAATTAGCAAAACCTTGAGGTATTTCTAAGTCTATAATTTTATGCAATAACCTTTGTGATACAACTGATATTTAAATGTATGTAATAATGTATCTCTTATGAAACTTTTTATATGTAAAACTCTCTAAAACTATTCAATAGACAGTAGTTTAATAAAAGAATAGAAGCATAGCTCCTGTTTTTAGATTAACAGAGAAATAATGTAACATTCTAGAGAATATCTTTAAGAAATAAGTGGCTAAGTTTTAAATACAAAAATCGCAGGTCTGTTGGAGACCTTAACAGTCCCTTTGGCAGTTGAAGTCTGCCCTTTTCAGCTGCTCTCCTAATGCCAAGGCAGGCTTTAGTCTCCGCTCAGTCAGCCAGTCAGTGTGTATCAAGCTGCAGTGAGGCCGGCAGGCCGAGCTCTCACTGAACGTCACAATCCCAAGGGGAGCCCCTTGCCTTATCTGGATGACTAGTGACGAAATGGATAAGACTCCATGATGGAAACTGAAGGTTTTCAGACACTTTCAGACTTTAAAACTCAGCAAACAGTGGCAAAGCTATTAATGCCAATTTTCCTATGCCATTTCCTTCTCTCCATGTTACTTCGGACATTGGTCCATTTCTGAAATTTCAGCCAAATGGAAACAGGATATAATTAGAGCTTCCACTCTCAATCTCATGTCCATCAGTGAGTCAGAGAAATTAAATGGCACCTGCTCTCTGTTTTGGATGCCCAAATCCCATGAAGGGGAAGCTCGGACTGGACAGAGCTAGAAGGAGCTCTGATGGGGTGTTACAGGCCTGTATACAAGCTAGCCTCTAATGTGCTACCCGCACCGTGTCTAGTCACACTGGGAGCTGAGCTGGACAGAGCCTGCCTCTGCTACACTGAAGCCCTCACAACCCAGTTCAGATGTCCCTGAGGAAAACATCTCAGGTAGGGGTAACATCTCAGGAGGGCAACCAGTTTGTTTTATCTAAAACGTCAAGTTTAATAAAGGCTTTACCCCTCCCTGAAAGCTCATGCCTGTAGAGAAAGAGCTCCAGAAGGTGTGGGCAGAAAGACCTGGAGTAGCTGTTTTCAAATTTTCTTTAAAACTCAGATATATGGGGGCCTGGGTGGCTCAGTGGGTTGAGCCTCTGCCTTCGGCTCAGGTCATGATCCCAGGGTCCTGGGATCGAGCCCTGAATTGGGCTCTCTGCTCAGCGGGTAGCCTGCTTCCCCCTCTCCCTCTGCCTGCCTCTCTGCCTGCTTGTGATCTCTGTCTGTCAGATAAATAAATAAATAAAAATCTTTAAAAAAAACCCCAAAAAACAAAAACACAGCTATATGTGTTTTGCTCACTCAAGCCTCATTAACTTCCCATTTTCTTTGCTGTATAAAATTATTTCACAATAAGAAAGTAAGATAAACACATAAAAAGGACCTGGACAAACCCATGTACTACTTGTGACCAGAGACATGTCACTCCAATCATTCTACTGATGTTCCTTCTAATGGTGAATGCCACCAAGCTCTAAGATCCAGACTGTATTTCCAGCTTATTGAAAATATACCTTAAAGCCAAGCTCAAAACTTTGCCAAAATGAGAGAGATAAAAACCTTCCATCAATTAGATCATATACTGTCAGAGGTAAGGACTAAGATTAATCTGGTGATCCGTTATCTAGTCAGGTTGATTATTGAAAGATATAATGATTATTTGTCAAAAATTGCTGGAGCATCATATTCTAGTCAATATAACTTTTAACCACATTAATGTAATTTACTTCCTTTTCACCATGTTAAATTCTTCTAAGGCTGTTTCATTCTTGGTACAATCCTCTACCCCTCTGTCAGATATTCTACCTATTCAAAGCTCATCATAGTCGGCTGAATAAAGGCCCCCAGGGACATCAGGTCCTCATCCCTGGAACCTGTAAAGATTACCTTGTATGGGGAAAATGGTCTTTGCAGATGTCACTAAATTAAGGATCTTGGGGCATCCAGGTGGTTCAGCCAGTTGGGCTTCCAACTCTTGAATTCGGCTCAGGTCGTGATCTCAGGGTTGTGAGATCAGGGCTGTGGGATCAAGACCTGCTTTCGGGCTCCATGCTGAGCATGGAGCCTGCTTGGACCTCTCCCTCCCCCTGCTCCTGTGCTCTCTCTCGCACTCCATCTCTCTCAAATAAATAAAATCTTTTTAAAAAAATTAAGGGTCTTGAGATGGGGGATTATCGTGAATTATCCAGGTGGGCCTCAAATCCATCACGAGCATTCTCAGAAGAAACAGACAAGAGAAGCAAAGTTAGACACACAGAGGAGAAGATGATGTGAGAATGGAGGCAGAAGTTGGAGTGATGTGACCACAAACACAAGGGATAGTGGCAGTGACCTGGCAGAAGCTGGAAGAGGCAAGAGACGGGAGTCTCCGCTAGAGCCTCTGGAGGAAGTACAGCACTGCTGACGTCTTGATTTTGGCCCAGTGATACTGATTTTAGACTTCTGGTCTCAGGACTCTGAGAGAACACATTTCTGTCGTTTTGAGCCACCAAGCTGTTGGTAACTTATCACAGTAGCCACAGGACACCAGTTTGGTTACTTTTTTTTCAAATTACTCAGATAAAGGGGAAAAGGAAGGTATTTTTTCCACTACCCTGTTAACAAATACATGTACTTTGAAACAGGACAAAACCGGATAGGGAGGCAAACCATAAGAGACTCTGAATCTCAGAAAACAAACTGAGGATTGCCGGAGGGGAGAGGGTGGTGAGGGATGGTGTAACTGGGTGATGGACACTGGGGAGGGTATGTGTTGTAATGAACAAAGGGTATTAAGTAAGACTGAAGAATCACAGGCCTGTTTCTCTGAAACCAACAATACATTATATGTTACTTTTAAAATTTAAAAATAAATAAATATATGTACTTATTTAATATTTAAAAATATATTTCAATTGTCAGTTATCTCCATTCAGTTCCTGTGGTATTTTGTACAGATATGGAATTTGATTAATGTTAATGGAATGAATAAACAAAGTTAGAAATAATGCCTCACCTTGCGATATCTATTTCTGGCCAAGTAGCCTCGCAAATAAGACTGAAGAACAATAGTGGCTGATCGTCTTATCTTGTATCTCCTGCGGGTTATATACATGCGCCAGTACTTCTGAATAATGGTTGCTGCCTTGGTTCTGCGCAGGAACTTAGCATAGCTGGCCAAAGAAAAGAGAGGTGCAGAGTCAGTAATCAGACAAACCCAGACTACATTCTGTACAGACTTAAAGCACCAATAACTTCAGCAGAATAAGTAGTACCTCCATTGTTATTATTCTACTATTATACATGTTAAGTCATTTATTTGTAGGGCAATTTATAGTTCCTCCAAATAGTTTTGCATTCATTTTCTGATTTGAGTCTTCCCTAACCCAGAAAAGTAGGATGTCCCACATTCCCCAATATTACAGTAAAGAAAATGAAGCTCAGAAAGCTTCTCTCTTTCTAGGACAGTGCTCATTACCCCAGGATATATCCCCTTTACACAGCTGACTGGTTGTCCACAGTAATCCCATACTGATCACCACCAGCTTTCTTACATCTAGCCATTGCTAATGTGTGATGTTTCTCCCTCATCTACCTGTTTGGGCATAAGTTCTTCGCCATTAATTCATCTCTACTGATAGTTCTAAATTAAAATTACCCCATACGTAAATCACACTCAAGTCTCATTCTCCTCCAGATCTCCTCAGTTAATTGCTGCTGAAAACTCTTCAGTGGAATCACTGTTAACCAGCACACACTCATGACTGTGTTAATTTACAGATGATTTTTTCAAGCCCACATAAAAGTTAAAAAAAAAAAAAAATCGGAGGACGCGAGCAGGCAGTAGTTTGTAATTTTTTTGATGATGAATCTAAATCACTTATAAGGGTATTTAACTGTCTTGTGAGTAAATCTGTCCCTTTCTGAAACAGGAAGAGGTGGGGTGCTGCCTTTCAACCATGAAGACCCCTGAAAACTGTCCTCAGTTGGACAAGGAACCAGGTGAGCTGTCCGATGTCCGGGGCTGTGAGTCAGGCTGGAGGGGCGACCCAAAGACCTACCATCGGGCCTGGTAGCCTCGCACGTGTCTCTGCACGGTGATGGCCGCCTTGCGCATGCGCAGGTACTTCTTTCGCAGCAGCCAGCCTCGGATAGTCTTCTGGATCCGGATGCAGGCCGCCCGCAGCTTGTCTGCTCTCAGTTTTTCTAGGTAGGCCACTTGACCAGCACGGAAAAAGATCTTTGTCTTACCAAACTGGTATTTGTCCTTGTCCTGTTTTGTGGAAGAAATTGTATACTCAGAAGTAGAAATGATGACTATATAAATGAACTTCTAAAAGAGAAAAAGATATGTCTAAAAGCAGAATCAGTAAAGGGATGAATCTAGAAGCTAAAACTTGGGCTATATCGCCATTAACTAATGGAGCCAGATTTTTTTATCCTATGCAAGTCAAGCAAATAAAAGGGATTTTAAGGAAAACTGTAGTTTAAGAATTATTTTCTAGAATCATTCTACCTGGAATTATTATCTCTGGCCAAACACTTGGTTGTGGGTTATAGGCAATTTGAGTGTTTGCATTTTAAATATCTCAAGGAAATGGAGACGCTGACACTCGCTCTGACTGACTCAGGCTGTAAGCATTACATCAGGCTGTATGTTCCATGAGAAAGCTGAAGGGACAAAAATACCAGCATGAAGAATAAGGCAGGAAGCCATGAACACAAAATAAGAATTAAACAACAAAAACTTGGCATACTCATATCAAGAGTTAAATTTGCAACAGTTATCTGTTGTCTTTAATCAACAGTCTCTGAAAGTAAACACAATCCTATAAATGTATCTAAAATCCTTCTACAAATTTTAAAACTCCTTTTATAAGAACATAATCACTTGTATAGCTCATCGACTTTGGATTACAAGCAGAGCAGAGCAGTAAACACAGACACACATGCTATTTTTCGTCTACCACGTTCTTATCCACCTTATCTAGAAGGATGCAGCTTATTAACCATGCTCATGTCAAAAGAAGAATGGAATTTATTTATAGTAATCACTACCATGATCTGATAAGGCAAAACAAAGAAAATCACTTTCCAGTGTAAACAGTGTAAACATCCTATCTTGTATGTAAACCCAGAAAAATCAGAAATCCCCATATATACCTAAAACTTCTAAAATTATTTTAATTTAAATGCATAAAGCTTACATAGGAAGCATAGCTGAAGACAGAAGCAGGGCTAGAAGGTGGTTCCCCTCTCCATCTCCCTATCCCATCTCAGCTACCCCGCTCCACCCCTGCTCCCCTCTACCAGCAGCCTCCTCTGCACACCGCCCTGCACAGCCCTGAGCCAGACCTGGTGTGGTCTGGGGACATCATGGTCTGGGTGTAGGATTGTTCCTACTTTCTGCTCTCCATTCCCATCTGAACCTAGGTTAGAAAGGAGTTGGTCCAAACCCAAAAACATGATTCCTTTTACATATTACTAAGAAAGTGGCCTTAGTTCTTCCAAAGGAAAACACAAGTTATTATTACCAAAGAAGAGATATTACATTTAGTTAATAGTCAGTAATTAGGACTAATTACCTCAAAGTGAGGTAATCCATTCAAACTAGTGTAAAACAAATGAAAATATTTTTTAAGAAACCTTTTATGGGGCGCCTGGGTGGCTCAGTCACTAAGCAACGGCCTTCGGCCAGGGTCACGATCCCGGGTCCTGGGACCGAGCCCCGCATTGGGTTCCTTGCTTGGTGGGGAGCCTGCTGCTCCCTCTCCCACTCCCCCTGCTTGTGTTCTCTCTCTCTCTCTCTCTCTCTCTCTCTCTCTGTGCTAAATAAATAAATAAATAAAATCTTTAAAAAACCTTTCATGAATCTTAAGTTCTTCATGAACTAGAGTACCTGTTCTCAAAATGGAGTCCTTAGAATAGCATCAGCATCATGTGGGAACTTGTTAGAAATGCATATTATTGGGCCCATCCCAGACCTACTGAATCAAAAATTCTGCAGGCTATCTCAGCAATCTGTAGTTTAACAAGCCGTCCAGGTGACTCTGATGCATTCTGAAGTTTGAGAACTCCCTAGTTTGGCATACAAGACTTTTCAAACACCAACCTATATTTCTTAACCAAATCCCTACTGTTCCATGTATCAATCTTATACTGAAAAAAACAAAAAACAAAAAACAAAACAAAAAAAACAACAACAAAAAAGCACTTTACTGTTTTATGAGCAAATTCTATGCTTTCCTACTTCTTCACACCTTGCTCCCTATTAGGATGTCCGTCTGCTTTTATACAATCTTACCAATTCTTCAGGGCCTAACTCAAAACATGCCTCTTCCATGAAATTGTTCCTCCTTCCCACAGTACATGTGGCTTTGCCTTCCTGTGACTTCTTTAGTATTTGACAGACACTAAGGCTTACTAAACTTATCTCTAAAATGCATGAATTTCCAAGACAAACTATGTTATCTTAGGACAAGACTTGCTTTTTCTTAATCACACAGTATCTGGCCTGATATCTTCCATAAATAAGTATGAGATGAACTTTTATTGATAATGATCAAACTCTAAAAGGTGTGTGTCTCAAGTCTGGGTCCAGACCTCGCCAGACCTCACCGTCCTGTTTCCTGAAAGTATACCATCCCCCTCACTAGGTCTAGCATCTTAGGCACAGTGAGCCTTGACCTCTGAGACAGTGTGGCCCCACCCTCCCAACTCCAAATAATCTAGATTAGTAGTATTTGGATTTCCCAGGGCTGTCAAACCTTATAATCACAAGGCCCTTGGCCAGTATCTGTTCAGATGAAGATAAATGAAAATCCTTCTTACCAGTATCAGTTTCTCTAACACATTCTTGCATGTTTGCTTTCTGTCACTCAGCACATCCTTTTGCTTCATTAGGACACGGTAGCGGCTGAAAAATTCTTGGTAGGTCCACCTGTATGAAAACAACTCCCATCAGCTTACCGGAAAAGGTAAGCCTCTCTCCCAGAGGGTCCCTTCCATATGAAACCGGCCGCACTCACCGTGAGGGGAAGCCCGCTGCACTGATGCGGATGGTTTCCAGGACACCACATGCTCTCAGCTGTTGCACCGCCCTCTTCTCATCAAACCTACGTGTAAAAGGGAACATCAGTGACACACAAAGAAGCTTGGCTGCAGCCACAAATTACCCTCCTCAGTCCAGAGAGCAAACTCTTTTGTAAGGAGCCAAATGGAGAAATTAAAAAAGAAAGCATTCAAAAGTTGGAGCAGAGATCACAATGGCAAACTCTGGGGGGAGGAGACAATTAGCAGTAAAATAAAGAGCAGAGCCATAAATAGGATCTGTAGTTCACACCACACACCTGTAACAAATACCACTGGGCATATTTTAAGAACCCTAAAACTCCTCAATACTTTGCTCTTATTTATTAAATGGCTTGCTGTGGTGAGCTGTTCTCTTGTTTCTTTAGCTCACCATATATAGCTTCCTTAGAATAAAGACTGGCCAACTCTGGAGATTTCTCTAAGAACAAATTAAATACACCTCATCCAATTATTTTTTTTTAAATATTGCTGTTCTAAAAGTTCTATTCAACTTTGTGGGTACATACAAAGGATTTATAGTGTCTACACCAATAACAATTATTTTCATTTTGTACTATATCTTATATACTTTATGTTTATTTTACTCTAGACAAATGGCATCTGAACATTACACTGACACTAAGAGAGGAAGTAGCAAGTCCTGCCCTTGCTGAATGATCTCTCCTTGTACTCCCCCAGTTAAGCCCTGAGCACCCTATCCAAGCATTGTGCTGTGCTGTCCTCTCAAGTGTTCTGTTGGCCGTAGGAGATGGCGTTGGCTGATGGAAGGTAATGGCCCCTAAGGTTGTCCAGGAGAGTGGCCCGCCCAGGCGGTGGCTGCTTTTTCTGCCTCCCATTGCCTCCAGAAAGGGCTTCTTGGCAATCAGGAGGATATAAGTCTTTCATAACTGCCCCTGCATCTAAGGCAGAATCTCAGAGGGCAGGGTTGGCAGGGTGTAGGAAAATGAGCCCTCATCCCCTATGCAGTGGGAGTGGGAGTTACAACCTTTGGTAAATGTGCCTAATCTGACCTACAAATTCCCCTTCTAGAAACAGATTATCCTAAGAAGATAATTAGGCAAATATATAAGAATGTTTGGCAAAATATACTTATCATATCATAGTGAGAATAAGCTTAATGGTCATCATTTAGGGAATAATTTAAATAAATGATAGCATATCTATACAATGAGAACTATGTAGTCATTAAAATGATGATGTGGATTTTTATTTACTAACTTGTAAAACATCCACAATTTATTGAGTTAAAAGCAGACACAAAACCACAATTACAGCACAAGCCCCTCTGATTAGTGTCTCTCTCTCTCTCACACACACACATACCCATATAACACAGCAGAGAAAGAAGGGATGTTGGTTGGTCAAGAAGGATGTATATGAGTTAATACCAGTCATCTCAGTGTATCATGAACGTTTTTCAATTTTTTATGCTATTTTATATTTTTTAAAAACTGTTTTTACAATGCATGTGCATTACTTTTAAAATTAGAGAAAAATGTCCATTTTGAGGAAAAAAAAAAAAACTTCCCCCTCATACATGATATTTGATGTAGGGCAAGACAGTTGGTAATAGTAGACAGACTCTGAGGATTTCAACAGCTGGAAAGTAGCAGAGAGAACTGTGAACCTTCACCAAGGCAGCCTTATTCCACAGGGCTCTGGTTTTAACTAATGCCCAAATAAGCAAAAGCCCAGAAAGATCTTGAATTAAAGTAGATTCTAAACAGAAAGTCAAACTAGAAATGCCTGGTTGACCTCAACTTTTAAAAATCTTCAAAAGGCCAGCTGCTATTTTATTATCATATTCTCTAAAGGAAATGAAAACTAAAACAACAACAAAAAAAAACAAAAATATCTATTAACTAGTGATTTCCCTCTATAAAACATGATTTACCCAAATAATTTTTTCCTTCTGTTAGTATGGGAATCCTTATAAGACTTGGATGCTTTCTAATTCAGTAGTTGAGAAACACTTACGTGAATGGAAACTTGAAGTCATTGGGCTTAATGCAGCGCACATAGTGAGGGGTAGTGGCATTGAGGGTCTCCATTAGCAGGTGAAGGGAGTTTCGGAACTATACAAAAAACAAAACAAAAAAAGCGTCATCAAGGTTTTATCAAAATCGATATTGTAAAAACAATTTAAAATATTTTTCCAATGACACTACTGGAGATTTGGCAATGATTTTGCCTCCTATGAACTTGACCCAGCCTCAGAAGTGGGACTTTAGGTTAAAATCTGCTTAAATTCTGCCATTTATATGCTTATTCTACTAAATATACATTTGTTCTCCTCCCACCACTTTTCCCAGCCACCCCTTTCCACAGACTTATCTTCTTAGAGCTGTTTTAGGTTCACAGCAACATTAACTGAAGAAAGATTTTTCCATAAGCCCCTGCCCCCTTGCAGGAACCAACTCCCCCATTATGAGTACCCCCAACAGAGTGGCACATTTGTTAAAACTGGTGAACCTGCTCTGACAAATCACAGTCCCCCCAAAGTCCATCATTTACATCAGAGCTCACCCCACTCCTTTAACATAGGCTCCTATAGCTTCCTGTTGTGAACTCAAAATTTTGACTAAAAATATAACCTTACTTGAAGAATATTAAGTCCACTTATCATGCACACTGGGGATTCTGCCACAAGAGACCAAAAAAGTAGCAGGTGACTTCAAGAGCGCAGGTAATGAGCGGGAGGATGGGAAAGGACAGCCAGCATGGCTGCCATCAGGGACACAAGGTCAAGCCGAGAGGCTTTGCACCTGTGTCAGGCCCTGCTTCCTATTTCACCTGGGCACACGGTTCCCCCTCTGACTGGCTTCTCATCCCGAGCCCCCAGCCTTGTTCAGGCACTATGAGTGAGTGCAGTATTTCCCAAGGCCCACAGAGCCGAGGACTTCAAAGAAAGGAGAGGGCTCTGCTCCAGCTCTGAGGGAGCTGCTGCTCTGTACAAATCCAGAGAGGAAACAACCAGAGGACAAACCAAGGGCAGCAGTGGTCTGCCAGGGAGGATATGTACTCCAAGAATCAAGACCTAGAGGAAATTATTTTGGGAAAGGTTTAAGCAGAGTCATGGGTCTAAAGCTGGGTGGAGAGGAACAGTAGGTGTTACATATTCTCATAGTGAGAGCTCTAGCCTCTCCCCACCTGAGGACGCCACCTGGGGGGCTGACAGAGGAAAACCTGGGGTTTCAACTGAGCTTGAGGGGAAGGAGCCCTGCAATGGCAGTTCCCTGAACTCACCTGGTGCCCCACTGTTTTCTTGTGCTCTTTGGCTGTCTGGCCGGGTCTGCCTTTGGTGAGCTTTGCTGGAGTGCGGGTGAGGGGTGTGCGTCCTGATGAGGTGGCTGACGTTGGACTGATGGCCTTCTCATCATCTTGAAATAATTCTGGTAGCATCTTAAACTGAGCCAGAAATAATAAAAGATAATTATACTTTAAATAAACTCAAGTGTAGGGGTGCCTGTGTGGCTCAGTCGTTAAGCATCTGCCTTCGGTTCAGGTCACGATCCACAGGTCCTGGGATCAAGCCCCACATGGGGCTCTCTACTTGCTGCTCGGTGCGGAGCCTGCCTCTCCCTCTCCTGATTCCCCTGCTGGTGTTCTCTCTCTCTCTCGCTGTTTCTCTCTGTCAAATCATTAAAATCTTTAAAAATAAATAGATAAATAAACTCATGTGTAAACCTTCACAGAAGACTTGGAATCCATAGGGCTTCCCTTCTTTCAGTAACCCCTTTCAAAGTCTCATTCCAGAAACAATCAATATCTGCATTAGGAAACAAAGACATGAGAGGAAGGTGATACCAATGCAACAAAAATATAGGAGGAAAAAATGCAGTGATTCTATGACCATGTTTGGGGGAAACAAAGTCAAAACTACTCCCTTAACTCTTGAAATCCTAATCTACAGAAAATGGCCACTATTAACATATTGCTGGCCTTGAACTATAATTATTTTATGAGCAAAATACTAATTGGAAGTCCTATCTAATTACTTCAGTTTCACAAAATGTTCTATCATCCTTCATTTGTCTACCTACTAACTCAAATGGTGAGTACCAGTTAAACAAACTCACTGAAAATCTCGGCAAGAAGGCTATGACAAACCAGTTCTCCAATACAATCAACAACACAGAATTCTAAGGAAAACATTAACAGAGTTAATGTTATGGAAAACAACACAGAGTTATAAGGAAAAAATTAAAAACCCTGCCCTTGTCCTGTAACCTTTTATATTTGTTTTCAAGGGATTAATAACTTGATTGCATAATTTCTGCAATCAATTTTGTGTTGTACCAGGTTTGCGCTACGAAAGATTATTATAAGATCTGGCATTTAACAAGTGGATAGATGGTATTAGTTAGTATGGAAGGGAGACATTTTATGGCATGAAAGAGATTTCAAACTAGCCTACAGGAACACCATGACATATGCATATATCTTTACAATAGTCACACATTCCACATTAAATAAACCCTTCAAATTATAATAGCAACTACCAATTATTTGTCTAATAATTTCAGAGTATCTCCAGAAGAAATAATTTTCTTAGAAAAGTTCTTCCGTTAAAAAACAAAATCAGAGAATTTCATTTGCTTTTAATGTGTATTTAATCATAAGGGTAATTTAGGAAATAACTCACAATGTATGAAACAAATTATTATACAAAACATACCAATAATGGTTGCTTGCTACACAAATGAATCTCTTCATCCCTTTTAAAGGGTTGACTATAAAGAGGAAAACATGTTGCACCACTATCTTGTATCACAATGTTAAAGCTGCATTCCAAATAGGAAAAATAAGAGTCTCTAATAGATTTGATCTGAAAACCCAAGGTATGTGTATCGTGTGCCATCCTCCAGCTCCAGCTACAACAAAGCTACATACACTGCAATTACTCCCAATGACTCCTCAGAACCCATCGCTACCTTCTGATACTTAAGGACCCACCAGCCAATCAGAAAAGTTAGTCGGAAGAAAGACACGAATGATTATGGGTACCTGGGCAATAAGAACCTGTGAATGTTCCATTTAATCTAAACTACCTAGGCAGAGTAATGACATTAGAATTTTATGGTTTTCATCACTATTCATAAATAGAAATGATGTGAAATGTAACTTAATAGTACTCAGGGATTGCCACTGTGAGAGAATTTTCTCTTATACATTAGTCCTCTAAGATATAAAGCATTAATGTCCAGTGCTTATGAGTATAAGTGAAAAACTGACTTTTTTATAGACACACAGAGTCATTATTTTTTCGAGAGTTAAAACTAGAGCTTAGTCTTGGCTAACAGACACACGAAAAAATGCTCAATATCACTCGGCATCAGGGAAATACAAATCAAAACCGCGGTGAGATACCACCTCACACCAGTCAGAAGGGCTAAAATTAACAAGTCTGGAAATGACAGGAGTTGAGAAGGATGTGGAGAAAGGGGAACCCTCCTACACTGTTGGTGGGAATGCAAGCTGTTGCAGCCACTCTGGAAAACAGTACGGAGTTCCTCAAAAAGTTGAAAATAGGCTACCTTGGGGCGCCTGGGTGGATCAGTGGGTTAAACCTCTGCCCTCGGCTCAGGTCATGAGCTCAGGGTCCTGGGGATCGAGCCCTGCATCGGGCTCTCTGCTCGGCAGGGAGCCTGCTTCCCTTCCTCTCTCTCTGCCTGCCTCTCTGCCTACTTGTGATCTCTGTCTGTCAAGTAAATAAATAAAATCTTAAAAAAAAAAATTAAAAGTAAATAGGCTACCTTATGACCCAGCAATTACACTACTGGATATCTTCCCCAAAGATACAAATGTAGTGGGCACATGCACCCCAATGTTTATAGCAGCAATGTCCACGATGGCCAAACTATGGAAAGAGCCCAGATGTCCATCGACAGATGAATGGATAAAAAAGATACGTGTGTGTGTATACACGCATATATATCTATACATACACAATGGAATATTACTCAGTCATCAAAAAAAAAATCACACCATTTGCAATGACATGGATGGAATTACAGGGTATTATGCTAAGTGAAATAAGTCAATCAGAGAAAGACAATTATCATATGATCTCACTGATATGAGGAATTTAATAAGCAGGCAGAAGATCATAGAGAAAGAAAGGAAAAAATAAAACAAGATAAAACCAGAGACAGAGACAAATCGTAAGAGACTCTTGAACATAGGAAACAAAATGGAGGTTGCTGGAGGGCAGTGGGATGGAGGGAAGGGGTGGCTGGGTGATGGACATTAAGTAGGGCATGTGATGTAATGAGCACTGGGTGCTATATAAGACTGATGAATCACAGGCCTGTACCTCTGAAATCCATAATACATTATATGTTAATTAATTGAATTTAAATTTTAAAATGTTTATAGAATATTCCCTCAGAATTTAAAAAGATTCTCTTAGAATAAACGAGGGAAACAAAAGTGCTGGTCAGTAGTCTAGAAGATTTACATGAATAATTTATTTTTTAACAAATATTTGAATATTCATTTTGCTAAACTAAGTTTACTTTCAATTATTTTGAGTGCATAAGACCATGTTTCCAGTGTATCCCTTTAAAATGATACAGCAGGGTGCCTGTTGGCTCAGTAGGTTGATCATCTGACTCTTGATTTCAGCTCTAGTCATGATTTAAGGGTTCTGGGATGGAGCCCTGAGTCATGCTCCCCACTCATCAGGGAGTCTGCTTGTCTCTCTCTCTGCCCCCAAACTCACTAGTGCTCTCTCACTAAAATAAATAAATGATTCCTTAAAAATACATACATACATACATAATAAAATGATGTAGTAAAAAACCTATTTTCTTTCATAATTTCTCACAAAGGCACAATGGAGTCTAGAACCACTGTGCAGACAATAATTTCACATAAAACTGAAAGACAACAGGGGAGCCTGGGTGGCTCAGTCGTTAAGCATCTGCCTTGGGCTCAGGTCATGATCTCAGGGTCCTGGGATCGAGCCTCAAGTCAGGGTCCCTGCTCCGCGGGGAGCCTGGTTCTCCCTCTCCCACTCCCCCTACTTGTGCTCCCTTTCTCACTGTGTCTCTCTCAGTCAAATAAATAAACAAAATCTAAACAACAACAACAACAAAAAACAAAACCTGAACGACAACACTGCATTGTGGTTATGAGCAGACTCTGAGCCAGACAGCCTGTGTTTTAATTTTGCTTAAAAACACATTAGCTATGGGGCGCCTCAGCGGCTCAGTGGGTTAATCCTCTGCCTTCAGCTTGGGTCGTGATCCCAGGGTCCTGGGATCGAGACCCGCCTCAGGCTCTCTGCTCAGCAGGGAGTCTGCTTCCCTTCCTCTCTCTCTGCCTGCCTCTCTGCCTATTTGAGATCTCTGTCTGTCAAATAAATAAATAAAAGCTTAAGAAAAAAAAAACACATTAGCTATGAAATCTCTGTGCTTCAGTTCCCTCATCTGTAAAATGGGAGTAATGATTTTATCACCTCATTATAAAAATTACATGAGTTAACATTTGTAAGGCATTTAAAAGGCAAAAGATTTATACAATCCGAAGAGAAACCCGACACACACTATTATCTGATAAATTAAAAACTAACAGTAAAGCTGATTTTGTTAGAAAAATCACTATTGTTAAAAAACTAATGTTTAAAAAAACAAGAAACTAATGCTTACTTAAGTAATTAACACTATTGAATATATCCTGATTGTAGAAAGCCTAATACATTGTTACCTTGCTGGATTTCAGAACTTTAATTTGTTCTTCAAAAACAGTGTCTTTATTCTTTTCCAGAAAGCCTTCACACTGGTATTCCACCTGGAAACACATGCAAAAATCTTCTTAACTACCAGATTTTTTTTTTTTAACAGATATTAAAATCATCAACCACAAAAACATTTATTAGGTTCAGGCTATATGACTGGTTCTCAGCAAACTGGTTATCAGTTTTAGTCTAAGAAACCAGTACCATTCTTGGGAAGAAGTATGTTAGCTCTAGAGTAAAACTCCTCAAATATTGCTTTTCCTAGGGAATAGTGGTAGTGCTAATTAGTTATGGTTTAAAAGATCCTCCCAATTCACAGGTAGGCAGACTCATAAGAAGTTGACTCTTCTCACTCATGCTGACGCAAGAAAGCTCCTTCACAGCTAAGCTAGTGGACCTTCTTGTGACTGAGATCACCATCCTGGAGGGGTAGTTCTCTTGGAAGACAACTGGGTAAACACTGTATGATTTGGTAAAGGGAACTACTCAAGAACAAGGAAACTCAAGACTGTTCCTGCTTCCAAAACTCCAGTGACTTTAGGCATCTACTACTCAAGTTGCTCCCCAGGTTATAACACAAAGCCCTTAGGTAACCTAAAGACATTCCTAGGTTTCCAGCTAGGACTAAGAAGACTTAGAAGACCCTCAATTCCTGAAGGAGACCCCAGGAAGCTTACCCCCCTTAACCCTACCCACATCTCCTTTAAATGTAAATTAGCCTCATCGCTCCTGATTTTCTGAGCACACTACTAAACTCATGAAGCAGTAGGTCCACATGCCCTGTTAGCAGGAACCCACTGACTCAATCACAGTCTCTATTCTGATCCCTCTAAGGTTTGCAGCAGTCCAAGGCAGCAACCTATAATCAAACACATTAATATTTCTACACTGAAGTATGTAAATATCCAGCCTAACTGAGATAAATAAAGACTATACATAACCTCATGTTACTTCAAAGTCAGAGATCAGGTCTAGACATAAAATGAATTATGAAGAGACTTTTTAGTTTTCAGAGTTTCTTGGATTTCAGAATTATACAGGATTGTAGGCTCATATTTATTTCATAATATAATTCCATTTATAGGAATGGAAAGGAAGAGAAAACCACCCAAGCAACACTGAAAAATACTTTTCCTATAAGACACTAAAGGATGCAAGTTTCAGCAAAGATAAAAATGATATCTCTAGACATCGATTTTTTACCTCTTTGAACTTAAATATTCAAAAAGAAAAAAGATAATAAAGCTTCCTTACTTTGTCAGCAAAATGTTGGATGATGAAAGCTTTGTTTGATAGACGGGGCTTTTCAAAGAGTGCACATTTGTTCAAATGTGTGTTGTACAATTTTTGGGCCCAAGTGTCATCTGTGCCTTTGGGCATCTACATTCAGGGTGGAAAAGAAAAGGAAAAAAAAAAAACAGCAAAAACAAAATAAGAATATTGTTATAAGACTTTTCTGACTTATCAACCAAGAGACCATTTTTTGGCTTTTCTAACAACTTTTATATTCAATAGGAACTCATTCCCTCCACATTACTCTGTTAGATGACGAAAATCAGTTACCAAAGGAAAGCAATGACTGAGACCTTTTCATGGGTGACTCAGCCCAATCTTTGGGCAACTCCATCTGGCTATACCAGGAATCATCAAATAAATATTCTATCAGCTTTTAAAACAACAAGAGCCTCACAAATAAAACATGAACTATTATGATTTCATGTTTTTTTTTAAATTTTAGGCAAGTTATAGGCCCACTGTGGAGCTTGAACTCATGACCCCCATGAAATCAAGAGTCACATGCTCTAGCGACTAAGCCTGCCAGCTGCGCCATATCAGGTATTTTTAAAAATTTGTTAAATAAAGGTAACATATGCACAGAGTGAAATATTTTCATAATTCATAAAGGTTTAAAATGAAGCGTAATTTTTTTCATCATTTCCACCAATTTTATCTTTCTGTCTAAAGGTATGCACACTAATAGAATCATTCTATAAAATCTTTGCATTTTTCTTCTTCTTAATAATAGCATTCCTGTATTCATGGCCATTAGGTTGTTACTCATTTTCTGTTATTATAAAAATGGCCACAATTGCTTCTTTTACATATATACCTTGGACACTTTTGCAAGTATATTCATAGGGTGAATTCCAGCAATTCGACTGTTGGGCCCAAAGGTAATTTTGGGCCCACTGTTGGGTCTAAAATTTTATAATTTTGAAAAATATTGTCAAATTCCCCCAAAAATATGCTGTATTAACTCACATCCTACCATCATTGAATGGTATTATCAAATTTAAACTCACCTATCTAGAGCACCAGGCTGGCTCAGTGGGTTAAGCATTTGACTTCTGATTTTGGCTCAGGTCATGATCTCAGTAGTCCTAGGATTGAGCCCTGTGTTGGGGTCCCTGCTCAGTGGGAAGTCTGAGATTCTCTCTCTCTCCCTCTGCCCCTCCCCCAGCTCTCTCTCTCTCTCTCTCTCTCTCAAAATAAATAAATAAAATCTCAAAAGAAAAAAAAAAACCTTGCCTGTCTGATAGGTAAAATGCAGTATCCCATTTTTGGTTTGATATGCATTTTATTTAATTTCAAGTGAAACTGAGCATTATACTCATTCTTAATGTTGTAGGAAATCTGATACTTAGGAGGATCAATCTATGGTAAGTTGTAATTTATGGCATTCAAACTAAAGAGGAGTTAAGAGAAAGGATATGTTATTTGTCTAAGATCACTCAGCAGTAAAGCCAGAGATCCATTATTTTCCCAGCACGCTGGGTCTTCAAATATTAAAACTAAAACTCCCTTTCTACCATATATATCAATAATAAAGAACAAGCAGTCAATTTTAAAATCACAGATATTTAAGACTATTATTTAAAATATCTTTTGTACAATTTCTTGCATTTCTTTAAATATGTCATATCACTAAACAAAAGACTACCAAACTGGTAAGCAAAAAATTGATATGTCAATTTTTTACATAACTGAGAAGCAGCTAAAAAGAGAAAGGAAATTCCCCAAGTTTTGTTTTTTTTTTTTTTCAAGATTTTTAAAAAGATTTATTTATGTATTTTAGAGAGAGAGTGAGAGTGCAAGTGAGGAGAGGGGCAGAGGGAGAGAGAGAGAATCTCAAGCAGACTCCCTGCTGAGCACAGAGTCCCAATGCGGGGTTCAAACTCAGGACACCAAGATCATGACCTGAGCTGAAATCAAGAGTCGGCCACTCAACAAACTGAGCCACCCAGGCGCTCCCAAATTATCCCAGTTTTGATTGTAGGCAGAACCCTTTGGGTCTAGTGACCCTTCAGAATGCAAGTAGGGTGATCTCTTATTTGTGGCCACACTGGCACCTCATGGTATACCAATGAATCTGTGCTTAAACCCACTTACCTCTGACCTTGACATGTCTCTTGATAGACTAGGTATGTCAGAAAATCATATTTACCTTGCATTCTTCATCCAGCAAATCTAGAATGCCCAGTTTAGATTCTATAAGATTAATGCAAGGCTGATTATCATAAAAATCTATGAGTGTCCAGGGAATTTGTTCCTTCATATATTCTTCCTGTTCTAATTTGAAGACATGCTGAAATGAAAAAGAAAAAACAAAACTGGCATTACTGTATCATTACAAGTAATGTTAGTCAAGAAATGACATTTATAGAAAACACTCGAAGAGGATATGAACATAATATGAGATAGTCCATGGCTTCCAGCAACAATAATCTTTTTTTTTTTTTAAAGATTTTTATTTATTTATTTGACAGAGAGAGATCACAAGTAGACGGAGAGGCAGGTAGAGAGAGAGAGAGGGAAGCAGGCTCCCTGCTGAGCAGAGAGCCTGATGCGGGACTCGATCCCAGGACCCTGAGATCATGACCTGAGCCGAAGGCAGCAGCTTAACCCACTGAGCCACCCAGGCGCCCAGCAGCAACAATAATCTTGTGGGAAAAACATGTTTTACACATGGAGAGTAATATAAGAAGCAAATAAAATCCACAGATAGCAAAGCCTCAGCTACACAGGATTCTTGGTAAACAAGTAAATCTACGTGTGTGGGTGTGTTAAAACAGCTGACAATGTAGCAGTCTTTTCGATTTTTTTTTAATATGTATACAACCAACACTGTACAATATACTTTTTGGCCTCAAATTATTGCACAGTGCTGCTAACAATGCCTTAGCTGGCCTTGAACTATGCAGAGCAGATGCTCTCTAGACTACTGAACCATGCCGGGTGATGCTTGCAGCACAGCAAAGTAATTCTCTTAAGGGACAGTGATGTTGAAGTTCATGTGCCTCAGAGTTAGGTAACAGTGTTTTGTGTCCTCCATCACTTTCCAGTCAGGGAATCTACAGCTCAATTCTGTGAATTCTACATCCAATGCTGCAAGCAGCTGCAACAAGAACCAATCCACTGCTCCTTCTGCTAAATGTTTCAACCACCATCCTCCATTCCACATTGCTTCTCATCTCCAGTCACTCATTTAAGCAAAAATATGTATCGACCATCTACTATGTGCCAGTCACGGCACACCATTAACAAAGGAGATGTGGGTTCTGCCCTCAGGGAGTTTGGAAACTTAGTGGGAAAAACAGACAGAAATCAAGTAACCACAAGGAATCACAAACTATAGTAATGTTACAAAGGAAAATAATGTAAGCTATGAGAACAAGAGTCCTTATCTAGTTTGGATACAGGGTCGTGAGGGAAGGCTTCTCTGAGGACAGGCTCTGCTATAGAAACTCTGCAGATAAATGGATGTTAAGTTGGTCTAGACGGAAGGGCAATCCAATCCCCGATACCGTTCTTGCTTCAGGCTGCCCAACCAATACAGCAATCCATAACTTCTAGTGTCTACAAGACGTTAATGACCTCTACTCATTGTACTTGGGGATTTCTGCTTTCTTTTATCTCTTCTGATTCCCTTCTTCTCTCAGACATTTTGATCCTTTTTCTGGAAAGGATAGCCTCCTACGGCTTTGACCAGACAACACATATTTTCTAGGCCCCTAATCCCCGTGAAACTTAGGTGTCACCAAGATTTCTGATACACACGCTCCTTGTGCACTTAGAACTTTCTTACTTTATTCTGCCCGTATTGTAATGTCCCTCTGGCTCATTGGCAGCATTTACCAGCTGCAATAAGCTTCAATAATTTAAAAAAAACAAAGTGGTCACCCGAATAAATATTTATGTCCTGTTGATCAGAAAGTAAATTTCTTCTGCTCTTACGATGAATGAGAAGGCAAGCGGGACACCATGTGTTAGCAGGATGCCCTGACTGATGGCACCAATAAGGAACGAGCTCTGTTCTTTTTTTAATTCAATAATTTCTATGCAGACTCCACACTGACGACAGAAACACTGCTCCAGATTTTAAATAGAGCTTGTTTCTTATACACAATTCTATGCTAGTTTGGAAAAGTCCATGAGGCCTCAAAAATCTTGGATACTCAGTTGTCAAAAAGACAATGTGGGCATGAGGTTCAATGTGGCAAGAGATCCTGAGTCAATATGTAATGCCTGCAATCTCTAAATACGCCAATCACCGTGTTTCTCATGCCCACTGCCCCACTCATAATCCTTGCCAAGGGTGGCCCAAAACAACCAGGTTCTTTACTTTGAAACCCTATGTTCCTAGTCACAGCTGGTCAACTGCTAGAGATCTCTGGTGGAAAAATGAATGAAATTAATCAGATTCCCTTTGTTGGGTATAAGAATTTAGAAATGGGCAATCAACAGTCCAAGCTAAAGCTGATTCAGAATGAATGGGGAAATGGCAAGTTAAGAGGGTGAGAGGAAAGGGGTGCCTGGAAGGCTCAGTCGGTTAAGAATCCACCTCTTGATTGCAGCTCAGGTCTCTGGGTTTTGGGATCAAGCCCTGTATCAGGCTCCATGCAGGGCATGGAGGCTCCTTGGGATGCTCTCTCTCTCTCTCTCCCCACCTCTCTCTCTCCTTCTGCCCCATCTCCCCATCTCTCTCTCTCTCCAGGAAAAAAAAAAGAAAAAGAAAAAGGATGAGAGGGGCAAGCCAACCACTGCTGGGTTCAGAGGGAGCTTGAAGTGACTGAGGAAGCAGAAACCCTGAGAAAATATACACAGAAGAGAAGGGAAGAAGAAGTCATCTGATAGTAAAAGGGAGTGGAGCAGCTGTGCAGAGAGAAGCTAAGATGCAGCATAGTGTGTGTGTGTGTGTGTGTGTGTGTGTGTGTGTGAGAGAGAGAGAGAGAGAGAGAGAGAAAGAGAGAGAGAGAGAGAGAGGAGAAACACATTGACAGTGAGAGAGGGAAAGAGAAAGAGAAACGAGAGAGTCAGAAACACACATGCAAGGACATGGGGTCCTTGTCAAATAGACAAATGAGCCAGTCCCTGGTGAGGCCAATGTTGGTTCCTTACATTTACAGTCATCTTGTGCCAAAATATACTAGGAAAGAGCAGAGGCTGTGGCTCTGTTTAAAGTATTAAGAAACTCAGTAAAACCTTGAGAAAAGATAATGCTCAGTTTAGTCTCTGACAGGTCTTTATTAATGTTTCTTAAGCAAAGATGAAAAGGACACCAATAACATTCTTATGGAAACAGTCATAAGCTGAAGGCTTGAAGATCACCTTTGCATTATTTCACTGTGCTAAGCAGCTTAACTTGACAAATAAAGAGGGTCTAAATTTTCATCAGAGTATACACAATATTTTTAAAAAATCAAACAGTCTAAAGGTTTGATGATGACAAGCAAGAATCCCTTGTCCCACCCTTCAATCCAGTCTCACTCTCTGGAGGAAGCCATTTTTAACTTCCTTAGTTATTTCTTCTGATACTTACTTCTAAAGGATATGTTTATCTACTATTTTCTTATGTATTCATTGTAAATATCATCTATTGATTTCTTGAAGAGGCAAATGTGGTCAAATTCATAAATACCACCTCTCTTGAGTCAAATTCATATATACCACCTCTCTCTACTGTCCGTCCCGTCCTCACAATATTACTATTTTTAGTTCTTCTTTCAATTTTTACTAATTCTGTAACTTAAAACAATACCTTTAAACTTCTATTTTTTGTTCATTAACTAGAGACCATGCCTCTTGTCCTCTCTTTTTATAAAATGAGGATACTAAGGACTCTTTTCCTGTCCTTCAGCTCTTCCATCTTCAACTCTTACGAGTGACTTATTTGTTTTCTTGTTTTGCTTTTTAGGCAATTCATTTTTAACAACCTCTTTCATCAGTACTAATAACCATCCCTAATCCTGCACTTAGAACTGTGCCTGGTCCATGTTGATAACTTTACATATTCTAACTCATTCAATCTATGCAACTATATGCAGTAGGTACTATCATTATCCCCTTTATACAGATGAGGAGACTAGGGCCCAGGAGGGTCAATTACCCTGCCCAAGGTCCCATGAATAATCAAAGCAGAATGAGATTCCAACCCAAGCAGTTTACTTTGGAGGTCTGTGATCTTCACTATTACAATGTACTGCCCCTCATTTTTAAATTCCCCAATACCGTGATAATACTTGATGATATTTGATACTACAACTGGACAAGAGCCATTTTCAAAATATTCCCATTGCCATTGTTGTGGTGGATGTCTCAGATTGTTGAAAATATGTAAAAAAAATATGTAGAAAACAGTGTGTGCTGATTTTTCACACTGGCATCTTGAGGATACAGCAAGTAGGAGTTATGATAGTCTTCACTCCATGGGAACAACACACTAAAGGATATCCTGGGCTCAAAACTTCAAACTGCCTATGTTACCACCTAATGCACTTCCTGTTTCAATCACTCAATTTATTTTGACCCAATTTTTACTATTCTCAGGTTGCAACCTGGGCCATACACATTTCTTTAACACTGCACTCATTTATTAATCATAAGTTCCTCAGCAGCTCAGTTGTTCTAAATCCCACATAGTAATTGCAATTTATAGTCTCATTTCAAAAACCAGACTTGAAACACAGAGTAGGAATTCAAAAGAATTTATAGTAAAATATTAGTTAAGAAAGAAAATTCTTACCATATTGAATTGTTGCTGTAGTTTTTCATTTGCATAATTTATGCAAAACTGTTCAAAACTATTTATCTCAAATGTTTCAAATCTATAAAACGAAAAACAGTATGTTAGGAGGAGAAAAAGATACAAACAGCTTTTTAAAATATTCAAAATGTGCCCATTAGAAAGAAAGAAATGGGAAATTTCCCAACATTCTGAAACCTCTTTTCCACATCAGTGAAGATAAAGGTTTATAAGTCAGTAACATGGAATCTACACGCAACAGACAGGCATCAGCCATGTAGCAGAGAGATTTTTTTTGAAGGCTCCAGCATGCAGCAATGTTCAACACTATGAGTTTTTGAGGGCTAATTCATCCCCAGGTGGGGAACAATCGTATTTATGATAAAGCTACTGCTCTTGTCAATTTATAGATTCAGGGCCTATATTCACATAAAAGGGAACTGAGAAAAGAGATCTTATAGGTTCTTTTGAAAAACTATATAAGATAATTTTAAAAATTAGGAATCAAAAACCACAAATATATAGAACTGTATTAACAGCTAAATGAGGGTACCCAGAGGGGCACCTGGGTGGCTCAGTCAGTTAAGCATCTGCTTTCAGGTCAGGTCATTATCCCAGCCAGAGCCCTGGGATAGAGTCCTGCAATGGGCTCCCTGCTCACCTGGGAGTCTGCTTCTCCCTCTGCCCCTCCCCCTGCTCATGTTCTCTCTCTCTCTCTTTCAAATAAATAAAATCTTTAAAGGAGGGCACCCAGAGAAGGCAAACTAGCAAATGAAATAAGATTTTTAGAAATGCTCTTCTAATTTTCTTTTCTCCTTACCAGTAAGAGACAGAATCTAGGACCCACTCAGAGTTACTAGATAATCTCTAGAAAGAAATGCTCTGTGGCAGACCATTAAGCCAAATACACTTACCCATATATGTCCAGCACTCCAATAAAAGAGTGCTGTTTGACAGCAGAATGGAGGGCCTGATTGACATGATCTACGATCCAGCTAAAGAGCTTGGCATAAATGTGCTTGGCCAAAGCATCACGGGCATTCGTGGCCTGCAGCTTAGAGATGGGCTTGATGTATGTCTCTGTGGCGGTAGCGAGTTTCCGATGGCAGAGCCAGTGACACATCTCCTCATAGTCTATGCCCATAAGGTCAGAGAAGATGCTGAGAGGTTCATGCTTGGGCTGATAAAAGAGAGTGGGTTATTTCCTATGACCAAATCAATCAAATAAGAATTTACTAAAAGAACACAAAGAAGTAACAAATAAACCCAGCAATTTCTTTGTTATAATGAACACCCAGATCACTTCAACCTGATCGGTGATAATAATCTTAGTCATCCATTAGACTAGCATCTAGACAGCATTTTACGATCTCTTCTAGGGCTCGTTTTACACGCTACATCTTCCTTTCTCTTCACTGTATTTGTTTGTATCTGTCTTCGGGCACCTTTATTCAGTCAGTTGATCAGAAGATCTGTCAGCTTGTCAACAAGTATTTACTTAGTGCCTACGACATGCCGGTAAATAAAACCAGACATAGCCCCATCTTCCTAGAACTTACAGTCACTAGGGGAAATGGATGTTAGTCAAATGACTGCTCCCTAAAATGTAAAATTACTGCAGAGAACAAGGGTGCTATCCTATGATTCCATGTGAAAGGACTGCGCTCCACTCAGGAGGCAAGCGCCAGTTGTCTTGAGAAACAGAGTTGAGATTTGAAGAATGGGAAAGTATTAACTCAGTGAAAGGGGAAAGAAAGGGTCTTCAAGCTGAGGGCATAGCTGGTACACAAGTCCTGTGGTGGGAGAAAACTATAGTATGAGGGACTAAAGCTAAGTGAGGGAGAAAATATCTGAGATGAAGCCAGAGAGACAGGCAGAGTCTATACCATGGCTGCTCTTTATCCTGAGAGCAAAGAGAAGTCACTGAAGGGTTTAAGACAGATAACTTGAGAGTTATTCATAGGACTTCTTAGACTAGAATCTCTTTAATCTCTATCCCCTACAAGGTCTTCCATAGGCCTTGATTTGAGTAGATTGAGTAGACTGAGTAGACATTCAATAAAACCTTGTTTAGTTTAATCTACACAAGTGCACTACATTTGTGAACATCTTCACTCACATGTTTCAGTTGACTCTGATGACATTCCTGGGGAATAAGCAGGATGAACATCGCTATCTTGGAGTGAAATCCAAGAGGATAGCTTATCAAACATCACATGGCCAATGTATGTCACTGTTGTCATTAGAACCTGGGTGTCTTGGCATCCTCACCTCCTGACCCTTCCCACTGAAGCAGTCCCTTCCTTCCCTCACCTCCCCTCCTCCCGAATGGTCACTTCAGATACAAATTAGCATCATTACCAACAGCATGCTATATGTCCCTTAAATAAGCAGCTAATTTCATTCATATAAATGTATGATTTGACATTAGTACTTTCTAAACATATTCTATTTGAACAACATGACCATACTATTAGATCACAGCTGTAAATTTTTTATTCAAATTTTCTATAACTTTACTGATTTTTAGACTTCTTCATTTACCTCTTCTCTTTATCTGAGAAAAGTCAATAATCTCTCACTATGATAGAACTATTTCTTCTTTTGGTTTCTGTTGATTTTTGCTTTATATATGTTAAGTCTATGCCATTAAGTACATGAAAGTTAAAAAGCATTACATCTTCCTGATGAATAAAACCTCTATTATTACATAGTACTCTATTTACCTTTAGTATTGCTTTGGTCCCAACTATTTTGTTGAATATCAATACAGGCTCTGCCAGGGTTTTTTTTTTTTTTAGTTATTATGATGTGTCTTCTATAAACTTTTTATTTTCAAACTTTCTGTACCTATATGTTTTGGGGATGCTTTTTTCAAAAGTATTCAGCTGAATTCCTACACCAGTTATCCAGTTGTTATCTAGTACTCTGGTTCCATGTTTTTAGGGGGAACAGCAGCTGATGATTCTCTTTAACTTTTTTTCTAGACTAATTTTAGACTAAGAGAAAAGTTTCAAGAGCAGTACAAAGAATTTCCTTCACCCAGATTCCCTAAATATTATCATTTTACACATTTGCTTGTATCATTCTCTCTCCTCCACATACATGTACACACACATTAATTTTTTAGAACCTTTGAGAGTGGGAGGAAAAAAATAAAACGACAAAAAACCTTTGAGAGAAGTTCCATGCATGATGCCATTTTAGTCCTAAATATTTTCAGGGTGCAACTCCTAAAAACCAAAGACACTGTCTTATATAACTATGATATCACCAAGAAAATTAGAAAATTAGCAATGACACAACTCTATTATCTAACCTACAGATCCAATCCAATTTTTTTTCTGGCTGTTCTAACAGTCTCTGCACAGGAGTGGGGGAGATATTTTTACAGTCCAGGAACCAGTCTAAGTTCATACACTGAATTTAGTTGCCGTGTTTCACTAGCCTCCTTTAATCTTAATAGGTCTTCACTCTTTTTTTTGTTTGTGACCTTGACCTTTTTAATGTAGGTCCTTCAATGAAGGTCTGTATGACGCTGCCTCATGATTAGATTTGGGTCATGCCTTCTCAGCAGGAATACCAGAGAAGTGATGTTGTGCTCTCAGTTCACCACATCAGAAGTTATTTTATGTTCAACAGTCATTTCTCTAAAGACATCCAGATGGCCAACACCCACATGAAAACATGCTTAATATCAATCATCACCAAGGAAATGCAAATCAAAACTACGATGAGATACCACTGCACACCTGTCAGAACAGCTCAAATCAAAAACACAAGAAACAACAAGTGCTGGTAAGAATGTGGAGAAAAAAAGACTCCTCATGCATTGCGGGTGGGAATGCAAACTCATGCAGCCACTCTGGAAAACAGTATGGAAAAAGTTAAGTTTCCACAAAACACTGTGGAAAAAGTTAAAAATAGAACTACCCTATGATCCAGTAATCACACTCCTGAGTATTTACCCCGAAAATGCAAAAACCCTAATTCGAAGGGGTGCAAGCACTCCCATATTTATTGCAGTATTATTAACAATAGCTGCACTTTGGAAAAAGCCCAAAAAACAGACTCTTAACTACTAAGAACAAACTGATGTTACCAGAGGGGAGGTGGGTGGGGGAAGGTGAAACAAGTGAGGCACTTGTGATGAGCACCGGGTGTTGTATGGAAGTGCTGGACACTATACTGCACACCTAAAAATAATCTTACACTGTATGGTAACGATACTGGAGTTAATATTAAAAACCTGGAAAAAAAAAAACAACCATGTTCACTATAAGCTACAAACCAGAGAAATAAAGAAATTTCTTTTTTTTTTTTAAGATTTTATTTATTTATTTGACAGAGAGATACAGAGAGAGAGGGAACAAAAGCAGGGGAAGTGGGGGTTGGGGGGAAGGAGGCTTCCTGCTGAGCAGGGAGCCCAATAAAGAATATCCTTAAAGGCTTTTTATTTTTTTGTTAAAGATTTATTTACTTAAGAGAGAGAGCAAGAGGGCGCCTGGGTGGCTCAGCTGGTTAAGCGGCTGCCTTCTGCTCAGGTCATGATTCCAGAGTCCTGGGATCGAGCCTCGCATCAGCTCCCTGCTCAGTGGAGAGCCTGATTCTCGCTCTCTCTCTGCCTGCCTGCCTACTTGTGATCCCTCTCTCTCTCTCTCTCAAATAAATAAATAAAATCTTTTTTAAAAAAAGAGAGAGAGAGAGAGAGTGAGAGAGAGAGAATGAGAGGGGAGAGGGTCAGAGGGAGAAGAAGACTCCCTGCTGAGCAGGGAGCCAGGGACTGGATCCCGGGACTTGATCCCAGGACTGGATCGTCTGGTTCATGACCTGAGCTGAAGGCAGTTGCTTAACCAACTGAGCCACCCAGGTGCCCTTTAAAGGCTTTTTAAAAGCAAACAACAGCAACAAGTACAAAAAAAGAAGTTCTGTGATGTTGATTGGTTTTTCCACTGGTCCTGTGAATTGCAGTCACCTGATTAAGGGAATGCCTGCCAAGTTTCTCCACTGTAAAGATGGCTATTTTCCCTTTGTAACTAAGTATTTTGTGGGGAGTTCTGTCTTTCCTGGCCCAATATAGTATTCATAATTATTATTGTTTTAATTAATGAAACATTTTCTGTATTGGCATGTGCTTTCCTAGTTTATCGATCCACCATTCATTCTGTACTTTTAGACCTATCTTCGGTCACTTTCCTTCTACCTAAACCAGGTTCTTTAATATTTCCTTTAGTGAGGACCTTTTGGTGACAAAATCTCCCAATTTCTATTTGTCTGAAAACACTTCTATTCTTCCCTCATTCTGGAAAGATCTTTTTATGGGATATACAATTCTAAGTTAATAGTTATTTACTCTAGAGCACTGAAGATAGTGTTTTCTAGCTTCTATTATAGTTGAGAAGTGAGCTAATGGTTTAACTGTTATTTCTTCAAAGGTAGTTATGTCTTATCTCTCTGCCTGTTTTAAGATTTTTCTCTCTGCCTTTGGTATCATTATGGTGTGCCTTAGGTGGATTTCTTTTTATTTATCCTAATTAGAATTTTGTGGACTTTCCTTATCTGAGGTTTAGAGTCATTTTCACAATTTCTGAAATTTGTGAATAATTATCTTTCAAATATTATGTCTGCCTCTTTCTCCCCCCCCCCACGAATTCTCATTGGATCAAAATTAGATTTTATTATTCTATCCTTCACCTCTCCTCTGTTAAGTGCTCCATCTCTGGGTCTGTCTTGCATTTTGGGTAATTTCTTCACATCTCTCTTCTAGCTCATCTCTTCTCTCCTCAGTTGTGTCGATTTGCTAATAATTTCTTTCAGCATTCTTAATGGGTTTGACTCTTATCTGTTGTTTCACCTAGCTCCTTCTATTTTGTTTCTTTGTGGAATTTGTGATTTCTGACTATAAACCAATTATTTGTTGCAAATTTTCTCATGGGACTCTATTGAGACTTGGATCATCCAAAGTAGATTTATAGATTTATATTTGCTTCTGACAGGCATCTAAGACACCACCAATCCAGGACCAATTTCAGCTAAGTTTTCTGTATTTAGCTTTCTGAGAACTATGAAATCAGTCTGGGAGTAACTGCGAGGGTCAGTTCATTGCCATAAAATTTTAGGACCTATTTTCTCCTACACATAGGCACCAAGGTTTGCTCAAGCCAGATCAACTTTTCTTTATACTCTTCAAGTAGGTGGTGGGCAAGTTTATTACTAGTTTCCCATTTAGGGCCTCAGCTTTAGGCAGGAGTTCCCCTGTTTATATGAGTCCTGGGCTTTGTCTTTTGTTTTTTGCACTCTACTTGGCTAGGAAAACAAACTCATGGTCACTTGGCTTCAGTAAATGTTGTCAAGATGAGCCCTAATTCCAGGGTTCTACTTCTTTCTCATAGCTCTTATTTTCACTTAGTTTCTGGTCTCTGACTAAATTTTATATATTTATTAATTTTTTTAAAAAATATAATTTATTGTGGGGCATCTGGCTGGCTCAGTCAGTGGAACATGAGACTCTTAATCTTGGGAGTTGTGAGTTCAAGCCCCATGTTAGGTGCAGAGATTACTTAAAAATAAAATCTTTAAAAATATATATATATATACATATATATATATATATAAATATGGTTTATCCAGTATGAAGATCAATCAGAGCACCCAGTTGAAAATTGCTGGAAAAGAAAGTCTCATTTTACAGATGAGAAAACAGAAGTTCAGAGAAGTGTAAGCAACTCACCAAAAAAACAAAGCATGATTAAACAGTAAAGTAGGGACTGAATCCAAGCAGAGACACAAAAACATGTATTTCAAAACTAACGTCTTATTTATGCAAATTTAAATCATGAATTAATCTACATGTAGATTTGCTAATATCAACTTGGGTATCTGAAGAGTGAAACATAAATCTTCAGATTGTGTCCTATCACATTATTGAGGAAGCAGGATGGAAAAATAATTAATTATATTAAAACTTCCTCGGTTCTAATAAAGTTAGAAAGTACCTAAAACTGTGTGCGTGCACACACACGTGCGCATGAGTTATATTTGATGGTGGTGATCAGCAAATACTGCAAATCATAAATGCCCAATGAGGACAACCTGAGACTACCAGGTTTTGTTACAATTTAAACAAACACTTCCACATATGGAATTGGGTTTTAATTCTCAGTGTGCAGTTATCACTATGTGTGAAAGAATATGCAAATCCTAGTGAAGACACTCAGTCCCCCAGCCATCTAGTTCCTCTTCACAGGAGTAATCACTGCTAATAGTTGTTTCAATAACAAAATATAGTTTATTACAACTCCACAGCTGAAGACATAAAGTTTTTAATTACTGGTATTTGTACCATGGGCCAAATGAACACCTCTCCCTAGATATCTCCAGTCCAGCTTTCACACTGAATATTAATACTTCCCACCTCTGTTCATATGGACCAGACATGTATCCAAGTTCTCTCCTCTTCCCTACCCCTAATACACACAATCACTGTGCACAAGGGATTAGCATCCATATTTCTTACCTTCAGTTCACGAGTCTATTTGGGATAATTTATCTCTCTGATAATGATAATAGAGACTTCAAATATTAACAAAACTGAAACACAAGGAAACTGCTATCACACTAAGCATATTCTGAACTTACAGGTATCGTGCAGCTGTCTGAATCCCGAGATGTAAATGAAACATTGCCTAAGTGAAGGATGCCAGCAAGTATTCGGAAAATTCCCATCTGATAAGACTCACTAATTCCTGAAATAGAGTAAATGAACAAGTGATAATAAACTATTGCAACAGCCAATATTAAGCCTATTTTTAACCCTTGAATATTGCCAAAGGTGCAGATGGTCACACGTCATGGTTAACCACACTTTCATCTTTGCTGACATCAACATGTAACACAGTGTAGCATCATGGTTGAGAGCACGGGCTGTGGAGTGAGAACTGGCTCAAGGGCAGGTGTTGCTCCTGACCTGCCATGTCACATGGGAACATAACATCACCCTTCTATGTTTCTGTTTTCTCATGTGAGATATGGAAATAGTTGTGACTACCTCAAAGGGAATCCATGAGCATTAAATGAGAAAATGCATGTAGTCGTGTAGTATACTTAGCACACTACAGGACACGTGGTAAATGCTAAACAAATTATCATCGCCGTCATACTCTGGATTTAAGTATTTTACTAACATTATTACCTTTTCTATTTTCTCTATTCCCAAGTGCAAGTTGTAGCCCAATAAGGCTATTTTAAGTCAGATTATTTTAATTACTCCTTCTAACTAGAGACCAACTATAAGTTAAAGAGATCCCAAGATGAGAAGTGTTTGGGCCCATGTTGTACTCAGCTTGATGAGGGAATTTGAAATGCAGCATTAGAGTATCAACTGACGGATAAGGCAGGATGAGAAAGCTGTATAGCTTTGGCATTTTATCAGATCTGGCTTCATTTTTCCATAAAATAAGAATTTCCTGAATATTAGGTATAATTATATAGAAGTAAAAATAGTAAAATTATTTTCAAATATGTAATCATATACAGGGTAATTGAGAGTTGATCTTATAATGAATATTTTTACTATCTCCTAATTATGACTTCTATAAATTTGCAATTTTCTATTTACGAATAGATTTAGCCCTAAAATTATAGCAGTATTTTTCAAACTTTAATGTGCATATGAATCACCAATGGATCTTGTTAATGTGCAGATCTGTTTCAGTAGGTCTAAGATGGGGCTTGAGTTTCTGAATTTTTGCAAGCTCCACTATGGTCCTGGACCATACTCTGATTAGCAATGCTTTTAAATTAAATTAACTCACCTCATAGTACTCATCAAAATACCAACACATGATTTTAGTCATTTATATTTTGAGGTTTTTAAAATAAATAATTCACCACTAAAAGTTGTAGTTCTAAAGATTAATTTACTTGCATGTAGACCCCATATTTTTTAAATCTCAGAAACAAGACAGCGACATTTGAGCCATGTTTTAAACACTGGAATAGTCTACTTGGAATACAATGTTTATCACTACACAAGCTCAACCACATTTCCCAAACACAAACGACCAAAAAAAATAAGGGCGAGACAAACAAAACAGCCAGAACCCTACAAAATGTGAACTTGAACTTGTTCAGGACCTCATCTCATTTAGCTTTAGGTTTCAGATTCTGTGAAAATTAAAACAAAGAATTACAGTTAGTCCTACCTCCCCTAATGCCTTCAGTTTATTGAAGGATAATTTGCATACCATAAAATTCACCTGTTTTAAGTGTATTATTCAATGATTAGTTGTATAACCATTACTATAATCTGATTTTAGAATAGTTCTCATCACCCCCCAAAAAACCCTTGAGCTCATTTGCTGCCCCAAGTTATTTTATAAGGAACAAATGTTAAATCTCCCAACAACACTCACCACCTAATACAAAGCTAAGCCAATATTCCAAACAAAGACTGCTTGAATCAGAGAACTACTGCTCCTAAGAGCTCAAAAATAAAATTATATTACCTAGCAGAGTGCAGGCCTGCCTGGTATGTGCCATCTCCTTGGTATCATCAACTCCTTCAATCACAGGACTGCCACCTTGCTTCGTGTAATGAAAGTTATTTGCATTTCCTGTAACGAATGAAAATAAAAGATTTGCAGCCTATGAAGATGCCTTGAATCCTACCCTTATGTCCACTCTAAAGCAGAGGCAGTGATAGCCCAGTTAAGTAGACTGCCTGTGGACTCATCTTAAGTAGGTATCCACTCAAGGCCCATCCTACTTCACCCCTTCCCCATCCCCAGGTTATCGTGCAGCCAACGCAGACTTCCTATCATTTTATTCATAAATATTTTAGGATTAGATAATCTCCTAAATAAGTTTATGGACGCAGGAATAAATGGAAAACAATACCAGAACAATAAATCTAACACCATATCCGTACCTAATCGCAGCATTTTAAATTCAGGTAACTTTGCTGAAGCACAAAGCTGGTAGAAGATATGATAGTTTCTCTCCTCTTCTGCCTTTGAAATAAGAAGAGTTTTTAATTATAGCATTTTAACCTAAAACCCTGAAAATTCAATCATAAAATAAAATTTTTAAAGATAATGATGATGATGATGATGATGATGATTCATTTGAGAGAGAAACAGAGAGAGACAGAGCCCAAGAAGCGGGAGAAGCAGAGGGAGAAGACCCCCACTGAGCTGGGATCCCAACTAGGGGCCCGATGCCAGGACCTGAAGATCATGACTTGAGCTGAAGGCAGACACTTAACCATCCGAGCCACCCAGGTGCTCCCAATTTTTTTTTAAGATTTATTTATTTGAGAAAGAAAGAGAGCAGGGGGTAGGACAGAGGGAGAGAATCTCAAGCAGACTCCCCACTGAGCACAGAGCCTGATCAGGTCGCTATCCCACAACCTTGAGATCATGACCCGAGCTGAAATCAAGAGTCAGACACTTAAACTACTGAGCCACCAAGGCACCCCCATAAAATGAAATTTTAATATTTAATTATCTCAGTTAATAAGTTGTCCTTATACCTAAATTTCCTAATATAGATTTATGATTATTAAATCTCATGATTTATCAGTCATGTGCCTATATGTATGAATGTGTATCTGTTGGTCACAGTCAACAAAAAATATCTGATAATGGTGCTTTCTGAAGTAGAGAACAGTTTGGTATATGCCGCTGTCGTAAGAGATCATTGCCTTTGGGGAAAACTAAAACCCTGTTTTTGAAGTATAGGTATCCCCTGCTTTTCTAAAGTTCGCACTACACCACTTCATTTTTGCAAAAAGCCTACATTAGCACCTGTTTTGCTAACCAAAGGAAATTCAAAGAGGCTCTTTTACAGAAAAGCAAAAACTGGTGTTTAGCAGTTACTTTGTGGTGAGCCATTACAGAGGCCGCACTCCCCCAGCAGGGAGCGTGGAACCACCAAACTCTTTACACAGGAACTACACTCAGCATCTTGGCATCGAGCTGCCATAGCTTTGAACTGTGTCTGTGAGCATCTGCGCTTTATCTCGATTTATTCTGTGCATCTGCTAGCATGTGTCCTAAGGTATCAGAAAAGCCTAAGAGAGGTTATTTTTGGGGTCTGGGGATGCTCAGAAAATTTTCCATATAAATTAATGGTAATTTTTTTCTTCACTTCACACCATTTCAGCTTATAGAAGTTTTTTTTTTTTTTTTTAAATATTTTATTTATTTATTTGACAGACAGAGATCACAAGTAGGCAGAGAGGCAGGCAGAGAGAGAGAGAGGAGGAAGCAGGCTCCCCGCTGAGCAGAGAGCCCGATGTGGGGCTCGATCCCAGGACCCTGGGATCATGACCTGAGCCGAAGGCAGAGGCTTTAACCCACTGAGCCACCCAGGTGCCCCTCAGCTTATAGAAGTTTTCATAGGACCAATCTACTTTTGGAAAAAGGGGTAAATGTGTACTCAATATCTTCTCACAGTACCTCTCAGGCTCGTGGTCTTCCTAACACTTTAAAGGAAAAAGAATATTCTATCTTTGCCATATGTCAGACCAGATCATCTCCTGTGATTGTTTGTAAGAAATCCACAAATGCATTGCATCATCTACATCATTTTAGTTTATACATTTTAACATTAATAAAGTATTTTACAGAACAGAAAATAAATCATGTATAATTTTAACATAATTTCTTGGTATTTCCTGACAGTCCTTTTTCCACATACATACTTTAGAAATGCAGCTGTAATAACACTGCTCATACAAAACTGAATCCTCATACTCCACCATCATATCCTTGAATTCTGCAGTGTATTCAGCTGACTAAATCACAGTGTGGCCTCAAGGTCAGGTCTGATCCCCAAAAGGGGCTTATGTCTAGTAAAGGAGATTCCTTAGCCTTCATTATTTAAACAATACCATATTCTAAGAGAGGAAAAGTAAGAAAAGAGGACAAGGAACTAGGTTCAAACTGTAACTCACTGAAAACATAATCCAATGTCTTCCCTATCAACTAGGAAATATGAGACTTGAGAGTAAACTAGTAACACCTCTTGGGGCACCTGGGTGGCGCAGTCAGTTAGACGTCCGACTCTGGGCTTCAGCTCAGGTCATGATCTCAGGGTCATGGGATGGAGCCCCATGTCAGCTTGCGCTCAGCAGGGAGTCTGCTTGGGATTTTCTCTCTCCCTCTGCCCCTCCCCCTACTTATGTGCACATTCTCTCTCTCTGAAAGAAAAAAATAAAATCTTAAAAAAATATAAACTAATAGCACCTCTTTTTAATTAAGCTACAACCATCTGCAGGAAAAAGTCTAAACCATTAAACCTAAACCAGAGCCCAGTCCCACAGATTATTAGTCTAATGGGTTTGCCCTGCCTCTGACAGGTACCATTTTACATATTTCAGCCCAAATGTGGTTTGTAGTAATACTGTCATAATATGCCCAAGAGTATCTGCAAATAAAATGCATACTAGCAAGCATGAGCACTAGAATTATATGGCAATCTAACAAAAATTTATACATGCAGCTGCCCGCCTTACCTGGAATACCACTCTGGATTTCTCTAAAAGGTAAGTTCTCATATTGGCACCAATGATTCGGTATCTCTTATCAAAACCAATTTCAATATACTTCCCAAAACGGCTGCTATTATCATTCCGGGTTGTCTTAGCATTTCCAATGGACTAAGAAGCAAGGGGAAAAAAAAGTATCTTAGAAGTACAGTTCATGACATGACATTTACAGAGTCTGTTCAGGGAGAGAGAGGACAGAGTATAACACACTTTAAAACTGATTCTTTTAAGAACAGAACTGATTTTGCACCTGCAAGTAAGTACCAGTGTATGCTTTGCCCACTGCACAACCACACAGACACTGACTAATAGCTCAGATCTGCCTTCTTATTCTCACACAAATTATCTTCAGGAAGAGCAAACCTGAGCCCAGCGGCTGGGAGACTTTCACACCATTTGTGCTATCGGAACACACTCATTCAGTTCAACAAAGAAAGAACTGGATGGGACTGGGGGCTGTAAAAGCACACTAGGGTTTGCATTTCCCGAAAACTTAGTCTGTTTTATGTAAATGAGCTTGTTAAGGCAAATTATTATTTTTAGGGAAATACTGCTCTGGTGTTGAGTCTGTTTAGCTAAAAGTTTCTATCCTCTTATCCTGTGACAACAAAGGCCCAGTTGGACTGGTTTTTAGCAGAAGCTTAGTAATCGATTACCCATTCAATTCAAAGTCATTTTCAGAAACCAGACATAGTAAAATTTGCCCTTGGATTTTGATAGCTGTATCTAACTTGTAAAACATCTGCCATAGAATTCAGAGACTGTAACTTTCTGCTAATTTTTTATATAATTAAAAAAATTAAGATAATATATGCACTACTTTCTAACTTAGGTAACATGCTTCTAGAAATTTTTCTTCCAAGGCAAAGCAAAAAAAAAATGGTGTAGGTAGAGAATCAAGTGTTCACATAATGCATGCATTAAATATTCAATAAAATATTTTATGTAAGATTACTTAATTTACTTGTACAAAACCTGAGAGGATCAGGATTAGCAGACCAAAACCATAGCAGAGAGAAAGACATGAAAATGCTCTGGAGTGTTAAAAAAGCAAAACAAATACAAATGATGAGAACAGTAATAACACAGCCACAAAAAAATCAACACATCAGATTCTCTGATCAATCAAAGAAGGCGCATTTCACTCTCGGAAACAGAGGGCAGGTACTGTCCTATTTTGCTTTGGCAATGAGAACACTGCTATATTTCAGAATAACATTTTTAAAGGGAAAGAATGACAGAAAGCTATCTTCCCAGCAAAGTAATAGGAGTAACCTAGTGTAGCCTAGGACAATTTAACAATATATTTACTTAGATATTCCCCTTCTTAATATGACAAAAAGTACAACAAAAAGTCTCCATGTATTCCAATTGTTTTTATTTTATTTAGAAAAGGAAATTAATGATAAATGTAGGATTTTCTTTCAACACAGAATACTCCATCAAAGAGCAGATGAAAAGATGTGGTAATTGTGGCAGTGACAATGATAGCCACTGAGTGTTTACCAGGCACTGTCCCAAGCCCCTTCCTGCCAGCAACTAAGCAAGCTGGCAAAGGGGGTCCACAGCTTCTCCTCCTTCCCTGACCGCACCCCACCTTCCTTCCATATGCCATCTCTCTCCTAGCGACTCAGAGTACGTGTCCAAGGGGCTGAGCGGCCAAAACAATACTACCCTTGTGAGAAGCAAGGTCAGGGTTGAAACAGACCCCTTCCCTCTGTCTTTGAGTAAAAAGGTATTTAAACATAGAGCAAAGAAGTATAGAAGGAGTGAATGAAATAGAAGTCTGAAGACCTGGGTATTAGACCAGGCCCTCCCACCAACTTTCCAACATTTAATCCTCTGAGGAGCAGTAGTGTCTCCAGGCGTGAACTGACTAGGATAGATGAGCCCTAGGGTCCTTTACAAAACTAGAACTACATGATTATAAGCCTTGAACCTGATAAGGAAAGAAGGTTCTATATATAAACTATACTTTTTGTCCTTTTCTCCTAATTGCTCCCTCTGGCTTCTAAGTACTATATTTTCAACAGGCTTCCCTGATGCTGTTATCTTTTTAATTAGCAATAAATTGTTAATGAAAAAAGGCTTTGCGGTCTTGATTTTACTATTGATTTCAGTGAAGTGTTCAGCAACTTATTCTTCTTTACTAAAAGGAGATGAAAATCTTTAACTATGCTTATTAAAGTTGTAAAAGAACTATTAAGACTCACTATGCACCCCAGGAATCTTTCCCTGTCCCCATTTTAGGATTAAAATTTCCTGGAGGAAAAGGAAAAAAAGAAAACATGATAAAATGAGCAAAAAAGAATAATTTATCTGTGTATCATTCGTATTTTGCAAAAGGAGTCTATCTGATAAGGAGGGTCTTTCTAAAGGATCACGTGCAAATCCCATTAGCCACTAGGATGTGACATTAACTGTGTGGGATGCTCATTATCCGGGGAGGGATTTCAGATAGCTGGAGACCCAGCTATACCATTCTTAACATGGCAGTAAAGGACTCTGATAGAGAAACACAGTCTTGGGGCAAGTTTAATGTTACAGACCTTCTAGGCCACATACTCAATATTTCATCTATGTCTTCTTCCTATGACTGCAAACCCTTTGTCACCATTCTTCAGCTACAGATTCCATTTTAATCTTTCAAACTGGGATGCCCTCATTTGTAGTCATTGAGAGTTAGTTCTCTGTCAAATTTTCTTAATCCAAATTCCCACAGAAAAACTACACAACAATATAGAAGGGAGTAGCTAATTATAACTGATGGCTTTATCTTTTTTTGTTCATCCCAGCAAATAAACTAAATTCTTTATAACTACATATTAAAAAACTAGGATCTTGGGGCACCTGGGTGGCTCAGTCGTTAAGCGTCTGCCTTCAGCTCAGGTCCTCATCCCAGGGTCCTGGGATTGAGCCCTGTCTCGGACTCCCTGATCGGCAGGAAGCCTGCTTCTCCCTCTCCTAGTCCTCCTGCTTGTGTTCCCTTTCTCTCTCTGTGTCTCTCTCTGTCAAATAAATAAATAAAATCTTTAAAAAAAACAAAGTAGGATCTATGACCATTTTAATCTCTCCTACTAACACAAATCTGTTTTGTAGAAAAACCAATGTAGCTATTTTTGGAATGAGAATATAGCAAGGTCATAAAATGTTCTAGACATATTCTAGAAGGTTCATCCCAGACTTACATTATTATATGGCCCAGCCTAGACGAGATGGGATTCCCTGACACCATCACAATCTAGACTGCGAAGTTCTAACTTTGGGGATTAGGAATGAAATAAACTGCCGCCAACTACACAGGATTTGCTGTTGTACCAAAAACAGCCAAACCAATGGGAGGAAGCAAAGCAAAACCCAGTTGTTTTCCGACCCAAAACCCAAAACTGGCTCCATGGATTATATTTCCCCAATATTAACAATGGCATCCAGCATTCTATCTGTAGCTTAAATTCTTTCAAAATCTTAATATTTGCTTAAAATCTTGATGAGTCTTTCTGGCACACACCTCTGTCAACCCCCCCACCACCCTGTCTGTGCTATTTCAGAAAACTTCTCCAGTTCTCGCTGCACAGTGTACCTAGTCCAGGCAGCCTCGTAACTTCCCTCGTAACTCTTGGTCCCGAGGACAGAGGTCCTCCTGCTCTGGAGGGCAGCCCCACAGGCTGGGGTGCAACATCCTGTTCCCAAGTGTCACACACGGCACTGCAAACCAGGCACAATTACCTCTGAACTGATTATTGCAACAACCACTTGTATCACAGGTGCACCAGGCCAGTTCTAAACTCCGTCTGTGTTTGGGTGACAAATAAAGCTTGACGAAGGGAAAAAACAGGAATAAAAAATGCTGACTTGAATTTTTAATAAGAGAGGTTTTTTCTCCCTGTCCAAAATAATTTCCCCCCCATTAGTAATGAGAATTAGTTTTTTCCATTAAATGGGGCTACTTACAAAAATGCAACTTTCCTAACATCATATTAATAGATAAATAATTCTCTAGCTACAAATCCTGAAATAGTCTCACACAAACAGGTCCACTTTCTTTGGCATGAGCCTTTCCACTTTGTAGACATATTAACTTTTGAAAGGACATCCTTCTGTACTTCTTCCTTTCTCAGGAATTTATAGCTACCGAATTTCCTTTTCTAACCTAAAGCTGTGTATTGTGCTTCACAGAAACAAGAAGAAAAATGTTTACAAGATCATGATTTAAGCTTGTAGTTCACATCTGGGGGGAAAAAATAGAAACTTACAGCTAAACAGGTTGTACTAAATACAGAAAATGAAATGTGGCAAAGGAATGATAAAATTCATCATGCTTGGGTATAGTGAATCCTATGAACTTCAGAAATGGGGGGAAATGAGAAACATACTTCTAGTACAAGGACCAATAAACTTCTAGGAGAATAGAAATTTGGAAAATGAAGTACCACTGCCAGTTATTTAGCGGCAAGTCAGCGGTAGGTTAAAAATGCAGGATTATGGAATAAAGTAGACGCTTCCATAGCTGGGCTTTACTCAAATGGCTACCTTCCTGACTTTCTACTTTGCGTACATCTCTTCTTACTAATACGTGGAAAAGTATTTTCTTACTTTTAGTGGCTGGGACAGCCCAGACTTTCTGACAGGTGCTGTTTCGATACTTTTTTGAGCAGGTTTCTTAACAGAACATAGTAAGAAGGCCAAGGCCACTGCTGCCTTACCTCCATGATGGGGTTGGAGGCCAAGACCTTCTCCTCGACATTGGCTTCACTGGCAGAACCACTCACGGTTGCAAAGTATCGCATGGCATACTTAGCTGAGACTGTTTTTCCTGCCCCAGACTCTCCACTTACAATGATGGACTGATTTCGTTCATCTCTGTAAGACAAAGAAGAGTAACTAACAGCGCTGCCTGCCCCTGAATGGGACTAGCATTGTTTCCTCTGTGCTCTCCTCAGCAAGCCATGCTGAATCTCTTCTGGTTCATACATGCAGCAATGTGGGAAGGAACGTAAGAATATTTCCTGATAAAAATAACTACTTACAAACTAGCAGTGAACAGAGAGGGAGAGGAGAATATCAAGCATCATATTAGGTAGCATCACATCTAAGGATGAATCTGTGTTAAAGGGTCTCTGATATTTGTGTGAACAGATCTCAAGCACATTATTTAATTTCTAGACAATAATTCTGGTATATTACAGTATTGCAACCACCTCAGAAGAAAAAGGAGCCACAGCAGGGGAATTTAGAAGAAAATCCTATTTAATTAAAATTACAAATTGTCTAGTAGTTAACAGTCCCTATATCATATGTTCCACAAACTCCAGTTCCTACTGAAAGTTTCTTCTCAGGAGAGAAGAAACAGTTCATTTATTTGTTGGCTGACTTCTTCAGATATGTCAGAACTCAAAGACTATCTACTATCCCATCTTTAGTTCATTCACACAATGACTCAAAAACTCTAAGTGATACACTTGTTTACAAAGACTATCATTTCTTTGAGGATAAAAACCTAAGTCATCTTTATCTTTAATATCCAGCACCTAGTACAAAGCCTGACACATCACAAATGCTCAATAAATGTGTATTTCTTATAAGTAAAAAGAAATTCAATGAACAACCTAATCTAAGAATAAATCTTTCTGCTTATTTCTTTTAAAAATTTATTTATTTATTTGAGAGAGAGAGTGAACACTAAAGAGACAAAGCAAGCACAAGAGGGGGGTAGAGGGAGAGGGAGAAATGGGCTCCCTACTCAGAGCTCAACCCCGGGACCCTGGGATCATGACCTGAGCTGAAAGCAGACGCATAACCTACTGAGCCATCCAGGCGCCCCTAAATCTCTCTGCTTTGGTGACAATTTCTACTAGGACAGAAGTAGAAAATCCCACTTCTTAAGATGGAACCAGCAATTAACTTTTAATCAAAATAACTGAACAAGGGCCACCTGGGTGGCTCAGTCAGTTAAGCATCTATCTGCCTTTGGCTGAGGTTATGGTCCCAGGGTTCTGGGATCAAGCCCCACTTTGGGCTCCCTGCTCAGTGGGGAGTCTGCTTCTCCCTCTCCCACTCCCCTGCTTGTGTTCCTTCTCTTACAGTGTCTCTCTGTCAAATAAATAAATAAAATTTTTTAAAAAACTGAACAAGGTATTTTTATAATACCAAAGGTGGTATTATTTGTGCTCTTAATTTACAAAGGGACTGGATCAGGATGACTTCAAAGGTTTTTAGTGGAACTCTCCTCCTGTAAGGCCACAAGATGGGGAAGTTATTCTACTACAGAAGTTGATCTTTTTATCTTTTAAAAGAGACTTATTTAGCCAACAAATATTTATCAAATACCTACTACATGCCAAACATTGTATTAAACATTAGGGTTACAAATTAAATAAGCTGTGATTTGTGTCCTCAAGTGGGTAATGGTCTAACTGGAAAGACAGACTGTAATTTGAGATTATAATACATGGGATGGGGCACTGAAAGGAGGAAGAGGTGATCAGGAGAGGTTCCCTGAAGAAGATACCAGAACAAGGTCTAAAAAGATAACTAGGAAAAAGGAAGCAAGAGATGCAGAAGTCAGAAAGCAAACATTCTAGGGAAAGGAGGTAAGATAAATGAAAGCTCAGATACATGAGAAGTTAGGAAAAAGCAAATAATTCAGTTTGGCTGGAACAGGGAGTAATGGTGGCTAAGACTGTAGAGATGACCAAGAAACTGACCATAGAGTTCTTACGTGAGATGTTAAGGAATCTGAAGTTTACCTAAAGGTAATGGAGTGTCATTAAACAGAAAACAAAATAATCCAACTACTAAAAATCACTCTGGCAGCAATGTGTAGTATGAGTGGTGAGAGTCCAGATGAAAAATTATGGAAGTCTGAACAGAGGTTGTGGCTGTCCTGACTGAGAGAGGTAGAAAGCTCTAAGAGACACCAAAGTGATAGAAGCCACAGTACTTGGCAATAAATTTCCAAAGTAGAAATTTAGGACTTTTTCAAGGAAAGGTTTCTTTCTCCTTTGAGAAATGAGGGTAACTGTCTTATTTTATAGACCTTGAAAAATACAGTGGGAGTATAGCAACTTGTTCCTGACACTCTGACTCCCATGTTGTGGGGAAAAGCAGGAGGACCTAGGCAACACTAAGGAATGTTTAAGTTTTACAGTACAAGCTGGCACATAATCCCTGTTTTCATGAAACATCGTTGAACCTCATACCCACCATCTCATTTTCTTTTTATTTGAATTTCTAGACAGAACTGGACACTCCCATTTCCCCTGTTCATTCATTGCTGATCAAAACCTAAATCATCTAATAAAACAGTTCTCATTGTGGCACCACTGTCCTTTCTTTTAGTCATTTAAAACGTCCTCAGAATTCACCTTTTTCTATACATTAATCAAGGTACTGTATCAACAGTTTTTGGATTCCCTTCTACAATATGATTAGAAAAATGACCTTTTCCTAACTTGTGCATGATCAGCTGTCACTGCACCCTGTGTGACACCACTCCTTCCAACAGCAAACGAGGTGGGGAGGTTTCTACTGGTCTGATGAAAATATTAGTGGGAACTGCTATTTAAACTGTACTGTTTTTGAAATGTTATTTCAAGTCTTAATATCAAAATATTGTATCAAAAAATCTAAAAATTCATATAGCTCTTTCTTATAATATAGGGAAGAAGAAAAATATTAAAGGCAATAAGATCAAGGATTGTTCAAATGAATCAGAGGCTTGTACAACTACGTACATAGGATATCAAGCACATGCCATATACATTTTCTTTCCTAGGATTTAGGATACCACGTACATATGGTATCAATCACATGTCATATACATTTTCTTTTCTAGGATCTAGGATCAACAGTTTTTAAATTTTTTAAGGGACTTTTTTTTTTTTTTTTATATTTCCTGACTTCTTGGCAGAGAGTCTTCCCATCTTTCCCAAGGTTAGCGGAGCTTCCAATATATAAACAAGCACCAGTCTTCCATTACATAAAAGCTCCTCTGCATCAAGGCTCTATCCCTAGATCTGTCATACACCAGCTACGCAGCTTTGAGCAACTGCATGACCTCTCTGGTTTTCTCATCTTTTCTCATCATTAAGGTTAAATAGTACCCAAAGTCCTTCTCAAATTCCAAAGTACTATAATCTAAAAGTCTAACTCTGGAGTTGTTTTTCAGATGCTAGATGGACAACAGCTTGCAGTCTAAGCCAGGGTAAACCCTTGGGACCAAGGACAATTGGAAGAGGAGAGGCCTACAGAGACTCAGATGGTCTTGAGTGGCCATATTTAAAATGGGCAACATTTCTTCTCTAGAGGGCCCCTGAATCTGAGATGACCAAAATCAATAAATGGCTACAAAGAGTAAAAATGTAAAATAATCAATTCACCTTTTTTTAAATTAAATGCAGGAAGTAGAAATCTTTATAAAATAGGTATAGTAGGTACAATTTTAAAATGTTTTTCAGTTCTATGTGGCCATAGGAAAAAATGCCAAAAAGACAGAATAAGAGTAGACATAGGTAGAAGAGAAGACAGAGAGACGAGAGAAGCATAACAGATAATAAAGACACACAAAAGGAAAAACAAGAAGGTTAGGATAGAGATGAGGAGAAAACAGACAAAAACATTAGGGATAAAAATTTTGTGGTTCACACCTGCTTATCCCCTACACAAAAATAAACCTAAAATGGATTAAAGACCTAATTTTGAGACCTGAAAACATAAAATTCCTAGAAGAAAACATAGGCAATAATCCCTTTGACATCAGCTGTAAAAACATTTTTCTAGATATATCTCCTTTGGCAGGGGAAACAAAAGCAATATTTAAACTATTTTTATTCATTAAAAAAAAACCTTTTGCACAACAAACAAAAAAGACAACCTACTGAATGAAGAGATTTGCAAATGATATATCCAATAAGAGATTAATATCGAAACTATTTAAAGAACTTAACACAACTCAACACCAAAAACCCCCAAATAATCCAATTTTTAAATGGGCATAAGTCATGAACAAACATTTTTTCAAAGAAGACATCCAGATGGTCAACAGACACGTGAAAAGATGCTCAGCATCACTCATCATTAGGGAAACGTAATCAAAACTGCAATGAGCTATCACCTCACACCTGTCAAAATGGCTAAAAATCAAAAATGAAGAAATAAGTGTTGGTAAGGATGTGGAGAAAAAGGAACCCTTGTGCACTGTTGATGGGAATGCAAGCTGGTGCAGCCACTGTGGAAAATAGTATGGAGGTTCCTCAAAAAGTTAAAGATAGAATTACCCTATGATCTAGTAATTCTACTACTGGGTATTTAGCCAAAGAAAATTTAAAAAACTAATTTGAAGAGAGAGAGGGAGAGAGAGAGTCACTCCTATGCTTACTGTAGCATTATTTATAATAGCCAAAATATGGAAGCAACCCAAATGTCCACCCACAGATGAATAAAAATACAGTATATAGACCCAATGATATGTTATTCAGCCATAAGAAAGAATGAGATCTTGCCATTTGCAACAACATGGATAGACCTAGAAGGCATAATACTAAGTGAAATAAGTCAATCAAAGAAAGACAAATACCACGATTTCATTCACGTGTGGAATTTAAGAAACAAAATTAATGAACAAAGGAAAAAGGACAAACAGAAAAGTAGACTTTTAAATACAAAGAACAAACTGGTGGTTACCAGAGGCAAGGTGGGGGGGGGGGGGTAAAATAAGTGAAGGGGATTAAGAGCACACTTATACTGATGAGCACTGAGTAAAGTGTAGAATTGTTGAATCATTATATTGCAAATTTAAAACTAATCTAACACTGTATGTTAATCATACCTGAATTAAAAAATAAAAATTAAAAAATTTTATG